GCAGTACAGACGGCAGATGGCTTCTTGATGTGACACTCTCTCTTCTCCTCTCTCACTACTCCCACCCACTCTTGGCGGGAGTGCGCGTCTGGAGCGTCGAGATTGGGGAGGCAGTCAAGAAGGCTGAAATCTAGTCGACATCTTTTAGTCTAGCGGTATAGACACTGGTTTACCACCAGGTAGATCCGGGTTCAAGTCCCGGTGAGATCCCTACTTCCTGACTGGCTTCAGTACATCGCAACAAATGACCAAGGACATCGGGGTTTGCTTTCGGATACCTTTTGTAGCATCAAGGGTATAAAATTGATGTTCTATGCCCTTGATGCTACGGAAGCTTGCATGGCAACGAGGAAATGGACATGCGACGGACGATGCTTCTCTCCTATATTAGTACTACGCTACTACATTCCTAAACCAACGCAAGCGAGCGAGAGCCGCCTGGTAAGGATGGCAGAACCTGTGGGCCGAATGCTACGATCTTCTCACCCCGGCGTAGCACCAACGCGACCCCGACCCGGCGGCGGTGCTCGACTCGCGTTGGTCTCGGCTTGCAGCGCGTCCTCGACGGCCACCCGGTAAGGATGGCTGAGTCGCTTCATCATATCAAGGACAGTCGATTCGACGTTGCTCAGTTTATGTCGCTTATGGATCTCTCTAGCCTCACGCGCCTGGAGACGGTGGCAGTGCGCGCCCCCTTTCGTCGAGGAGATGCCGCTGCTCGAGGAGCTGGTGCTTGAGGCCAGCGAATTCACGGCGGCACCATTCACGCTTGCGAGTGTTTGCTTGCCGCGCCTGCACGTTTTGAAAATACCCAGCTTTGCGCTGAACGACGACGACATCGGTATGCTTGGCGACTGGACAAGCACACTGCCCCAGATGGACGAAGCGCGTTCGTTTTGTATGGTTGGCGCAACGCCGGGTCCAGAGTTGCATCTCATGCAGCGAGCTGCCGGTCGGTGGCTCGGTTGTGGCGCTTCGATCGTGCGACGTTGTCAAGAGCAGCATCCCGTTGTGGCAGCACCATTGACGCCGCCGCCATCATCTCGACGCGCTGCAAGGTCTCGCAAACGTCACGCTCGAGCTCAGTAGGGTTGTGCCCAACCAAGAGGCAGCCATCCACGCCTACGCACAACCGCGGCGGAGCGAACGTCCCCACGAGCGATACGTTGACAGACACAACCAAGGAGAGCTATCGCATTCTTATTCTCGCAAGCATATCAAGCAAGATCGATTCTTCGCATCCAATCTCGCTCGATGAACTCTTATTGGATGAGCTGCCTTTGCCGATGAGGAACAGTAGTCACACGCCCTTTGACACGACAACAGCGCCAGTCCGCAAACGAGTCCGCGGCTTTCGGGGATTAGGGCAGGGCTAGGGTTGGCCGCCTCACCCTCCACACATGCGACTGGATTCGGCGCGCATTTTGTAAGCGTGGACATGGGCGACACGATTTCCATCGTGGGGCCAGAGAGGTGCTCATGGAGGAGACATCCGTGTCGTCAAAAATGCAGTGTGTCTTCTATTCAAACTCACAGCCAATATGCTGTGGGAAGAGAGATAAGATGCAAGCGTCATGTAGGAAATGCAGAAAGCGGTAGAGGCGTTCACGGCTGCTGCTGCATCGCGGCCTCCTTGATCTGCGACGCGAGGTCCACAAACCGGTCCTGGTACTTCATCCTACCAGTCACACGCATGAGAAAGGGCGCCTTGACACATATGCATGGTCTACCACGCGGCCTTGACGTCTTCGGCGGCCGTCTCGCACGTCGTGCCGCCCTTCTGCAAGAGCGCTTGCAGGAGCTCAGCACGCGACTACCCACAACAATCAGAATCCAGTACGAAATTCTCAGAAATCCACGTACGCGGTGGTGCAGGACGAGCGAGAGCGACGCGAGCGACTGACGGTCCAGCGCGTAGGCGAGCGCCTTGGCGAGCACGTCGGCCGGCACCGAGTGGTACATCATCGTAACCACGAGCGTCTGTGCGAGGCGGTCGTCGGCCGCAGCTTCGTCGGCCGTCAACTGGTCCGTGATGCGGTGCGTCTGCGCGAGCATGTACTGGACGAGGAACGGGAAGAGCACAAAGCGCGCCGACGGGTGCAGCAGCGGGAGCGCGCGGCACACGAGCTTCTTGCCTTTCGAGACCGAAAGAATTGCATCGAGCGCCGGCGGGTCGCACGTCGCCTCGCCGTTGACGGTGCTCACGCCGAGGACGCTGGCGAGGTCCAAAAGCAGGCGCGTCGTACGCTCGCGGAGCTCGATGAGCGCCGGGTCCATCTGCGCCGTGTCCATTTGATGGAACTGCTGCACGTTGATGCGGCGGGCGTCGAGCAGATGGCGCGCGTCTTGGAGCGCGAGGAGGTGGACGATGCCGGCGTCAATGCGCTGGCGCTTGGACCACGTGTCGTTGCGGAAGACGGACGCGCCAAGCTCTTCCTCCGGGCGGTTGAGCACGTCGACGACTGTCACGTCCTTAGGCTGCTCGTCGACCTTGTGCAAGTTGAGGAGCTCGCGCGGCCGGTACAAGCTCGTCTTGGAGGTCCGGCCGAGCACGTGGTTTTCCGTCTCCCACGTCCGCGACTTGTTGGCGCGCGACACATCCCGCGGGTCAAATGACTTGACGTGTTCGAGCTTCCAGGACGGCAGCGGCAGCGGCGGTTGCCCGGGCAGCGCCTGCTGACGGGCCCGGTCGCGCTTCTACGCCGGTAGTTTGCGTAATGACGATGGCGAAGAGAGAAAGGACGTACCACCATGTAGTTGTGGAAGTAATAGTCGTCGCTGAACGGATCGCTGGACCGGATTTGCTTGAGCTCCTGCTGCACGACAAACTGAATGTCACGGGGCATCATGACCTGGAACACGCGCTCCTGCAACAGCACGTGCGGCGGCGGTGGGAACGGCGGGCGCATCATCATGTGCGGCGGCGGCATCATGTGCGGCGGCAGCATGTGCGGCGGCGGGTGGTGCGGGAACCCGTGTGGCGGCATCATACCTTGCGGTGGCGGCGGCGGGCCGTGCTCGGGACGCCAGCCTGGCGGCGGGCGAGGCATGTTGCCGGTCGGCGGCGGCATGACACCAGGAGGCGGCATCGTGCCCGGCGGCGGCATCATACCCGGAGGAGGCAAGGCGCCTGCGGGCGGGCCCCAACCAGGCGGCGGCGTCGGCGTCGTCGTCGGGAGCGGCGGAGGCACCGCAAGAGCATTTGCCGGAGCCACCGTCTCTTCGTCCTCGGTCAAGCCCAGCGACTTGAGCTTTAAGTCTTCAAGAATGCCATCGTCTTCGTCGTCTTCTGCGTAGAGGTACGCGGACGACGTCGATGGCGCGCTCGAAATGCCGAGACCGGCGTTGCCAAAGCCAAAGACTGCAGTTTCCGGCGCGGCCTTCTTCGAGAACTCTTCGCGAAGCATCGCAAATTCTTGCTGGCTCCGCGCCCACTCCAAGTCAGCCTGGGTCGGCGCAGCGCCCTGGGGCGCCGCCGCAAACCCCGGCGGCGCGCTCACCTTCCCCTTGGGCTTAGATTGCTCGCTCGCCGGCGGCGCTTCGCTCCCCGGCATGTGCACGTTGCCCATGAAGATGGCCGAGAGGTTGTCATGCAGCACAAACGGCCGGCTCGAGGCAGTCGTCGGGCCCATCGGGTACGGGTAGTTGTCCAGCGCATCATCCACGGGGCCCAAGAGGTCATGGGCGCGGAGGTCTTCCAGGAGGCTCTCGTACTTCTTGTCGTCCACGGAGACGCCCGTGAAGAACCCCAAGGAGCCGACGCTTTCACTCGCCATTGCAGTCTCTTGTGTCAACGAGCGGTGTGATGAGGTTCCGAAATTAGCCTCCGGATGACGCCATTTATCCGGATTCTCTTCGTCCGTGGCCATCACCCCCTCGCCGTCGGTGACCTCTGGCGACGGCCCGGCCGAGGCCACGCAGCCGCAGACCTCCATGCTCGAGGTCGATGTCCTTGGCACGCAGAGGCGGTGCCAGGACTCCGCGGCGCTTGCTCGCTACACTGCTCATGGCCCAATCCAAGGGCGGGAAGTCGTGGAGGCGATCCTATTTTGGCCAATCGCACGCAGAATAAAAGGACGCTGCAAGCTTGATGGTGTTTGGAAAAAGATTTGGATTTGCACCAATCTCAAAAACGCAATGTTTCAGCCAATCCAGGACCTTTCGAATCGAATTATAGCCAGTCAGAACACGGGATTCACGCCGAGCGTTTTGGTATTGTTGGAATTGGAGCCTGGGGTGTCTATGGCCACGACAAAGTCACCGACGAAGCGCGCCGAGGACGCGGCCGCGGCCCACGAGTCGGATGTGGAGTCGTACTCGGACGATGGCAATGCTTCCGGTGTCGAGGACGACGAAGATGCTGCCGGCGCCTTGCAAGCCATCGCCGCCAAGGAAGAAGAGGAAGAAGCGCTGTCGCCGGAAGAGAAGGCCGCCCGCGATGCACTCCTCCTCGAGGAAGAAGAAGCCTTCCGCAAGCAAAAGGAGACCCAGCTCAAGTCGCTGCAGGCGCTGCGCGAAGCCGAAGAAGAAGCCGACGCCGAGGCCCAGAAGAACATCCGCCCCACGGACAAGCGACTTCAATTCCTCATGGCGCAGGTATGGTCGCCACGTGATTATGCCATGCATACTTTCGTCTCTGTGATGAAGATGCTCGGCGCTCCCTCATACATCCAAGACTCATGGTTGTGCAATGTGTAGTCGGATGTCTTTACGTCGTTCTTGATGGGCGGGACGTCGGCCGTGGGGAAAGCCATGACCAAGAAGCGCGGGGAGACAAAGAAGCAAGAAGGCGAGAACCGCCGGTCGGGCAAGAAGGCGGATGACTCGGCCGAAGATCAAGCGCTGCTCGCGATGGAGGAGTCGCGCTTCACGCGCCTCGACAAGCAGCCATCGAACATCGCCTTTGGCACGATGAAGCCGTACCAGCTCGAAGGTCTTAACTGGATGATCCGTCTCCACGACTGCGGTGTCAACGGGATTCTGGCCGACGAAATGGGTCTGGGCAAGACGCTGCAGTCCATCTCGCTCCTCGCGTACCTGCGTGAAGCCCGCGGTGCGTCCAGCCCTTTAACTCTTCCACGTCCTCATAACAAAGATGTATGATGTAGCCATCAAGGGTCCGCACATGATCATTGTGCCCAAGTCGACCGTCGGCAACTGGATGCGCGAGCTCAACCGGTGGTGCCCGTCCATCCGCGCGTTCAAGTTTATGGGCGACAAGGAGCAGCGCAACGTGCTGCGCGAGACGATGAAGACGACCAAGTTTGACGCGTGCGTGCTCTCGTACGAAGTTGCGATCATCGAGAAGGCGACGCTGAAGCGGTACAAGTGGAAGTACATGCTCATTGACGAAGCCCATCGCATCAAGAACGAAAACTCCAAGCTCTCGACGGTCGTGCGTGAGTTTGACGTCGAGCACCGCCTCCTCATCACGGGCACACCGCTCCAGAACAACCTCCACGAGCTCTGGGCGCTCCTCAACTTTCTTCTCCCAGGTACACTTTGATGCCATCCTCGCACCCATGTTTACCTCGTTTGCGGAATCCTAGATGTCTTTACGGGGATTTCGACTCGTGGTTCAACGTCGATGGCGAGCAAGGCCAGGAAAATGTCATCAAGAAGCTGCACACGGTGCTGCGGCCGTTCCTCCTCCGGCGCCTCAAGTCGGACGTGGAGCACTCGCTGCCGCCCAAGATTGAAACCAAGCTCTACGTCGGCCTCTCGGAGATGCAGCGCGAGTGGTACACGCGCGTCTTGCACCGCGACGCGACGCACCTCAACTCGATTGGCGGCTCGGACCGCGTCCGCCTCCTCAACATCCTCATGCAGCTCCGCAAGGTGACCAACCACCCGTACCTCTTTGACGGCGCCGAGCCGGGCCCGCCGTACAAGGAAGGGCCGCACCTCTGGGAGAACTGCGGCAAGATGACGCTGCTGCACAAGCTGCTGCCGCGCCTCAAGGCCCAAGGCTCGCGCGTGCTCATCTTTTGCCAAATGACGTCGATGCTCAACATTCTGGAAGACTACATGCGCTACAACGACCACGAGTACTGCCGCCTCGACGGCAGCACGCAGGGCGAGCTCCGCGACGAGTACATGGACGTGTTCAACGCGCCCAACTCGACCAAGTTTGTGTTCCTCCTCAGCACGCGCGCGGGCGGTCTCGGCATCAACTTGGCGACGGCCGATATTGTGATTCTCTTCGACTCGGACTGGAACCCGCAAGTGGATCTGCAAGCGATGGACCGCGCGCACCGCATTGGCCAGACCAAGCTCGTCCGCGTCTTCCGCTTCGTGACGGACGGGACCGTCGAAGAAAAGATCATTGAGCGCGCCGAGCGCAAGCTCTACTTGGACGCAGCGATCATCCAGCAAGGCCGCCTCGCGCAGCAGAACCGGAAGCTCTCAAAGGACGAGCTCATGACCATGGTGCGCTTTGGCGCCGACGAAATCTTCAACGCCAAGGGCTCGATGATCACGGACGACGACATTGACGCGATCTTGGCGAAGGGCGAAGAGCGCACGGAGGCCATGAAGGCCAAGGTCGTCGACGACATGCAGCACAACCTCGCCAACTTTAGTCTGACGAGCGTCTCGAGCCTGTACGACTTTGAAGGCGAAAACTTTGCGAAGGACGCGGCCGAGTCGGGCTCCGTGCTGCCCTCGACGTTCATTGCACTCCCCGCACGCGAGCGCAAGAAGAACTACGACGTGGACGAGTACTACCGCCAACAAACGGGCCAGACCAAGCCGAAGAAGACCAAGAAGCCCGACGAAGAGAACAAGCCCAAGGTGCCGGTTGTGCACGATTTCCAGTTTTTGACCGCGAGCGCATGACGGCGCTGCTCCAGAAGCGCTACGACGTCGAGTTTGCGCGCAAGGAGCACATGAAGCTCATCAAGGAAGCCAAGGCGGACGAGCAAAAGCAAAAGCTCGAGGGCGACGACCTCAAGTCCAAGCAGCTCGAGGCCGAGCTCGAGAATATGGTCATGGACGCTGCCGACGTGGCCGAGCTCGAGGCGCTCGAAGCCGACGGGTTTGGCGACTGGAGCCGACGCGACCTCAAGCAGTTTGTCGCGAGCTGCGAGCGCTTTGGCCGCAGCGACAAGGACGCAGTGTGTCTGGACGTGGCGACGCTGCTTGTCAAGGACGTGGCGCGCGTCGCCGAGTACTATGACGTGTTTTGGGCGCGCGGGACCGAGCTCGAAGAGTACCAAAAGTACATGGACCGTATCGAGCGAGGCGAGAAGCGCATCCAGCGCAACCTCGCCATCAAGGAAGCCCTCGCCTCCAAGGTGCGTCGGAATGCTTGTCTTTGTGGGCATGTCACCACGGTAATAATAACGTGTAGGTGGCCCGGTACAAGAACCCGTGGCGTGACATGAAGCTCACGTACCCCGGCGGATACAAGAGCAAGGGCTTCACGATGGACGAGGACGTCTTCTTGATTTGCATGATGCACAAGCACGGCGTCGGCGGCGACTGGGTCGCGATCAAAGAGGACATTCGCAAGGCGTGGCAGTTCCGCTTTGACTGGTTCTTCAAGTCGCGCACGATTCTAGAGCTCCAGAAGCGCGGCGAGTTCCTCACCAAGCTCATTGAGAAGGAGAACGAGGAGCTCGGTACCAAGGTGGTGGCCGAAGAAGAGCATTTGGCGACAAAGGCCAAGCCGTCGAGCAGCAGCTCTGGCAGTTCCAGCAAGAAGCGCGCGTCGTCGTCGACGTCGTCGAGCTCCAAGCGGAAACGAACCTCGTAGTGGTTTGGCATCGACCACGACTACACAATATACCACCATCGTTGATGCATTTATAATAATCTCGCGACGACGGGGCTAGGCCAAGCTCTGGAGCTTGCTCGGGTGGTACATGTTGCCGCCGACGAGCAGCGCGACGGCCTCGAGGTCGGCCAGGAGGCGCATGTAGGCGCCGACAAAGTCCATGCTCGCATTGTACGAAGCCACGAGGCCGTTTTCGTCAAAGCCAAAGATCGAGGTCGTCGGGAGGTCAATCTGACGCCCGATGAGCTTCTGGACGAGGACTTCGTCGTGGAGGATGTGGGGAAAGTACATGCTCAGCGTCGTGCGCGTGATGCGCTGGGACACGATCATGTGCACGTGGCACGCCAGCAGCCCGTCCTCGTCGTTCTGCACCACGTCGCAGCGCAGAAAGTACATGGAAAAGTTGCTGTGCGACGCGCAGTAGATGCGGAAGACGTAGAGGAGCTTGTCGACGCCGACAAGGTGAAAGTACCGGAGGTCGTCGCGCATGATGGAGCGCAGGAAGCGTTCCTGGACCATCGCCTCCTTGTCGAGCGACGTCATGTAGCCGTACTTGAAGACGCGGAGGTACTCGTGCACGGTCTTGACGCTCCGGTGGTCGTTGAGGTACCAGTGCGTTGCGCTGAGCGACTCGCGCTTGCCCTCGAGGCGGCTCGTCTCGTACGCGAGCGCGTCGACTTGGCGGCCCAAGCGCTCAATGTGCTCGCGACGGCGGGCCACGTGCGCGCGCTGGTTGGAGGCGCGGAGCTTGCGCTGGTGCAAGCGCTTCTCGTCCTCGTTCGTAAACACCGTTTTCGACTTGAGCATCCTTCGAAGCGAACAAAAGGCAAAGTGCCAGTGGAGGCGGTCAGTCACTGAGGAGTTTTATGCAATCAGTCACAGGACATGTCACACGCCGCTAACGCCAGCACGCTTGCTCGTCGTCCCACGGCACGGCCTGTATAGAAGCCCTGCAAACGACGAGCGACCAGCAGCGAAGAGCAAGGTGGAGCCACCGACGCACGTGGGCCGTCGACCTTGTCGGTGGCAGCGACCTTTATGTGGATGGTCCAGTCCGAAGGATTGTTTGCCCGTTTGCTGGGTGGCAGCGGGCGCCAGCTGGCGGTCCTTGTGCCAAGTTGCAAGCGTTCGTTGCTAGGTGGCAGTGATAGAGCATCTGGGCGCGCCAACGTCACCGCTTCTTGTTCTCGGTGGTGCGTCGAGGCCTCTGCTCCATGGCTACGCACGATACCAAGCAAGCTGCAAGGTTCAAGACGAACGTGGTCAGCATGGAGCGACAAGTGATTTCGCTGCTTCTCTGGGCGCCAGAGAAACGCATGCGATCAGCACCGCGGTACTACCTTTCTTGTTCAGCATAGTACTGTATTTAGCGTTGTTGGACTTCCACGAGGACGACTCTAGTCCCTTGCGCGCGCATGAGGCAGACGTGGCAACCATGCGACGTAGCGCGCACGAGGGTCTTCATTTGGGGTCTTGAAGCAATTGCTGCAGCGACATTTTCGGAGACAGGGCGAACGGCCACGCCTGTGTCGAGGCGACGGTTCACCTTCACCGCTTGGGAGCCCTAACCCTAACGTTAGTGAAGATCTCGGTAGCATTTATTGTAGTATCCCGTCCGCCGCATGGAACCTTGCAACCTTCTTGTGCCTTCAAGTCAACACTGTACTCCTGCTGTTGTGCTAATCGACTCGTTGGGTCTATCAACGATGTTGGCAGCTGGACCTGATACCTCCCTACCAAAAAAGCCAACCACCTACTGGTATCGGATTTCCCACCACTGTGTGCAAGACACAAAGCAGCTTTGAAGTGCTGATCGTGTACAGTTGTAGCAGCGTGTTCGCCGTCCAGTGCTTCTGACCACGTCGACCTTCTACAACTGCATCGGTGCGACCCATTGATCTACCTACCATCAGATTGACAAGATGTTTGACGCGTTGCCGAGCCATCGAGAGAAGTCTTGCCTCGACAGACGCGAGGGCAAAAGTGACGAAAAGAATACATTGCCCTTAGCGGCGGTACGGGAAGAGGAGGTTGATAAAAGCTGCGATCGGCGTCCACGCAAGGAACGTGACGTCCTCGCGCAGCACGAGTGGCATGAGGATCAAGCACGCTTCGTGGAAGACGCGGTAGCAGTGCACGAGCTTGCTCGGCGTCGGGAACGGCGTCAGAACGCGCGACGCCGCGTAGCCCGCGACCATACAAAAGTGCGCGACGAGCACAAAGGGCTTGGGCGTGAGGGCGCAGAGGAGGCCGAGCGGGCCCGAGCTAAACATACCGCCGAGCTTGAGGTACTGGTAGCAGCTCTCGCGGATCTCTTCGCGGGCCGCCGCGTTCGAGTACCCATCGGGAATCGAAAAGACGTGGTACAAGGCGTTCGCAAGGATGTTGATGGTCGACGAGTGGTTCACGCGCTGCTCCTCAAAGGCGTGGCGGGCCGCCGCGATCGCATCGGCGTCGACCAAGTCCGTCTTCTCAAGGAGCGACGAGAGGAGCACCGCGTCACGGAGCGCGACCGACATGCCGCCGCCCGTGAGCGGGTGACGCATGTTCCACGAGTCGCCAATCATGATGCAGCGGCCGAGGCTCGGCTGCGTCGTCATAAATTCACGGTTGGGCATCGACTTGACCGGGCCATCTTGGACGGCCTGGACAAAGGCGGCGCGGGACGCCTCCGGCATCTGCGGCGCGACAACGTTGATGAGGTGCTTGGTGAGGTCGCCGTTGCTCTGGCTCGGCACCTTCCCGGGCACGTCCACAAGCGCACGCGTCTCGGTCGGCGAGATTTGATAGACAACGATCGGCGACGGCTCGGCGAGAATGACGTGGCCGTACCCGCGGTACGGCACGGTAGCCTCCATCGGCGGGTGCTTCATCAAGATGGCAATAAAACTGGAAATCTGCTTGGGCGACTCGGTCGAGAGTTCGCGGCGGAGACCCGACCAGAGGCCGTCGCACACGAGGACCAGCGGCGCCTTGGCGTGCTCGGTCGGCATCTCCACGTCGTCGGACGTCGCCTTGCGGCGGTACTGAACACCCCGGCAAATGTCCGTCTTCGAGTCCGAGAGAAGCTTCGTGACCGTGCCTTCGATGCACGTGACGTTCTCGTGGGCAAAGACCTTGGCGCGGAGGCGGTCGACAAACAAGCCGTTGTGGAAGCCACGGCCGTGCTGCTTGCCCGTACCGTTGTCGCCGCGGGCAAAGCCCATGTACTCAAAGAACGTCTTGGGCACGCGCTCGGGGTACGGGAGCATGATGTGGTCTTCGGCGCCCTTCTTCGTCTTGACGATCGTGTAGCCGTCGGCCTTGATGTCGGTCTCGGTCTCGGCACAGTCGAGCAAGTCCAGCGACCGCAGCGCATCGAGGCCGCCAGGCTGCATGAGCTCGCCCACGAACCGGTCTTGGTACTCGAGCGTCTTTTCAAACACGAGCACCTTCTTGCCTTGCTTGGCGAGACCCATCGCCATCGCGCAGCCCGTGGTGCCACCGCCAATGATAATGACATCTGCGTCGCGGTTCGCCTCGGTGTACTTGTCGTTTGTGTACTTGGGCGTCGGCTTGACGGCCCACATACCCACAAAGCCGAGGAGGTACACGAGCGCGACGACGCCGGCCGCTTGCACAAACGAGAGCGGGCGCGGAATGTCGTGCTCGGCCGCGCGGTACGAGACGGCGGCAAAGCCAATGATGAGCACCGACGTCGTGTTCATGGTCTGGAGCAGCGACGCGCGGAGGGCGCAGCAGGACGCGAGCACGGCCAGGAGGAGCGAGAAGAAGACGGGCGCGTCCGCGAGCTGCTGGCAGAGGACCGCGAAGGCGTCCTGCAGCAAGCTGCGCAGCGTCTCGCTCAGGATCACGACCGACGCGATGAGGAGGATCATCGTCGACGGCTTATTCGGAAATGTGGTCTTCGTCGACCTTCAAATGCCACCGGTATTTTATAGAAATGCATGGGAATTTCCCATAAACATGCGAAAATCCAGTTAAGTGCGCATTGGACGGCGCAGTAACGGACTTGCGGCGCGCGATCCGCACTTAATCGGGATCCCTGCTGGCGACGGCCCTCTTCGTGCGACGCTAGTGTTTCGGTGGCTGCGATGCAGACGCTGCCGCGTGTGTCTTTGAGCGCCACGTCAGGGCTGCCAGCTACTTCTATGCGGCCGGCGCGGCTACGCGCTGCGGCTTGCTTTGCAGCACTGCCCTGCCTCTTCGCAGCACGAAATTGCAAGCCGAGCGAGCCCTCGCCGCCCATGCCGGCGCCACGGATGGCCTCGCTGCTGCTCCCAGCGCATACCGATGGCAGTGGCACTGCGCCGGTGCGGCTGACGCGAAGCGATCTTGCCGTGACCAGAGCCGATCCGGTCACGACGGCTGCTCGTCGCGCGGCCATGCACAGGCGTAGGATACAACGCCGGACGTGGTATCCGGCGTGTCAATGCGCACTTTATCGGGTCAGAGTGGCCCGATTGGTCGATTTGTAATAAAATATCTTGCGCCGAGGTGTCATTGGAGGTGCATGGCCGACGAGGTCGGTGACATGAGGCAGCGCCAGCGACGGGTGGCAGCGACGTCGTCGGGAGGCGACAAGGCCGCGGCAGGAGCAGCAGCAGCAGCATGGGCCTGGACGCCAATCATCCAAGTGGTGCAGAGCAAGGCCGCGAGATGCAGTCCATCCGTTGACGAAACGAGCCGTCCTTGCGCTCGCACCGTGGCATCGCATGGCACCTACGGTAGATTGCGCATGGCCTGTCGATAGACGCGGTCGGTGCAGCGGTGACGCCACCTTTCGATTGCACGGCAAGGCCATGCACCTGTGTGAGTGCTTGGCGATGCGTTGTACTGAGGCCATCCACTTGACGTCGGGGGCGTTCGTCGAGTGAGATGGAACCTGCGCCTGTCCATGGAACGCGCCAAGATCGGATACTGTACACTTGTCGGCGGCTCAATGGTGTCATGCAGTACAGCCCAATCGTCCTACGGTGCACGATGGGACTACAAAAGCCGGAGGATGATCGAGGTGCGCTGAGCGCGGGCAATACCAGCGTCGACACGAGTAGAGACGACTTGCCTTCCACACCCAACCACTGCACACTACAGTACGCGCCTCCGCATGTATCGACGCCCTTGAACATCGAGCCCCGTCCATGGCATCCGAAGCGTCGTCCTGCACGCAGGACCAGTGGCGTCTGTTCCACGGCCAAGTCGCCGACAGCAAAACTATCACGATCATTCTCCAAGCTGTAGGCTTGCTCGCATACCAAGCCTTAATGGTATTACGCGTCCCTTAATGTGCGATGCAGATGTACGAACACCTTCCGCGCTACGGAGTGCACGAGCCTTCGGCGTGCCCCTTGCCGTCAAGGGACACGGTTCGATCCTCGTCGCGCGGGTGCAACGAGTAAGTTTCACAGCCCGACCATTATAAGGGGCTTCAAACGTATCGTCAATGGGATGTGTACGCTCCCGCACAGTACACGCTGCGTCTATCGAGCGCTGTCTTGTTCGTCCTTTAAAGCCATACACACCACACCCATGGAACTTTACATGTGACACGAGAGACTGCCACGTCATGGAGGCAGTGATCACAGCGGATGCTCTGGTGGCGCATCCGGGAGTCGGCCACTGTCCAATACAAAAGTCGCACGCTCCAGCGACCGCAAGACCTTGGCGAGCGCGGCAGCGAGGTCCATGCTCGAGTCGTGCGCGATGATGCGCCGTCGTCGTTAAAGGAATAGACGGACGTCTGCGGGATCTCCATGGTGTGTCCGATGAGCTCCTGGACGAGGACCTCGTCGTGGAGGATGTGCGGAAAGTACAGCGCGAGCGACGCACGCGTCATGCGCTGCTGCACGGCGAGCCGCAGCGTGCACGCGAGCGGCTTGTCGCCGTCAGCAAGCACGACGTCGCAAGAGACGAACCGCATGACGAAGCTCGAGATCGTCGACGAGTGGCGCTGGAAGATGCGAATGAACGTGTCGAGCGAGTAGAAGCCTTGAAAGACCATGGCCGGGTCCATGATGGCGCGGAGGAAGCGCTCTTGCTTGCCAGCCATGGCCGCGTCATGCAGATGGAAGCCATGTGCAAACATGTGTACGTACTCGCGCATGAGCCGCTCCGACCGCGTTTCGTTCATCGCGATCGACTGCGATAGCATCTCGGAGAGGACGTCCCGCCTGCCCTCGAGGCGAGCGAGCTCGTAAGAGAGCACTTCGACCTCGTCTGTGAGGCTTGTCGTGCGCGACTTCTGCCGGGCAATATACGCACGTTGAGCCCGCGACCGGCGGCGGTGGTAGTGGTCCAGGTACTCAGGCAAAGGCGACGCTGGCCGCATTGCTTGACCAAGCTGCAAAGGGAAGATATTCGGGATAATTCCCTTGGGCAGTGAGAGTCAACATGATAGCCACTCTCACCATCATCACTCTCATCACCTTCTCACACCGGCACTCTGGTCGTTTGCGGCATATGCCGAAACTAACATAGGTTTTAAACAGTCTGTGTAACGATTTGTGTTTTAAACACGCTGCCGTTGGAGGAATAAGCCGCCGAGTCCAACCATGAGCTACGTGACGCCGAAGAAGGAGACGCGCGGGGGCGCCAAGGACAAGCGCAAGCACAAGCCGTCGGGCGCAACGCCAGTGCCCGAGAAGAAGAAGCCCGGCTCGCGCACGGTCAACATCTCGGACACGCTCACGATCGAGTTCACGGACCCGGACGACGACGACGACGAGTCGCCGATTGTCAAGCCGGCAAAGACATTGGCCTCATCAGCATCCACAGCTGCCGCCACCGTCGATGCACCGCTGCCGCGGAGCAACCGCAAGACCCGGCGCGACATGCGGCGCTTGAGCGACAAGATGGAAACGGTCAAGGTCGACCCGACGGCGACGCCGTCTGCCACCCCAGCAAGGCAGCGCAGCCGATCGTGCTCGAGGCCAAGCCAGACGCTCCATCATCAAAGCATCAGCGCTGCCACCGACGCAGGTGCTCAAGGTACACCCTGCGATATCATCGAATCGTTGGCGGATGGTTGTCGTGCGGTAGATATTGACCGAGGTGTTTGCCGAGGTCGAGCGCGACGACCGCGCCATGTACAAGGTCAACCCGGACGTCATTCGCGAAGAGACGTCGCAGTGCGCCAAGTCGAGCCTCGTCGAGAAGACGAGCGCCGCCGACCTCAAGCGCCTCCTCACGTACGGCGAGGTGCTCCCGGATGCATTCACGGACACGATCATGCCCTTCTTGGCGCTCGAGCCGTCGGATGTCTTCTACGACTTGGGCTGCGGCACGGGCAAGATCGTCGTCCAGGTCGCGCTCGAGACGGGCCTCCGCGACGCGCGGGGTATCGAGCTCATGCTCAACCGCGTCGTCGAGGGCCAGCGCGCGCTGGACCGGCTCCGCGCCACGTACCCCGAGCACGTCAGCGACAAGGCGCTCTCGATCGTGCAAGGCGATATCTGCCACCCGGTGACGCAGCTCGCCATGATGGACGCGACCGTGGTCTTCATCAACAATGTGCTCTTCCCGCCCGAAGTCATGAGCGCGGTCTGCGACCTCCTCCTCCAGCTCAAGCACCTCAAGCGCATCGTCACGATGAAGAAGATCTGCGAGCGCCACCGCGAGGCGCGCTGCCAGCGCGACGGGAACGCGTGCACGCTCTTTGAGGACCCGCCGGTGCAAGCCAAAGTGTCTGTGTCGTGGGCCAAGCACGCGTTCGCCTACCTCTACACTGTGCGCTGACCAGCATGTATTTATAAGGCGAGAATATTGCAATAAATGTAAGTAAAAGGAGGGATCGAAGCGGCGACTAGACGGCCGTCGTGGCCTGCGCCGCCGCTTTCGAGCAAATCTTCTTGAGCATCGCTCGACCGTATGGGATAAAACTCGCGCCGTACCACAGCATCGCGCAGTACTGGATGAAGACGAGGAGGAGAACGAGGATACCGGGGCGGGACATGGTCACGGCCACGATGATCGTAAGCAGCATGGACGAGATCCAGACGATGCAGGCGACGCGCCGGATTGGCATGCACATGACCTTGAACTGATTGAGAAAACCGGTGAGGAACATGGAGCTCGAGATGGAGCAAATGTTGCCGAGCGTGTAGAAGAACGCAAAGCCCTTCACGTGCTTGGGACCACCAAACATCAAGAGCGTCGAGAGAAAGCTAAAGAGCGCGCCGGCAGCGTAGGCCGCGATCGCACCTTGGATCCGCTCCTTCTTGGAGAGGTTCGGGAAGCACTGGCACTGCGACGGCGCTTCACTTAAGAGGCCTTCCGACTCGGTCTCGGAGCCCGAGTTGGTCTCGCCATCGGCGGACGGGTTGTCGGACGAGACCACCGGCGGCGCCTTCCCCGCCGCCGTGTAGGCCGCGACCTTTGCTTCGCCGGCCTTGGCCTGCACGATCGTCGCCGCTTGGGACGCCTTCACCTTCGCCACCGCGGCTGTCGCAGCGGCCTTCTCCTTGGCGACGGACGCCGTCGCCGACGCGGCTTCGAGCGCCGATGCGCGCATCGACGTGGCCTTGGCGAGCATCTTGCGATGACAACAATTTCTATTGCCAAGCGTCCAAGCTCGCGGTTTGTATACCGACGCGTTAAAAATAACGGCCCAATCGCCGCCGACTGGCTAGTCGCACGCAACGTTGGCCTTTCAACCCTACACGTATGCGCGCAGTTGGCCCGACGCCGCCGGGCACGTCCTTGACACATGCATCCGACAAGAGCATTGCGTGCTAATGGTGCACTTGTGTGAGGTCCACCACGTCACGACTGATGTTTGGAGTTTGGCAGCGTAGCATCATGCGGTTACACCAAAGCCATGCGTCGCTAGGTTGGTGCAGTGCATTCAACCCGTTGATTTGGCCATGTCTGTTTTTGCTGGACGGGCCATTGCACCCGAACGAAGAAGATGCCCAAGGTCTTGCTCTACCAATAATACAGAGCCCCGCGAGTGTCATTTTCAGGGCACACATTGGCCCGATTCAAAGCTGCCCGTGGAAGACGTGGCGCGAATGGACCCAGTGAAGGAGCCCTTGGACGACGACGACGATGATGACGATGAGGCACGGCTGTGTGGTGCCGAGCTCTCGCTGCGCGGGCTGTCGCAGGGGTTGGGAAAGATATCCCGCTAGTTCACAGAATCCTTGGCGTGAGAAGACGAGAAGACAGTCTGCCTACCTGGTGGAAGAGCTCGCCGCTTTCGATGGACGACGATGGCGACAGGCGCCGACGCTCTTTCTTGCGCTGCAGCGAGAGCTTTTGCGTGTGGTAGAACGTAGCTCGCACCAGCGGGTCGTCAAGTATCTCACCGTCGCTCAGCGTGTTTGGTTCCACGAGCTCGCCTTCGGACACACCGTCGTCAAGGTTGCCGTTGCATTGGCTCTCACTGCTCCAGCTAGCGCTAACCTCGGATGATCTACAAACCCGACATAGTAAGTATCAAGGTATCGAGACATGGGTACCGAGAGAGCGATGCGAGACTCGCGGCCACCTCGCGCTCGATCGGCACGGTGTAGAGCTTGGAGGCCACGGGCACAATCTCCGGCTCTTGGCGAGCCCAAGCCAGGTACGACGCTTCTACTGGAGACATCGGTGGCGCGGGTGGCGGCGGCATCTCCAACACCGTCCGTGACGGCGCCAACACGATCGGAGTGGTTGCGAGGGGAGCTGGCACAGCGGTTCGCCGCAAGCGCTGCATACGAAGCGCCCGAAGCGTCGTCATGAGGGGCGTACGCTCTTCCGTGCGTTGCTGCGCAATCGACGCGCGCTGGTCGGGCGATGCGTGGAGGAGCTTTCCGAGGAGTGTTTTCCCTGGAAGGTCCGCCAACGTCCAAGACGGCGCTGGTGTCGCCTCTACTTCGTCAACTACCACTTGTACTTCCTTGTCTTCGACGACCGGCGATGGCGGCTCGGGGGAAGCCAAGTCGGTGGTGTCGGTCGCCATGTCCGCGACTTCCTTTGCCGCGATTGGCGGCGGCGGTATCGTCGTTGGCGGGGTCGAAACTACTTCACGACGCAACTCGTTTTGAACGAGGGTCTTGACCAAGTCGAGCATGTTTCTATCGTCGTCCGGCTCGAGCTCGTGGATTTCTGGTGGCGCAGTCAGCTGGCTTGGCTCAAAGTCATTCACGTCCGCTGCGGACCGACTGTGGTCTGCAAGCAGCTGCCGCGTGAGCTCCCGCAGTACCTAGCCCAGCATACACCATCAATCGCGAAGACATACATCGTCTAGAAGCCTACGTTCTCGTCCAGGCTCTCGGCGACCTCGGACGGCATCTCGCTTTGTAGCGACTCAACGATGCGGTTCACCACGTAGTCGGTGACCGACGCCTCGACGACCTGCATCGGTGGCGCATCGCCCGTCGTATCCGCAACGACAATCGGTGCGGTGGTTGATATCGGTGGCGGTGGCTGCTTTCGGGGCGCCACCGCAATCATGTCTCGCGCCGGGTGTTCGTGCGCGGCCAAAACGAACGCGGCAAACTGCCGGAAGTCGATGAGGCGCCGCGACGAGTGCGCGAGCTGCGCCGCTTGCTCGAAGAAGAGCGTGATGCGCGTCGGGTGCAGCGTGATGCGGAGGCGGTGCAGCGCGACCGAAACCTCGAGCGCATTGAGGTACCCGTCGCGGTCGCTGTCGAGGTCGTTAAAGAGCCGCCGAAGCAGCGTCATGGACGGACCGGAGCGAGGCCCGCCATACACAACGTCGCCAGGAAAGCCAAACGTCGCCGATGGCATCGTCCGGCGGTCCGAGAGCACCTACCACAATCCTATCGTCGCGTGCTAGCAACGCACACGAGGAAACGCACTTGCTTGCCAATCGCAGACGGGACTTCGGGCGGTGCAACGCGCCTTGGTGGCAGATGCGCACGCACTGGCGACGACGGTGCCGAGGCAGACGATGCGTCTGGAACCTGCTTTTCGTCCAACGGTATATAAGGCTGCGGGGGCGCCTCAGACACTACTGTGCGCTGCGATGCAGCGAGAGGAGCAGGTGAAGCGAGCGGTGGCGAGGCGGGTCGTGGAGGAGTGACCAATGGAGGACGGGGCGGTGTTGTGAGCTGCGCCACAGGCAGTGGGTCGATGCTCCGTGGCGCCGCTGCGAGCGATGGCGGCTCTTGCTTGAGGACGCGCTTCGGCAGTGTCTTCTTCTTGGCCGCCTCGTTTTCCTTTTGTGCCCGGGCGTCGCGGATCTCTTTTCGAAGGGCCGTCGCACGAGCTTCGTTCGCGGGTTGGATGACACGGGCCGGCACGGTGGGCACTGGAACCTCGGGCTTGGGCGCGGCCCGTGGCGGTACGACCACTGTCGCGACTACAGGTGCTTTGGGCTTCACGGCAGGTTTCCGACGCAGCGGCTTGGGGGCTGCAATCTCCATGCTCGGATCGTGCCGGAGCTTGGTCGCGATGTGCGCAATGCGCGATGCGACGTCGCGCGGGATGTCCATGGTCCGCCAATCCATGCGCCGGTGGTCGTCCATGTGGTAGTCGAGCATGGACACGCCAAGCCGCTTCTCGATTGCCCACGCGCGCTCCGTCGCTGCGCGCAGGAGGGCATACTCCGGCTCGAAATCCATTCCTGAAAGATTTGGCTGCGGCCTGTCGAAAGAATCCGGATACGAGGAGTTCCAACACCATGGACCACCAGCGCCAGGGCGGCGCATGAGCTCGGCGCATGGTCTCGCCGTGCACTTCCATGCTACACTCGCGCTACAGGCCTGCACAGCGCTTGCTATAGACAAAGCGAGAGCGTGCATGCGTAACAACCGGCGCGCGGCAGGTAGAAGAGACTGCCCTACAAGCTGCGCTGCAGACGAGGCCAGCACCGAGACGCACGAGTATAGCGCAATGACCATGTTACCACGAACGTGTTAAATCCAGACAACAGCGGTCACGACGCCACTTTGGTATGGATGTCCCTTTCTTTCCACAGCACCGAAGTCGGAAGCTGCGCATCGCGCGGCGGCCTTGTCTCTCCAACAAATCCGGGCGCGCGAGGCCATGGTGCTAATTTACCGGTACTACAAGAGCAGAGGTCATGAGCCTTTCAGCGCCGACGCGGTCATCGGTCGTACCTTGATGAAGCCAATCTGCGTGGCGCGTTCACGGAAGCAGCGGCGGCACATGTTCAGGCCGTACTTGCTGATGAGACCACGGGTCGTGGCGCACGTGCGGCAGTGGCGCGAGTCCTTGCCGTAGTTACGGGGGTGCGTGTAGTGCAAGTTGGTCATCCTGATTAAACTTTTGCAGCTATAATGCCAAAGAAAGAGAGTGAGCCACCGCAGGATGAAACCCTGGCTTCGTTACCGGTTGGTTGGCTGGGAACCCCGCCGGATGACGAAGCCTGGGAACCAAATATTATTTCAACCAATCGACGCGCATCTCGCGTTTCATTGGTCAAAATATGAGCGTGCACTCGGATTGGCCCATCTAAAGCATACGCTCTCGCAGGACCTGCGATATTACATAAATGGCGCGCACCCGGCGACTGCGGACTTGCGCGGACCATATCGCACTTGTGGGGAGTCTACCGCACTTGAGTGGAGCCTAACGGGCTGGCCAATCGGAGCGCGATAGGAAGAGAATTCAAGTGCCGTTATGAGTCGGCACCGCGCGTGCTTGACGCGAAGCTCACGCAACCTTCTTGCGCCTGTGCTGCATGTTCCTTGCATCAGCTATCGTTCTCATGCGCTTGCGGCTACATCAAACCGTCTACCGTGACACAACATCGAGATGCTGCTGTGGCAGACCGGCGCTGCAGCACGTCGTGCCTGAAAATGGCGTGCTTCTAGCTTGCGCAAGGAGGATGTGGTCAGTCACGTAGCTTATGTAGCGCCGATCGCGTGACATACAACTCCTAGTATAGTGGACGGGTTAGTGGGTATGATCGGCGGAAGTCTTCGGACGAATCTGGCGACCAAGAAGGACAAACATCGTGGCTTCAACTGTTGGCGCTGGTGCATAGTCGCCACAGCTCCATATATAAATGAAGCTGTTTGTGTCATGCTTCCGGCCTTTCTTGTGGACGGTTGCACATCAATGGGTGCACGTGATTGGAATTTCAGCCAATCCAATGTGCGTCTGTTGCCTCTCGCCCATCCATTTGCGAAAAAGTCGCATTCGCGCGCATGGGATTGGCTGAAATTCAAAAAACAGCCAATCGCAGCGCCAACCTCCGACAAGGCATCGGCTTCGTGTTCGACATTTTTGTCCTTTTTTGCGGAGGAGTTACGTGCCGAAACATCTTGGTGTTTGTATGAAGAGAGTCAGGAGCGCAAGACTAACTCCAGAAATTTACCATGATAACGATGAAGCACGAGTCGAGCCAGCAGCTCCTGCACCACGAGGACCCACTCGACGGCGACGACGACGACGACGTGCCAGAGCCGACGCAGGTCCATGCAAAGGACCTCGAGGCGACGCCCGTGGCCTTTAGCGCTGACGACGTCTCGATGCTGCACTACTACCTCGAGTCGGCCGACGAAGAGGGCATGACCAAGCACCTCCAGGAGCGGAAGCGCCTCGATCGCCACCGCATCAACAACATTCGCCACCGCCAGCGCAAGCAGTGTGAGCACGCCGACCTGCGCAAGATGGCCGAGGCCATGGAACACAAGCTCCGGGTGCTCCAGGCGCGGGCCGCGCGCCGCAAGGCGACGACCCACATGGACCCGGAAGAGACCTTGCGCAACATTGAAAAGTGGAAGGAGGCCACCAAGTCCGAGAAGCGCCGCCGCGAAGAGGCCGTCGAGGAGAAAGAGCTCTTGACGGCCTCGACCACGTCGCACCGAGGCCTCATCCAAATGTACTACAAACGCATTCTCGTCGACAGCTCTGTGCTCAACAATCCGCTGGTAGCATCACCCAGGCAAGCGCGCGAGGTCACTCACTCTCTCGTCTCTAGCTGCTCGAGAACGAACCGTTCGTGATGAACACGCTCATCGGGTGCGACCATACGCGAGCCCAAGGGTATCGCTGGATCAGCGGTCAAATGCACCGGCAGCTCGACGTCGCGCTGTCCTACTTGCACTCGTACATTGGCCACACGATCGAAGAGAAGACCAAGATCTTCCTCGGCGACTCGTCCGTCGACCTCGTGCGCCATCGCATGTGGCCGTGTCCCTTTGCCGTCGTGGCGCAGTCGGGCTGGGAGTCGTTTACGCGCATGTCGACGGGCAATCTGCCTCGCAAGACGTCGGTACGACCCCATCGCACGTCGCCAGCAGACTCTTTACGATATGTCTATGCAGAGCCTCGAGGTCATCGACGTCAACACGTGCTACACCCGCATCCTCATTGAAGACGGCATTGGCCCCAACCAGCCGCTGACGCTCAATATGCTCCAACGCCGCTTCGTCGAGGACTCGCGCGTTGTCATTACCTTCCGCACGATCGCCGAAGACTCGACGTTCCCTCTCAACAACCCGATCGAGCACGGCGACCTCTCGATCGCAGGCTGGTACGACATGCAAGATGCGATCATCGGTAGTCATGGAGAAGTAGGCTGTCGTTTGAGCGCGTCACCGACTCGTCGGCGCGCTGCCGCGTCTTTGTCAAGTTCCGATCGACGGTCGAGAACGACGAGGAGGTCGTCGACTTGACAGCAATTCCGAGCGCGACGGCCACGAACCGCAAGACGCGCGCCAACCAGTGGATCATGAGCATCATCGCCAAGATGTACGACGCAGTCGACACGGCGACGCTCCGCGGCGTCAACGCGCCGGCGCCGGCGACACCACAGCTCGAGGTCCTCCGCAAGACAGAGCAGGACGAAGCCGCCCAGAGCCCGTAGATGGCGCCCATGCTCGTAGCATATATATATGTATCTCCCGCCATTATTATAAAACCCGTGTTTGTACCACACAATCGCCTTCTTCTCACGGCCTGAAGAAGAGGGAGGTTAGAACACCCGATTCCCAGCCGAACCGCCTTGGCAGTCTCCGACGACGTTGCTGCCGACCAAGGGTCCATCAGCTGTTGAGTTAAGAATCCCTTGGGCTCAATGCACCGTACATCGTAGCATGACCCCAACCCTAGTGTCCTCAGCGATGGCGTTAACTCGCCAAGATGGGATTCTTCTGCTAAACTACCTAGTATTACATGGGGACGAGAGAGTGGCTACATGCGTATATTAAAAACGTAGACACGAGCACGATGGATGCATAGGGCTTAGTACCCGTACGACCGTTGGTACGAGTTGGTTTGGCCCGGCACAAACGGCGCGGGCGGCGCGGGTGCACCCGAGATGGTGTAGGTTTCCGTGACGGCGAGCAACGAGTCATTGTACAATCCAATGGTCATCTCCAAGTCTTCTTGGCACTGCATCGCGCGCGGGATGAGCTCGACGTTGGCAAACGGGTTGTCGAGGTTGGCCGACATTTGCAGACGCGGCTGGAGCTGCACGCAGACCTTGAGCAAATGCTGCACCTCCGAGTTGCGCCGCAGGTCGCCCTGGGCGCTGCGGATCGCACCCAAGAGCACAGCGACCGCTTGCTCGGTTTGCATGAGCTCCTCTTCGTCCAGCGGCGTCGGGAGCTCTGTCGGGAGGCGCGCGCGCTCGCGGGCCGCGAGGGCCTCGGCGCCAACGACGTTCGAGTTGGTCGGCGAGTCGAGGTATTCGCCCGACATACCCGACGACATGACCGTCGCGTTCTGGCGCTGGATCTGCTGCACCTGGCGCGAGAGGTTGAGGAACCGGTCGAGCTCCGGCACGGCAAGCGTGTTGGGGAGGCGAGCACACAAGTCGAGCACTTCCTTCATGTAGCGCTCGAGGCCGGCCTTGCGCTCCTCGACGATTTCGTTCGAGTTGCCCGTGCGGCCCGCAAAGACGCCGCCGAGACGGTGCTTCTTCGGGAAGAGCGGGAGCGATCCGACGGTCGGCGGGATCTTGTGCTTGAGGTCCTTGTGCAGCTTCTCAAAGACGCTAAAGCGGTGCGAGACGAGCCAGTACGTGGGCTGCGGCGCGTCCTTCGGCTGCCACCCGCAGCGCAACACGTACACCGTGTACTCGGCATAGTTTTCGTCCTGGAGCATCTGCGTGCCATGGAGGCCGCACTGGAAGTAGCCGTCGTGGATCAAAATGCGCGTGCCTTCCATGCTAAACGTGCCCGGCGGCTGCGAGAGCGCCAGCGTCGACATGGACCGCGTGCGGTAGCCATAGTACCGGTGGTCGGCCGCGCTCGAGCGCGGACCACTCGCGGCCGTGAGCATCGAGCCGCACTCCATGCAGTTGTTGCCGTTGGCCGTGTTGTTGGACGACCCGCAGGCCGGGCACCGGATCTGGATACCGGCCGCCTGCGCCGAGTAGAGGCGCTGGAGCGACTCGGCTTCCTCCGGCGTCATGACCGGACCCTGCGGCGGCTGCGGCGGCTCCAAGAGGAACGGGACAAGCTCCTCGTACTCCGACTGGTCGATCGCACCGCTCAAGAGGAGCTCGTTGAGCTGCTTGAGCTGCTCCTTGTTCTCGTCCGAAATGTTGTCCGGGATGTCGACCACGTTGACGTTGCAGCCCTGCGTCGACGACATCGCGTTGACCGTCGCGAGACCGCCGAGAAGGCTCGCGCTGAGGGCGGCCGCATCCAGTAGCGCCTGCTCCTTGCGCTTGTTGGCCTCTTCGCGCTCGCGGATCATGCGCTGCTCGAGGTCGTGGGCTTCTTGCATCGCGCGGCGCTCGGCCTGGCGCTCCTGCTCGACAGCAGCCGCGGCCTCGGCCGCAGCCGCCTCGGCTTCACGCACGGCGGCTTCGGCGGCGCGAGCAAGCGAAATTGCCTCGGCTTCGGCACGCTTGGCGTCGTCTTCCATGCGGCGGCGCTCCTCTTCGGCCACGGCCCGGAGCTCGGCTTCGCGCAACGCCGCGTCAGCAGCGCGGCGCGCCTCCTCGGCTGCCCGTTGTGCGGCTTCCTGCTGGCGCTTGGCTTCTTCGGCCTGGCGACGGCTCTCTGCAGCTCGGGCGTTGGCGAGTGCAATCATCTCGAGCTTCTTGGCCTTGTAGTTCTGGCGGCCCTTGTCACCTCAAAGTGCGCCTGGATCAGGATCGCCGACGCCTTCTGCTTGAGGAACTGGTGGCGCACGTTGAAGCCGCGCCACCAAATCTGAATCTTGCGCACGCTGTCCTTGCGGAACTGGATCTTGCGCAAGAGACGGCGCAGCTCGAGCTGCGCGAGCACCTTGGCAAGAGCGACGCGCCACCGGCGGCGCGCGAGCCAGAGCTTCATGCGGCCCACAATGTGCGGGCCATCGACGGCCCAGTTGATCTTGAGGATCGAGTCGAGGATCGCAATCTTGCCGGCCTTGAAGAAGAGCTTGGTGATACCGAGCTTGTACGATTCCATGGGCACTTGGAACGCCCAGAGGATCGCCGTGATGAGCGTCGCGTCGCTCTGGTTCGCAAAGAGGCGCTGCGCGTCCGGCGGCATAAACTTCTTGTACGCGTTCACGAGCTCCGAGTACGCGACGCGGGTCGGGAGACCGACCTTGAGCACTTGGGCGGTTTGCATGATACCTTGGCACCGCAGCTGGCCGACCACGTAGCGCGGGTCGAAGAGGCCCATGCGCATGAGCGCGTTGGGCTTGATGCACCGGATAAAGTTGCAGCGCGTCGCGTCGAGCGTGTCGACGAGCTCCTGCATCTGCTTGGAAAACTTGGCGGCGACGCTCTTGAGCAGCTTCTTCTTCCCGGGCTTGACGACCTCGTTCGCCTCCTCGTCAAAGAGCTCGCGCACCTCGGGCATCGACGAGCTCAGAAAGAGGTCGGCCATGTCCTTGGGGATCGTGTCGTTGTTCTTGTCGATGAACGCGCCGACCGTATACGAGACGCAGCCGGCAAAGTGGCGCACGATAAACATCTCTTGCATGTCCTTTGGGTGCGGGCGCGGGAAGAACGCGTTCTTGTCGTGCGTGCGGTGCAGCATCGCGAGAAACTTGGCGTCCGTCGGCTTGGGGTTCGCGGCTTCGTTGTCGAGGAGCTGGAGGATACCGGACGGCTTGCCCGCAATGAGCTCGACGCACTCGCGGTTGTCCGGCCAGTCAATCTTGCCGACCGAGATGCCTTCGCGCTTGTAGAGCTCCATTTCCGCGATAAAGACTTGGTTGTTGAACGTCGTCTGGAGCACTTCGTTCGTGTAGTTGATCAAGAGCTGCTCGAAGTCGTTGCGCTGGAACGACTCGAACCCAAAGATATCGAGCACGCCAATGTACGGCAAGGGCGCCGGGTCCTGGCCGAGCGACTTGTTGACTTGCTGGATGATCCAGTCAAAGAGACGCCCGTAGACCGACTTGGCGATCGCGTCACGCGCATACACGGCGTTCTGCGCGTTGCGGCGCGCGATAAAAGCTCGTTGCGCGTGACGATCTCGCGCTCGGTGATGACCTTGAGCAGCGCCTTGTCGTCGACGCCGAGGAGCTTGGCCGAGAGCGCAAGCGCCTTGGTCGCGTCCGCCGACTGCACGATCGCAGCCTCGCCTTCCGGCGTGTCCTCTTCGTCAAACTCAATGTTACCCATGTGCAAGAGACCCGCGACGACCGAAAAGATCGTGTTTTGCTTGGCGTCCGGAAGGCCGACGCACGAGAGACCGTTGACGACATGCGCGTAGTTGGCCTTGTCGTCCGTGTCCTCGGCCGTGTAGCAGTTGCTCTGGTTGAGGTAGTGGTAGTCGTCGGGGCGCGTGAGCTGGAAGTCGCGCTTCTGGTCGGGCGACGCGCCGGCGAGGAGCTGGTAAAAGATGTGAAAGTTGCGCTCGCCATCGACTTGGTACACGAGGCGCGACTTTTCGAGCAAGTACGTCTCGACGAACGCACCCGCGAGCTTGAAGAGGCCGTCCGACGTGAACTGGAGCTTCATAAACTTGCCGAAACGACTCGAGTTGTGGTTGCGGAGCGTCTTGGCGTTGCCAAAGGCTTCGAGGATCGGGTTCTGCTCAATGAGGCGGTTGTCGAGCGAGTTGGTGTTCTCGTGGCGCTTGTTGACGAACGTCTCAACCTCGGCCGCGTTCGTCTTCTTGCCAAAGACACCACGCGTCGTCAAGTGCTTGAGCACGATCTTGGACGACTCGGTCTTACCGGCACCCGACTACATACGCATGAGTCATGTGCCATCATGATCGCAGTGTACCTCGCCAGAAATGACAACGGACTGGTTCGTTGGCATCTCGCGCGTCGAGTTGTAGACCATTTGCTGGTAGGCCATTTCTGCGATCGCGTACGGGTGCGGCGGGCAACTCGTGTTGTTGACGATCTCCGAGACGCGCGGGTCCGCCAGCGGGCGCAGCGGGTTGACCGCAATGAGCACGTTGGCCATAAACGTGTACGGTCGCTGGTTGTCGAGCTTCGAGCGCTCCGAGAGGTTGTGCAAAACACCGGGCTCGTGGATGTAGTAGAGCGCAGTCATGTCGTCCGTCACGCGCGGGTTCTGGGGCAGCGCGAGGCCGCGGTCGACCTGCGCGACCTTGTGGTGGTGGTTGCGCACGGTCACCTTGAGCCCGCCGATGGCCATGACGGACGCGAGCTCCCAAACCGCGTCGTGGCCAGGGACCCAGACCATGTCCCCGACGTTGATGGGCATGGTCTCGCTCTCCTCGCCCTTGGCGCCTTGCTTGCTGATGACGCCGGGCGTCGCCATGCTCTCTTCCGGGCCGAAAAAGCGAAAATAAAACCTCGCGGAAATCCGGGCAAGAAATCCCCGCCCCTGATTTGCGGCGAAACGCTGCAACCGCTCCTATTCTACGCGCGCCACTTCTGCATCTGGTTGCTGGACAGAAATGAGCCAATCAGCGACGCCCATTCGCGTGATCGGCGCGGCAACTTCGATCGATCGAAGTTTTTGCATACAAACACCAAGTTACCAAAAGTCGGCAAACAAATGACCCCGTTGGCGACCCAAGGTCGTTGAAGTTGACCTCGACGGCAAAAGATCGGACGGGTGCTGTCTCGGGCCGTCGCGATGTCGATACCACATGGACAGCCAACTGGTACCATCGTCTCCTCATCAGCTCGCCCAGAGATGAGTTTAACGCTCGGTGAGCCGCCAAGACGGCAATGAACCGGTGCATTGTCGCCACTGACTGCTTCTGTTCGTTACGCCGACTATCCGGATAATTGCAGGACGTAGTAATGCGGCTTCCAAATGCGCACTCTCTTCGTTACCGACAGTCCGGATACCGAGCAGGATGTTGATTGGCATAAAAGATTGTTTTTTGGCGAATCATCGATGCCGTGGATGGATTGACGAAGCAGCTTATGATTGGCCGAATGGATTGAATCGACCTTGGATTTTGACCAATGAACGTCCGCAACGCTTATTTTTATGGGCAACCGCTCGTTGCTGCAGTCAGTATTCGATATATTCTCGCGTAATTAAATGCATTAACGAGGGGGATTTGTATGTCTGTGTTGGAATAAAATGATGTGAAATTTAAAACAAATAGCAGCCGCCCATGTGCGACGCACGTGTCCAAGGCAAAACCTCATTTTCGCCCGACCGCAATGTCGCTCCTCAAGGAAGTGAACGCCCATGCGACGGTGGCATGGAGCCCGATGAAGCACAGATCCAACCTCATGGCCCTTGGATCCAAGGACGGCGTCGGCGTCGGCTTCGACAACTATGGCGGCGAGCTCCAGCTCTTCTCTATGGACTTTGCCGACGTGTCGCCATTGCCCGTGCAATTGGGCAGCATCAAGACGTCGTCGCGCTTCATGACCATGTCGTGGGCTGATGTCCTCAAGCATCAGAGCACGTGCGAATTGGGCCTCCTCGCTGGCGGTATGGCCGACGGCACCGTGAGCATTTGGGACCCGAGCAAGATGAGCAACCCGGCGACGCAGGCCGCGGCCGAAGTGGGCAAGGTCGCCCGTCACAAGGGCCCTGTCAACGCGCTCCAGTTCAACCCGCACAGAGACAGCTCGCACTTGCTGGCCTCGGGTGGCGCGTACGTCCAATCGAACGCGGTGGACGCTGTGACTCATGCCTCGTGTTTGTGTGCAGGGACGGCGAAGTCTTTATTATGAGCGTCGACAAGCTCAACGCGCCGCCGCAGGTCTTTACGCCGGGTGGGCCCAGCTATGTCGCGCAGCCTGGCAACGAAATCACTTGGTACATGCAACGTGGTCGAGATCGATCCGACTCATCGCGCTGCGTAGCGTCGCATGGAACTCGCAAGTGTCGTACATCCTCGCCGCGGGCTCGCAGAATGGTACCGTGACGATCTGGGATCTCAAGCAGAAGAAGCCGTGGTGCGAACTCAAGGACCCGCAGCGCGGCGCCGTCTCGGCGATCGCCTGGAACCCGAGCGAGGGCATGCACATCATCACAGCGTCCAGCGACGACCAGCGCCCGGTCCTGCGGCTCTGGGATCTGCGCAGCTCGACGTCGACGCCCCTCGCCGAGTTGCACGGCCACACGGCGGGCATCCTCTCGATCTCGTGGTGTCCGAATGACCCGGGCCTCGTCCTCTCGACGGCCAAGGACAACCGCACGTTGCTCTGGGACCTCTTCTCGGGCCAGCCGATGTTTGAGTTTCCGTCCAACTCGCCGGCCGCTCCGGTCGGTGGTCCCGGTCAGTTTTTCGCCGGTGGCGGCGGTGGCCAGCGCCGCTTCAATGTTCAGTGGTCGCCCAAGATCCCCGCGGTGGCGTCCGCCTGCACGTTTGACGGCAAGGTCCAAGTATGGGGCCTCGCGGGCAGCGGCGGTCCGTCGACGCGTGCGCCCAAGTGGCTGCAGCGCCCGGCCTCGGCGACCTTTGGCTTTGGCGGCAAGCTCACGGTCGTGACGCCATACCCCAACCCGGCGCAGTCGCAGTACCAGCAAGTCAAGGAGTACCGTCCGGTGCACATTCACAAGATCGTGACGGACCCTGCGACGGTGCAGGCGGCCGATCTCTTGGAGCAAGCGCTTGCCGGGAAGGACTTTAAGGGGCACTGCGACAAGAAGATTGCGTCGTCGCCCTCGGACGCCGACGTCTGGAGCTTCATGAAGGTGCTCTTTGAAGACGACGCGCGCCAGCATCTGCTCTACCATTTGGGCTACGACGCGGCCACGATCAAGGCGGATGCGGACAAGTACTTGGGCAAGACGGCCGAGCCCGCGCCGATCGCGGCGGCCCCGGCATCGGCGTCCGCCGAGGACATCTTTGCCGCCGGTAGCCTCTCCACCGAGAGCCTCAGCGCGGACCTTCCAGCGGCGGCGCCCAAAGACACGAGTGCCCGTCTCTCCCCTGTCTCGCTGCCGCAGTACACGGAGGCGTCGGAAGATGTCATCAAGCGCTCGCTCCTTGTCGGCGACTTTGCGTCGGCCGTCGAGGTCTGCCTCCAAAACCACCAGTTTGCCGACGCACTCTTGCTCGCGTGCCAAGGCGGCGCCGACCTTTGGAACGTGGCGCAGGAGGCCTGCATCGCGGCGGCCCAGGCGCGGCCGTTCATGAAGATCGTCAACGCGATGCTCAAGAGCGACCTCGGCTCGCTCGTCGACGACTCGGAGCCGGAGCTCTGGACCGAGACGCTTGCGATTCTCACAACGTACGCCAAGAGCGATGAGTTTGCGCCGCTCTGCGACCGCCTCGCGGCCAAGCTCGAGGCCGCGGGTGACAGCGCGTCGGCGACGCTCTGCTACATGTGCTCGGTGAACGTCGAGAAGATTTACTCGGCGTGGGTCAAGGAGGCCGCCGTCCAGGCCAAGACGCGCGACCCGGTTTCGGTGCTCCAAGATCTCATCGAGAAGATTTCGATCTTTGCGCAAGCGACGGCCAACCCGGACCAAGATCTGAGCCCGGCGATTGCCGAGCAGTTTGCTGCATACGCCTCGCTCGTACGTGACGCATTGGTCGAGGGTTGACTGATATAATGCATCTTAGATGGCGTCGCAAGGCCGCCTTGATATTGCGGCCCGGTACGCCAAGTTTACGGACTTGAGCTGTGCGATCATCCGCGACCGCGTCTTCCATGCGGCGCCGATTCCCGGAGTCCGTGCCCCGCCGTTCCCGTTTGCGGATGCTGCCGCTGCCCAGCCCGTCGCGCCCCAGCAGCAGCAGCAACCACAGCAGCGCCAGGCGCCCGCACGCAACACGCAGTATGCTGCGCCTGCCGCCAACAAGTCCTATGCAGCTCCCAGCAACGCCTATGCGCCGCCCGCTGCCGCCAACGCCTATCAGGCGCCCCCGGCGGCCCATGCGACACCTGCGGCCAACACGTACCCGACGCCTGTGCCCGCGCCGTACCCCAACCAGGCGTACAATGCGCCTGCACCAGCGTACCCGGGTGCGACCCCTGGCTACGCTGCGGCTCAAGGGGCTGGGTACCCTCCCGCGGCTGGATACCCGAACCCTGCTGTGGCGCCTCCCGCGCCGGCTCAACCGGGCTACCAGACGTACGCTGGCCAGCAAACGAGTGCGTACGGCCCGGGCTCGAACACCGGTTACCCCAACCCTACTGCAACGTATGGTCCTGGGTCTAACAGTGGTCGCCCGAAGCCTGCTGCGACCTACGGTCCTGGCTCCAACAGCGGCTACCCCAAGCCTGGCCAAGGGTTCAACACGCCGTCGCAGCCGCCTGCTGCCGCGCCGGTCGGTCAATTCCGATCGGGTGCCTCGTACGGAGCGCCTGCTGCACCGCCGGCTGCCGCATACCCCGGCGCGCCACAAGCGTACGCACCGGCGCAGACGTTTGGGACGGCGTCGCAGTCGTCGGTACCGGTCACGTCGTCGCGCATCGTGACAGCGCCCGTCGACATCAACCGCCACAAGACGGACGGCTTTGTGAGCAGCGTTGGCAACAAGGACCTCATCCGCAAGTACGGCAACGCGACGAGCGCCATCATGTCGCCGACCGAAGATGAGAAGAAGGGCTTCTCGGCGCCACGGCCCGCTCGGCTGCACGGACAGCGTCTCGGCCGAAGACTTGATCATCGTCGAGACGTTCAATGGCTTGGTCGCCCGACTGGAGGGCGCCTCGCTCAACCCGGTATGGCAACCAATGTTCATGCGACGCGTCTCATGCGTGGACACATATAGGCGGAGCAAAAGATGCTTGTCGAGGGCCAGAAGGCCAAGGACCTCATGTTTACCAAGCTCAATGTGGCCGAGCTGAGCCCGAGCGTCGTCAAGAGCCTCCACGACATGGTCGGTGCCATCGGACGCAGCGACATTCGGAGCGCTTTGCACATCCACACGGGCCTTGCGACGTCCGACTGGGCGGCGCACAAGGACTGGCTGCGCGGCATGAAGACGCTCCTCCAGCTCGCGCTCAAGCGCTCATAAAGAGATAGTAAAATGACTACAGATCTAGTTTCCTAGTTGACATGGGTTGCGATTTGGAGGGGACCGGCTCTCGCCCCCACCCCAAAGTAGGGGGTGGGTCGCAAAAACCGTTCCATGGGTCCCACATAAATTGCCAAAGAAATAAATTCTTTGGAACCCTACTTGTCAGGTAGGGCGTTAGTTTCCTTACTCATAGAGTTTAAGCCACCAGTGAGTAGGCGCGTCGGCGGGTGTAGCTATGGATCACTACGTGTTCTCCACGTACGTTTTGAGGTAAATAGATTCGGCTGTGGCCACAGATATATTCTGTTTGAAACAGTGTTTCTAATACAGAATGTTTGCCGACGGTCCAGACTGTCAGCCTTAACACAACAAACAGGTCGACTGAAATTCCAAATCGGAATAAGAACTTGGACCAAGCAAGCCATGGACGAGCCTAGCTGGTCGACCGCTCAGCGAGGACGCTCGTGACGTGGCGTCAATTGTGAAATAGAGTCTGGTCTGATCTCGTTTGGTCACCCATGAAAGAAGCAGAAGCTTCGGTGCACCCAATCATAAAGCGCAGGAAGCACTAATGAAGGCGCTTCTATGGCCGTTGGAGCACATTTATCGTCCTTCGGGCTGCTCATTCCGGCACAATCTTCGGCGAGCTCATTGTCTTCGTATGGTGGCATTTGCATTGCGCTCCCGTCGTACCTTTGCGGCGCCTTATGGCATAAAACCCATGTACCCACGTTAAACTCCAAAAATAACCGACCACTTTTCGATTTCGCTCGTGGCAAGGAGGTATGTACCAGCAGCCACCGCCCGGAGCGCCGTACCCCGGTCAGCAGTACCCGCAGCAGCCTGGTTACCCGCCGCAGCAGTACCCGCCGCAGCAGTACCCTCCTCAGCAGTACCCTCCGCAGCAGTACGCCCCGCAGCAGTACCCGCCCCAGCAACAGTACTATGCGCAGCAAGGCCAGCAGCTCTTCCAGGCCGCTACGGCGCCGCCCGTCGTGTACCAGCAGCCTGTCTACCAGCAGCCTGTCTACCAGCAACCTGTGATGATGGCGCCACAGCCCATGTATGTGTCGCAACCTGGTGTCTACTACGGCGGCGGCGGCGGCTACATGGGTGGCGGCGGCTTCATGGGCGGCGGCTTCATGGGCGGCGGCTACAAGGGCTTCAAGGGCCGCGGCGGCTACTACGGCCGGGGCAAGGGCTTCAAATTCTTCTAAACTCTATGTAAACAGTCAAGACTGAAAATGTACTTCGGCGTGCTCTAAGATGGATCTGCTCGGTGGCGCAGTACCGGTAAGCAGGCCACGTAGCTAGCCAAGCGATGACGACATGTGGACTCTCCCGTCGTCGTCGTACATGGCACAGCTGACCACATTTCCGTTTGCGGGAATTCGGCCGTGCCGGATACCAACTTCAAATTGGCCTTCCATCACCGCGTTTAATGTGAAGGGTAAACAAAGTTAAACTGCGTTTTACGGGCAAGGTCTTCCTGGAATGTAGGTATGCTGCGATGCACCCAGCATCGTCCACGGGATACACCCTCCAACCCCTCGCTGCGCCTGCAACATCTATGCAAGTCGCAGTCCACGTCATCATGCTGTGGGTATGTAAAGGCTAAAGCGCGACTTTACTGCCGAACGCGGCCTCATTGAATAAAACGTGCTGGTTTGCATAAAACCTATGTACCCACGTTTTATGCAGTCACATCAAGGGGGAAAACATAGATTTCCTTTGTCTTCGATGTACCAACAGCCCCATCCCGGTCAGCCGCAGTACCCCGGCCAGCAGCAGCAGTACCCCGGCCAGCCCCAGCAGCAGTACGGCGCGCAACCCGGCTACCCGCCGCAGCAGCCTGGTTACCCGCCGCAACAACCCGGCTACCCGCCGCAGCAGCCGGGGTACCCGCCGCAGCAGCCGTACGGTGCGCAGCCCGGATACCCGCCGCAGCAATATGCGCCTCAGTACGCGCCGCAGCAGTACCCGCCGCAGCAGCAGTACTACGCGAACCAAGGCCGCCAGCTCTTCCAGACGGCGACCGCGCCCCAAGGCATGTACCAGCAGCCCGCGCAGCCCATGTATGTGGCGCAGCCGGGCGTCATGTACGGCGGCCACAAGGTGAAGCACTACAAGTACAAGAACAAGGGCTTCAAGGGCCATAAAGGCTTCAAGGGGCACAAGGGTTTCAAGGGTTTCAAGGGCCACAAGGGCTTCTTTGGCGGCCGCCGCCACAAGGGCTTAAGTTTTTCTAGGCGCTTTCCTTTCTTAATCCTCAAATGTTGGTGTGACGCATGCAAACACTTTGGTGCCGAGAAAGGTCAAGTACGGCATGAGGTCTCGCGACTGCGGCGCAAAGTGCTTTCCGTTCCAGTACGCGGCCTTGGCCCACGCGGCGACCTGCGTGCACGTCAAGAGGTTGTGGCCGTCGGTCTCGAGGACCGCGTCGACCCGACACACAATGTGCGCGATGCAGTCGACCTAACGTTGGACATGGATGCACACCTTATACGACGACGATGCGTACCAGCGCCACGCAGCCCGAGGCGGCGTCGTACACGTCAGCGTCGCGCAAGTCCTTCTTGGACATCCCGTGCTTGCGCTTGAGCGGCCGGAGCGGAGCCCATCCCGGCGGGCACGTCGCCAACTGGAGCGTCTCAAACTTGTCCACGTCGGCGCCCGAGCAGCCGCCGATGGCCAGGATCGTTGCCTCGTGCGCCTTGGTCGGCACGTTGAGCACTGCATCGCGACGTGAGACGATCGTCGTTCATGATTGTACTACCAAAGTACTGGCCCGGTGCGTGGACCAAGGTCGCGGTGTGGCGCTTGCAGTTCATGGAGCAGATAAACTTGCCCTAGGATAGCGCGGTAGTATGCCTCATTTCTTCGTTCTCGCACGTGGTTGTTGATGGGCGTGAGCCACGTGATGGTCATGACGTTCCGGCGGCGAGAAGCGTCGTCGTCGCCGCTCTGGACGCTCAAGAGGCAGACGGGGTTCGGATACAGCAGTCGACTCAGCATGTTCTTGTCAACTTGCACGATCGCGTCCGGCGCGCTCGCCGCCAGCAGCGCGCCATGACCCGCGGCGCCTCCATCGGTCCCATCGGTCGTGCTCATGGTTGGTTTTCAAAACTCAAAATCAACAAAACCGCACTAAAAAACCCATCGCATCCGTGCAATTGAGTTTTATCGGAGACGCCGCTCAACTTCATGGAGACGTCGAACGTACTAGGCAGCGTCGGCCGCCTCCATGCGCCGGTCATTGTATATACGGCTGATGCAGTCACCCAATGGAGGCGCGGCCTTGAGGTGCCACGTCGGACAGCAGCCCACAGCCTGCCGCCACCTCCTCCATGACTCAAAAGTCTACCAGCAAGAGCCCCCGAGAGGTAATAGATGAGGAGCGACGACGTCGGTACCGCGAAATGCAAGTACCGAAGCTCGACGACTCCCGCAAGGTGGTAGACATTTGGTGGGCAGTACGTGCGCACAGGCGACAACGCGTGCAGAACCACCGACGTCTCGCACTCTCATTCGACCATCAACCATCAAGAGGACCTTGAGCGCTAAGAGGACACCCAAGAAGCCAATGGCGCACTGGCGCAGCGGCCATGAGGCACCAAGAGCTGCCTGTCGAAGACGCATGCTGCTCGACAGAAGTCGGTTGCCGTTGCCCAAGCGTACGCCGCTAGTACGACGAGTAGCTACGACGAGAGCATCTGCGCAAAGTGCGCGCCTTCGAGCTCGACGCCCCTCTAGAGCAGCGACGCGCTGTACATGGACATGGAATCCGCGGTGAAAGCGATCGCGCAGGACGTGCAGGTTGCGGTACAGGTGCCGAGAATGCTTGTGCAGAAAGACCGAGGCAAGAAGAGGCTCTTTGTCTGCACAACTGTGATGCAGCTGGCATCGGCGAGTCGTCGTACGTCGATATAGCATGGAAGTAGAGACGACGCGCAGAGCGTTGTGGGCATGCTCGGCTTGTCCCGCGGGGTCATTGCACCTGGGCACGTCAGCCTTTCATTGCGATGGCGAGACGACGGTGCTTCCATCAAGGCGACCGTCACGGGCGGTTTGCGCTCGAGGGCCTGGACCTGCGCAGTAGCAGCACGACGAGGGTCGGGTCGGCGCCAGCGCGGAACCAACTTGGAGGTTGCTGTACGGATATTAGGACCAGCTGGGTCCGGTTGAAGGTCGTGTTCTCCGGTGGGGCCAGGAGACCAGACCGCAAGATCCCCCGCCGCAACGATGAAGGCGTCGCGTCGTCAGAGCAGCTCGCAACGGAGCACGAAGCGACTGCAAGCGTCGTACAAGCTCACGGTCCATGGGCCCGAGTATGGTACGGGGGAAGAGCTCGTGATCAACCCGGAAGCCTTCCCGGATGCCAAGGTGCGTCGACAAGGTGCTGCTACCACAGGCGCATAGGGCTGCATGTAGGTGCATGACCTCTGGGAGATCTCGCAGCCCGACCGCGAGCACCCGCGACTCGTCATGCAGATCCGGTCGCTCGCGCCGATCCGCGGCAAATTTCAAGTTGAAGCCTCGCCGTCTCCTCGAATGCGCTCATGCATCCTCGTAGATAAGCATCTTGAAGGACATTGCGGCGCAGTTCCAGCTCGACACATACCACGAGGTCGTCGTGCAGGTACTAGCTCTAGCCTCTCTACCTGTGTCCATGTAGAAAATGTAGAAAATCGAGCCCACGGACGCGACCGTCGACTTTATCGAGCTCTCGTTCAAGGACCAGTTCATGTCCCGCGCCGACATCTGGCGCTACAAGGCGCGTTCGTGAGCGACACGCGAGGCCATGACGCGCGTCTCGTAGGTAGCCATGATCGGGCGTTGCATGTACGCGGGCAAGATGTACGAGACCTTGGGCACGCGCGCGCAGGTCCCGTCGTCTCGCTGTGTGGGTAACATGGCGCCCATATCCGACCGTGCATAGGCCGAGATGCTCTTGGCGAACGAGAAGACAGTGCTCTGCGGTGTCATGGCCAGCCACACCAAGCTGATCCTCCGCTCCAAGTCCTCGCGCATCTTTTGGCTCATCCACATGAGCCGCGAGATGTGGGACTTTGACGACGACGGCGAAATGTACTTTGAGAAGCTCGTGAACCGCCTCGTCCGGGTATGTCGTCCGTCTTCTCGACCGATGGCTTGAGTTTGCGATGTAGGGCCTTGTCGCCAAGTGGCAGGAGACGTCGGTGAGCCACTCGGTGACCGTCCTCATGTTCTCGCGGAGCTACTACGATAAGGACCAATTTCCCAACGACTACGACCCGACGGCGTACGCCTTTGTGAACGAGTGCCAATCGCAAGGCTTTGGACCGGGCGTGGCGGCCGCCCACATGGCGCATGGGCACGGTCCATCGATCAACGTCGACTGCGACGGCCGGTATTACGAAGATTTCTACAATGTGATCGTGCAAGACTACACGGGCCCGGACTGGTCCCAGCTCTTCAAGGTCCTCAAGCACGAGTTTGCTACGTATGCGCAGCAGCACCGGTGGCGGCTCCCGCAAGACACGCAGCTCGCCACATACGACGTCCGACGCGTCGACGACCCGGTGACGAACGCGCCCGCCTTTGGTACACTGCGGGTCTTCCAGCGCATCCTGATCGGATAACACATGGGTAGCGGTGCAGTGGACCGAGCTGCCTCATGGCGTGCCAGCGCGCGCGATCGACGGCAACATGCTCGAAGCCATCAACGTGACGCTCAACATCTTTGACAAACACTACATGGACCGCGACCTGTACCGCGCCGGCCAGGGCATCGTCATGATCACGGCCGGCTGCAGCGTGTACAAGGCAAGCGTTATGGGCACGATATGGCATGCTCATCCATGTGTAGGTTCGGCAGCGCCTCGCGCAGATCACCAAGCAGCGCATGATGGACACGGGTGTCGGCATGGACATGATCTCGCTCACAAAGCCACCGATGCACCCGGTGCCACTCTTTATTTGGCAGAAAAAATGCGCCAAAGACTTGCCGACCGTCACGAGCTCGCCGCTGTTTTGCGTCGCGGAGGACCAGAGCATTCCGCTCGCGCCGCTCTCGCCGACGATGCAAACGCCAGCGCCGACGATGGATGCGTCGACGTACAACGTGCCTCATTGGATCAACGTGAGCTTCCTCGACTTTGACTGCACGTGCGGCGCGGCGAAGAAGAGCTTGCTGCGCTGCGCCTGTCTCGACGCGCAAAACGAAGCGTTCCACGCGCTCCCGGCCTCGCGCATGTTTGACATCATCGCGCCCGAAGCGTGCATGGTCTTTCCCGTCGCGCTGCGCAAGCTCTTGGCGCCGTCGCTGCCGTCGCCGCGCGCACCGACCCGCGGCGCGATCTTATCGCAACTCACGCGTCTCCATACGCCGCCGGCGTCGTGGAGCATCGAGAAGGCGCCTGCTCACATGCACGAGTGGTGGCTCCAGCCGCACATGTCGACGCGCGATCTGCTCGCCGAGTACGACGACACGGTGTTCGACTTGAGCGACATGATGGCGCCCAAGCCGGTACCGTACGGGAAGCGCCCGTCGATCGTCTACATGGACACTCTGCAAGCGAGCCCGGGACTGCCGCCGATGATGACACCGTCCTTTGCGCGGCGAATCACGAGCATGCACAACCTCCAGCGCCACAACAGCGGCGCGACGCCCAACCGAAGCGCGGCCACGTCGCTCAGCCGGAGCTTCCCGAAGACACCGGACTTTGGCCCGCGGAGCCCGCTCATGGACGGGAGCCCGACCGAGTCGTTACAACCGAATGTGTCGTCTTTTGACCTTGGCACGTCGATGGACTCGAGCATGAGCATGATGAAGCACCGGAGCATGACGGACTTTCTCGTGAGTCCCCGCAGCCGCATCTCGTCGTCCGAGCTCCCATCGTCGTCGCCCATTACCAGCAAGCCTGTCCGCGTGAGTGCGCCGACGCACATGAATCCGTTCCAGCTCAACGAGTGCTCGACGCGGCTGACCTCGAACCGGCGGCGCTGGAGCCACATCTTTCCGTGGAGTCAGTCGGAGCACTGGATCTCGGGTCCGAATTGGAAGTCGCTCGTCAACCCCGCGGTGCTGCCGCTCACAACCGACTACTACCCGGCGCCGAACGAGCTCCATACGAGCTACACCGAGTCGTTCTATACGCTCATGCTGCTCGAGAACAGTTCGAGCTTGAGCACGCACCAACTCCTCGTCGAGATGGTGTGCCAGCGGCTCTCGTGCGACTACCAGCTCGTGACGCTGCCCGACGACGACGTCAAGATAGACGCCGTGCCGACGGTTTACCGCCTCTCGATGGGCCACCGCATCCACGTCCTCAACTATGATGAGCAGCAGCAAACCGTGGACGTCAAGTGCTACTTTAAGCGACCCAAGACGTACGCTGCGTCCAACGAACCCGTCGTGTACCAGTACTCGCTCTACAACGGCCTCACCAAGTCGTTCCAGAAGGAGCAACAAGCGTTCTACGAACTCCCGTATCCCCACGACAACTGGAATACCACCGACAACCTCCTCTCTGGGTATGTGGACACGATGCCCGACAGCTCCAAGTGCCGACGCATCCGCTTCGTCATCGTACCGCCGATTGGCATTGCGACGACCGTCGACGAAGCCGCGTACTTTGCCAAGTTTCAAAAGGTGCTCGACTTTTTCCAGTCCAAAGTCGGCAAGGTCGTTGTGAACGTGACGCTGCGGACGTCGACCGACGCGTTGAAAGCGGCATCGAACGAACCGGGCGCGCCGAAAAAGTCGACCGCCCGCGACTACTACCGCGTCAACTGCAGCACGTCGGCGCGCTTGGGCGTCGACTGCCGAAGCGAGTGGCTCATGCTCCTCCTCGACCAAGTGCACGACGTCGGGTCGACATACCACGTCGACGTGCGCTGGCTTGCGTGCAGCGGGTCGGTCGTCGAGGACTTCATCTCGGGCCTTCGGCGCAAGTGCAAGCAGGCCGGCGTCGAGCTGCGGCGCATTCCCGAGTACACGCAGGTCCACTACCTCCAAGTCCACCCGTTTCTGTCGCCGATGCTGCTGCCGTTTCCGCTCGCGAGCCTGCGCGGGTGCGCGCTGCGCGCGATGGACGAGATCCACACGCAGCTCGTGCTGCTCGGCTTCATCCGCGACGGCGCCCACGTCGCGGGCTCGGCCGGCATTGGGTACGGCCTCGGCATTGAGCAGCGCAAGCCGCGCCAGCCGGTTTTGCGCAAGTCGTCGAGTTATGTCTCCAAGCTCGACCAGTGGAAGGAGCGCGGGTACGAGCAGTACATGCACCGGAGCGCGCCGGTCTTTCTGCGCGTCCTCCACGACGCGCTCGTTTGGATTCCGAGCTATGCGTACGAGACGGCGTTCGAGCTCACGCCCGACGTGCTCTTCACCAAGGTCTGCCAATGGATGCTCAAGTCCCTCGAGCGCAAAATGCGCTCAGATAGCGTCTAACCAATGCAGGGACTTCTACCCCTCACCGTGCTAGCTAATATGACTGTCCCGTGTGGACGAAGACGTCCTTGGCACGTCGAGAGGGCTGTGTAGTGGCCCATCATGGGCATGCTGTGTTGCGTTGGGGTTTAGGTTTTACATAGGAGACGTGGTCGGTTTGTGTAATTTGGTAGATTTGATTGATAGAATTAGCTGTACTGTCCAAGTTCTCAGAGAAAGAAACTCCGCAATTTGTAGTTAGGAAGAACGAAAGTTATAGATAGATAGGTTTTTCTCATCCTAGAACTTGGTTACTATAGATCTATACATGTAGTGGGCATATTTGTTTCAGACGTAATATAGCAAGGTTATGCTCAGCGGGCCCGGCATGCGCTACAGCGAGTAGCACACGTCGGGCTCTCATACAAGAGGTGTCAGAAATCTAGCTAATCATCACAAAAAGATATGCCCCTACCAACTATTATATGTAGAACTAACTAGCGTGCGTGTTCCTCAGAAACAGCCAAATTCTCCGCATTGATTGCTCAGCCGGTAATTCCAAATTTGAATCATCATAGGAAGCTCTTGTCACTAGACTACCAATTCGAAACTGAGCATTGAGGGTGCGCGCTTGTCCGCTGCGGCTGCTGGCCAATCGTCGGCCTTGCCGGCCAGTGATTGGCTGATACTTCTGACGCTTTTTGACACGTGCGGGGATTGGCTACCAATTTTGAGCATGAACCAATCAAAATGGAATGTAGGCGACCTTTCAACTGTCAGCGCCAGCCAATGAAATATCTTTGTCAATCGCTGCCACGGAATTCCTACGGCACGATGGTTTGCGCTCGCCCTTTATGGCGCCAAGGCTACCGGTATTCAATGAATTGGATGTATCGAGCCGTCAGAACCCAGTTCCATGTCCCAAAGCACTGGCATCGATCAGGATAGAGCGAGCGAGGACACCTACAAAGCCCCTGGTGTGATGCTGGTTTGGCTCTTGGGTTTGGCTGTATCTTGGTCGTCGAGCAGATTCATGGCGGTACAGCAGCGTAGCTATCAAAGTCAAGCTGTTCTTATAGTCGAGAAGGAGGTATTCTGCCTTGTAGAGCTGGATTCGATTCCTGATCTTGGAAGCGATGACGTACATGCGACGCAAAGCGACCATGTGCAAGCCAACGCCAGCGCTTCGCCAAGCATGCGCAGCTAATAGGACGCCCGCTGGTGGAACGCCAAGATAACTCTTTTCGAGCACCACGGTGCTCGTCTCGCACGCAACCAGACTCCAAGACCATCGATCGGTCGACTGTCATTCCTGGCGTTGTTCTCCACCTCGATGTACTCGTTCAGACGACGCCAGAGCCGATATCTGCGTCGGTAACTGCGTCGGTATCTGCGTCGGTATCTGCGTCGGTAGCAGTCTATTCTACTGCACTCCCAGCCCTCGCGTTGCAATATATATGTTTTGCCACGCGGTCGATCGCGTCCATGGGACGTTGTGGTCTGCGGTGCAGTGTCGTGTTTTTGACAACCGAATCTTCCATCGAACGTCAACATTCTATCAATACTGTCTCAAGTGCATTCAGGATACTAGCGTTGAATATGCAATCCGGTGAAGTGAGACAGAACAGATAAAATGCCGGCTATCGGGCCTGGTGCCGAGCGCCAGAACGACAACCGGGCTCGGGCCACAAAGACATGCTACGCTAGCACGTCTATGGCGCGACGCGTGGCACGACGGTGGGTCATTCTGCGACTGGCGGCGCCATGACCAAGACAGCAGCAGCAGCGCGCGAGCCCGAGGCAGAGGCCTCGCCCACGCCAACCAAGGCCAAGCCCAGCAGCTTCAACATGGTGTGGTATCTCGTGCCCGTGCTTCTTGCGATTGCTGCGGGGTTGTACTCGCTCCCGCTCGAGACAACTGACGATGCGATCGTCTTCTCCAAGAGCCCGCGCCAGCTCGCCGTCAACATGTCGGCGCCGCTGCCGGAGAAGTACCGCAGCGATATCGTGCGCATCCAGACGCGCAAGCTCCTTACACCAGACCCTGCGTGCGTGCCGCCTATGGCGCCCACCGACCGCGTGCACGTCACGTCGTACCTCGGTCGCCCCGAGACGCTGCGCGCGCAAAAGTCCGTGCTGTTTTTGCTCAACGGCGAGAACGACGGCGTCGTCTTGCCGTGGGACGTGGCCGACGGCTGCTTGCACGCGCTGACAGCGTCGGCGGCGTTCGCACTGGGCGTCGATGCCGACTATGCGGCCAACGGCCTTCGCCTTCACAACAGCGACGGGCAGCCGATCGACACCGCGAGCGAACTGGACCGGGACCGCATCGTGTACATCCTTACCGACTTTCAGCTGTGGGTGTGGCCTGGCGTCGAAGTCGGCTATGAGCGGACGGTGGACGGCGTCAAGCTCAAGACGCTCTCGTTGGCACCGCTTGTGTTTGGCGTCGAGGATTTCTTCACGTCGGACGAAACCGAGTATGCGATCGAGCTCGGCTTGGAGCATTTGAAGCGGTCGCCAGTCGACAGCAAGGAAGCGCCGGACGGGTACCACGCCGACCGCACGAGCTTCACGGCGTTCTTGGACGACTCGCACTACACGCGCGACTTTCGCGCCCGGACGGCGGCGCTCGCGCGGCTGCCGTCGCCCGTCTACTGCGAGCGCATGCAGCTGCTGCGGTACCAGACGGGCCAATTCTTCCGTCAGCACGAAGACTATTTTAGCTCGAAAGACTTTTTGCAGCAGTCGGCGACGGCGGTCGCCGACTATGAAGCGTGGGCGACGTGGGCGGCGGCGACGATCGACGCGCTGCCCGAGAGCGTTCCCGTGCCATTCCAACAAGGCCACCCGCTGTACCCGGTCGTGGCCGACACAGGCCGGTGGCAGCATGCGCTGCTGCAGCTCTTCTTGGACGAAGCCGCGGCCACCGGATACTTTGCCACGGAACACGTCTCGGACGTGGCGTGGCGCGACTGGATCCAGGAAAACGTCCAGAACAAGGCCGTGGACATCCTCAAGCAGCTCCTCGAGTCCAAGCCGTATATGCTTGAAGGGATCATCGCGTCGTGGGAAAAGCACATTGGGCTGCCCGCCCTCCACTACAAGTACCATCTCGGTGCGGAAGGCGATGGGTCTGATGTCGGGTAGGGCGCCCAAGCACCCGCCGAGTGGCGTGTCCCACTACTTTCGCTGGATCCGCTGGGCCAAGGAGCGTGTCGAGCAAGTCGGCGAGGACGCGCCGGTCGTCGTGCGCACGTACGGTCGCGACTACCCGACGTATCGCATGCAGTTTCAGACCAAGGTACTACAATGCCGTACGCTCGCACTGCCACGTGTAAAGTGGCGTGCGTCTAGATGATCCAGTACGTTTTGGAGGACTACACGCCGGACGACATCGATGCGGCGCTGGGCGCACCCAACATGGCTGCGTGGCTCGAAGAGAACAAAGACGCGACCGATGCGCTCCTCGACATTCTGCGTAGGGCACCAGCCATGTTTGACCTCGTTGTCGCGTCCTGGACCAAGCGCGCGGGCGACGCCTTTGTCTACACGTACGTATCGACACATTGTCCAGGAAGGACAACTTGTCTGAACTCGTGGCGTAGAAAACCGGTGCAGTTTCAGCACTTTGAGCCGAACCGGTTCGTGACGCTCTTCTTGTACCTCAACGACGTGCCCGAGGGCGGCGAGACTGTGTTCCCGTACTCGAAGGAGCGTTTGGTGACGGACATTGAGCGCGACGGCATGGCCGAGTGCTCCGAGGGCCTCGCGGTGCCAGCAAAGCGACTCAAGGCCGCCTTCTTCTACGACCAGACGGGCCAGAACATCCTCGACCCGCTCAGCCTCCACGGCGGGTGCCCGCCCGCCCGTGGCACCAAGTGTACGACCGCGTCCAGTGGCATTCTTCTCAGTACTTATTTCTCGTCGTATACTAGTTGGCGCCAATCTCTTTACGTGGAACGCCGACGCAGACGAAGGCTCGAACGCGTGGGGCTTTGGCGGCTAGAGCCCTGTCTTTTATGTGTTTTAAATCATTCAATCATGCCGCCTTCTCCCCTAACGACCACACTACTAAACGGTGCTGCGCCGCTGCATGTAGCGAGAAATTCGTATTGTGCATGGTACACGGCACGTTCGTGTTCGTGTCGGTTCGTCGCAAAGTACATGGCTCGTTCGTGTAGGATGCAAATGGAATAAATTAAGCGTCCTTTTACCGCATCTTACAAGGAAACCAGAGACGGGGTCATGGCGGCGGCTTGGAGTTTCGCAATGTACTCGCGGATCGTTTGGCCTGTTCCGATCGAATTGCGCGAGTAGGCCTCCATGATGTACTTGGAGATCGGCACTGCTTCCTCCATCGTCTTGTACTCGGAGAGCGCGGGCTTGAGCTTCTGGAAGTGCTTGACGATTGTGACGCCCGGTGACGTCGGGGACACCTCGACCGTTGTCCACGACACCTCGTTCGTGACGGCGTGACCGTCTCTGACGGGAAAGCACTCGTCTTCGTGGATGCCCCGCGTCACAAAGACGGCCCGACCCGGCACATCCGAGTACTTCTTGATCAGGATGCGGCGTTCAATGACGCCAAGACCATACGGACGCACGGCTGCGATGTACGCGACGTTGTCCTCCATGACTGTGAGCGGCGCGTACGTGCCATGGACCCCGATGAGCTCGACGAGCCCGCGGAAGACGTCCCAGACACCGGTGGTGACGATGTCGCACGGCGCTTCAAAGTGCGCGCAGAGCGTCGTCTCGATCTCGAGCATGCCGTGCTCGAAGCGGGGCACGTGCCGGCGCTTGGGTGGCATGTCGTCCTCGAGGAGCCCGGCTTCGATGAACGCCGAGTCGATTTTTTCAAATTCGCGGTCCAGAATCGCGTGAATCGCAACCGACCGGATCGCCGGGTCGGCCACGAGCTTCATCTGCTTCCACAAGTCCTGCTGCTCGGTCGAGAGGTGGGCCAGCCGTGGCTTCTTGCGCACAATGTTGACGAGGCACTCGGCAAACTGGACCTGCTCCTCAATGGCCTCCTTGAGCTGCTTGTTTTCGACCACCGACTCTTGTCCGCGCTTGCGCTCTTCCTTGGCGAGTTTTTCCCAGCGCGACGGCGGGTCCAGCAGCTCCCGCAGCTCGCGGCTCTGGTTTAGCGACACGAGCTGCGCTTGGAGGTCGACGACCGCCTGCTTGAGGTAGGCAAATTCATTTTGGCGGCGCTTCCGGTGGCGCTGGACTGCTAGTTGTTGCTTGTTGACGGGCTTGGGCGGCGGTGGTGTCTCGTCGGGCTCCGACTTGGTCGACGCGCTCGACGTTGGCGTCGAGCACATGGTCTCGAGGATCGCGCGCTCCTCGTGCGTAAAGTTGATGCTGCCCGTGGCCATGTTCAGGCTGTTGATGTAGTCGCCGTCCGGCGTCTCGAGGCTGCGGAGGAGCATCGCGCGGTAAGTCGCGCTCGCCTCTGGGTTCATCACTCTCTCTGGCACGGCCGAATTTACCACAGTGGCGAGATTGTCCTGTTTTAAAACCAAAAGTCCTACCGGATCTTTCAGCATCCGAATCTCAGTAAAAAGCCAGCTTCGCTGCAAACGCCGGAAGGATCTCGGCCACCCACGCCGTGCACTCACAGCGTGTGTGCCACCAGCTCCGACCACTCAATGCCATCATTGCATGAACCAGCCCGTGTGGTCCCGCGCGCCCGTCATCGGCCGCGCCATGAGCTACTACTCTTCCCGGCATGCCACGTTGAAGTCGACGGCAAGTGCGTTATCGCGCTGCCACGTGGTTGTGAATGCAGCCATAAAATATTTCGCGACTACTACGCTAAAACAGACACAACAAGCTACAGAGCAAGGCGCTCGAGCCGGTGGATCTCATCGAGAATCGCGACTTCAAACCCGAGCGTGTTTTTGGAGAAGGCCTCCATGAGGTACTCGGCGTCGAGCGCGGCGCCGTCGTGCTTGGTCGGACTTGACTTTTGGAAAAACTTGACCATGCTCGCGATGGGCGAGAGCGGCTCGACGGTGAGCCACGACACTTCGTTCGAGTGGGCGCAAGTTGGGTCCATGGGATACAAGGCGTCGGCGTGGATGCTTCGACAGACCACGGCGAAGCGGGCAGGCGCCGCGTGGTAGCGCTTGACGATGACGCGGCGCTGGGTCTCGAGCGCTGCGTGCTGACGAACACCGGCCACATACGTTGTGTCGTCGTCGACTTCGTGCAGGAGACAATACGACCCGTTGAGCTGTGGGATGGGCACGGAGCCGCGGAGCACGCGCCACACGGCCTCGGACGCGACGCCAAAGGTAGCTGGGAACGACACGCAGACAATGGTCTGGACCTCCAGCGTATGCGCTAGCGTGATCTTGGGCACGTACTCGTGGCGGTGCAGTGGCGACTCGATCAAGCCGGCTTCGATGAACGCGCTGTCGAGATCGGCAAACACGCGGTCGACGATCGCCGGGATCGCGACGCGCCGGAGCGCAGGATCGGCCACGAGCAGGAGCTGGCGCCAATGATCATCGTCGTCGTCAGCGATGAGCGCCATCTTTGGTCGCTTGTGCACAAGGTTGACGAGGCACTCGGCGAACTGCACCTGCTCCTCAAGCATCTCTTTGAGCCGGCGGTTCTCACGCTGCGAGTCGTGCTGGCGCTTGCGCTCGCCTTTCGCCAAGCGTTCCCAGCGGCTCGCGCTGCGTGTCGGGCTCTTCTCCGTTGTGAGCTGAGCGAGCTCGGCGTGCAACGTTTGTACCGTTGCCTTCAAGTACGCGAGCTCGTCCTGCTGCTTCTTGCGGTGCTTGAGCGTGGCGATCTGCTGCTTGGTGCGGGGTGGCGCCTCGCGCGCCAAGTCGTCACAGATGCCAGCGACGAGCTCTGTCATTGTCGCCGGGTCTGGCAGTAAGATCTCTGCTGCGCCAGGGTCCGGATGCGCGTGGGCACTTGGGCGCATCGATCAACGCCGATCAAAGACGAACGCTGCAAAGCGCTGAAAAAGCCAGCGCGGCAACGCATACGGCGTGTTATAACGCGCGTTCGCCCACCAGGCATCCCACGGACCAATCGCATCGAAGGGTTATAACAAATTCTCGCACTGGATACTTGACGCGATCGACAGGCTCGACACTCGGCGTCGGTCCACATACGTGGCAGCCTCCTGGGCTCTCGACGCCAATCGCCCTGAGTCTGAGACGCTCCATGATGGATGCCGGGGCACATATTCCAAGGCGATGGCGTTAGCAGGTGGTCCACTTGTCATCGGCGTAGTCGTAGGACACGTCAGGATGACCTCGACGAATCCTGTCCAGAGCTCATCTGAACGAGACGAACACATTCCGTTGCAATGCTCTACTCTTGTACATACACGCCAAGCTACCGTCCATTAGCACACACAACGATAAGCTAGTACTAGTCAGTGCGACTCCTCGGACGAGCTGCCGCCGCTCGTGTCGCCATCGACGAGGCTCTCCATGGTCGCAATAAAGCCGTCGCAGTAGCTCCCGTAGAGCTCCATGAGGTACTTGCTTTCGGGCTCTTGGATCTCGGCGGGTCGAAAGTCCCTGAACGCTGGCTTGGACTTTTGAAAGTACTTGACAGCGACAGCTCTCTCGCTGGGCTCGAGCACGAGCCACGAAACTTCTTCCGAGATGTCAAGGCCTGGCTCGGTCGGGTGCAGCGCGTCGCTCGTGATGTTGCGCGCGACAATCACGCAGCGACCAGACGGCTCCATGTACCGGCGCATGACGACGCGCCGAAGCATGGTTCCCACCGTGTAGTGGCACACGCTGTGTACGTGCGAGGTGCTTTCGTCGAGCTCTTCGAGTTGCGTGTAGAGGCCACCGACGCACCGAACAGGGTACGCGCCGCGCATGACATCCCAGACGCAGCGGAAGGCAGTCTCGGCCGCCGTATGCATCGTCCACTGCAGAATCGTGTGGACTTCAACAGCGCCATGCACAACGTGCGCGAGGTACTGGCGGTGGTCGTGCGTCGAGTCGACGAGCCGCGCTTCAATGTAGGCGCTGTCAAGGAACGCGTACTCTTCGTCAAGCAATGCATGGGCTGCGCCGACGCGGTCTTCGTGGCGCAGACCCAGGCCCGCGGTTTTCCACGGCTTTTCGCATGCGGCGCCAAAGAGCGAGAGGCGTGGCCGCTTGCGCACGATCGCCGCGAGGGACTCGGCAAACTTGACCTGATCCTGCAGGGTGGCTTGTAGCCTATCGTTCTCGCGCACGGCTTGGAGCCGGCGCTTGCGCTCCCGCTTTGCGAGCTGCTCCCAGAGCGACGGCGGCTGAATCATGGCAGTGAGCTCGGCCGACTCTTTTAGGACGCGGACTTGCTCTTGAAGCTCGGCGACCTTGGTCTGCAGATACAGCAGCTCGCTCTTCTGCTTGAGCTGGTGGCGCTGGAACGAGCTGAGCTTCTTCGGCGACGCGGTCGTTGCCAGCCCCACGCCGCCCAGCCAGGCGTCGATGGCTGCATCGTTGGCTGTGTGGGCGTCGTCGCCCATTGCTCAGTTGTCGTTTGGCTGTTTCCGTCATCACGTCAGCTTATTGGCCAAAACCAAGTGCAATGTCGCCGTCGCATTGGTTTATTGTTTCAAGAGCGACCAATCACAGCGATGACGACAGCAACACAACTTGTCCATCCCACGTGCCTCGGCCACCAGATACACCAAGCCCACGAAGCGGCATGAGCTGCACGTCATAGCAAGCCAACCCACTCGGCTATTCTTCAAGCGTATCGGCAGTAAACTTCCGAGTTTTGCTGGCGGAGTACTACACTGTAATCGCTGTCGATGCAGTGGATCCCAATCCTGGCACATATCATGTGGCCTCTTGTGCGAGGCGCTGAATAACCCACAAGAAGAATCCAGTGGCTACTCGGTGCTACTATACGTGTATAACGACATGATTAGATGTTCGGTATCGTTCCCGCCATGACGTGGCAGCCTACGCGTCGGTTACCGAGTCGTCTGACGACGAGCCGCCGTCGGTCTCGAGAAGCATTAGCACAGCCCTTTCAAACTGGTACGAGTGATCGGCGTAGAGGTCCATGAGGTACTGGCTCTCGATCGTCGCCGCATCAAGAGGCTTGTCAAAATTGGGCGTCGATTTCTGAAAGTACTTGACGACCGTCTCGTTCGGTGCCGTCGCCTCAAACGTCATCCACGATGCCTCGTCCGAGATGCGCGCGTCGACAGGGTACAGCGCATCTTGTGTGACGCTCCGGCCCACAATGGTCACATGGGACGGCGACTCGACGTACCGCCGCATGACAACACGCCGGACCATCGCGCCCACGGCGTAGCGCCGCTCGCTATGGACGTACGACGTGTGCTCGTCGATCTCTTCTTTGAGCTCGTACGTGCCATCAAGCGACCGCACGGGGTAGGCGCCGCGAAGAATGTCCCAGGCTACGCGCACGACGGCCTCTAACGGCACCGTCAGCCGCATGTGCAGTATCGTGTGCACTTGCACGACGCCGTGGAGCAGGACGGCTCGGTGGGCGCGCATCGGGTCGGTCGGGTCGATGAGGTGGGCCTCGACAAAAGCGCTCTCCAGCACCGCGCGCGTTGCGTCCGAGATGGCGTGGCACATGCGCTGGCGCGAGGGCAGGTCGGCGCAAAGGACCATGGCTTCTCCCTGGAGCGACGCCTCGGTGTCTGCGAAGAGCGAAAGGCGCGGCCGCTTGCGTACGATCGCCGCGAGCGACTTGGCAAACTTGACTTGCTCCTCCAACGACGCTTTGAGCCGCTCGTTCTCGCGCAAAGCAGCGAGCCGGCGCTTGCGCTCGCGCTTGGCCAGCTGCTCCCAGAGCGACGGCGGGTCCATGATTGCGCAGAGCTCGTTCGTCTCATGGAGGACGCGCACGTGCTCCTCGAGCGCGGCGACCTTGTCCTGGAGGTACTCGAGCTCGGATCGCCGCTTGTCTTTGTGGCGGTAGTACGCCGACCGCTGCTTTCCCTTGCGCACCTGCGCGTCGTCGTCGTCATCGTCCGAGTTGGTCGAGGTGCTCGGCGCTGCGCTGCGTGGGCGTCCTCGCCTCTCGTCGGGCGGCGTTGCGTCATCAGGCGCACCACAGCTCGCCATCGCGGACCGTCTGCAGCGATGGATCTGGATTGGTCAAAAAGACCACTGCATTGGCCGAATCAGATGGCGTGACCGCCGTAGACAATGCTTCCACTTTGTCGACACAGAACATACTAGACGACGTACAATTCCAGTGTGACCTCATACGGTATTCAAAAAGCAGCATGAACCTTTTGGTCTAGTCTAATGTGTAAACATACCTGCGAGGAAGCATGGTAGGTGGCGCGCGTCGAAGCGATTAGGGTTCGTTTCCGCACTTGGTCGTACCGGTCTGCAAATCGTTGTGGCCAACCAAGCAGCAGGCGAGGTAGCCGCAGAGGTGTCGGACGAGCGCTCCCCAGCGTTGTACGAAGCTAAGTCCCTGCAAAACTCACCAATATAGCCAACGTGTCGCCCAGTGTGTAGCTGTCCGAGCTCCCCCGGTTTACGCAAGACGTTTTCCGATGGCCCTGTACCCGACCTTGGCTATAATAGCGTCCCGTGACGATCGCTAGTGTCTCGTAGACGCGCTCCACCAGCTTTTCGCGGCGTCCGTATTCAACACAGAGGTGTGGCACGCGATTGAACGCAACGGGCGTCGCTACGGTACCGCGGCTGGCTTATCCCAATACTGTACGTTGACACATCGAGAACCTATGTACAATTTGATCACTATAATGCATCAGTGGACATTGGCGTTGCAACAAAACACTTGGTATTACACTTGGACAACATCGTCGGGTGGTATCGCGTCGCCAGTCGTCTTGGCGTGTAAGAGCGCGCGCATCGCTTGCTCAAACCCGAGCGAGTGCTTGGCAAACATCTCCATAATGTGCTGGCTCACTGGCACGCCCATGATGTGGCTCTCGAGCAGCGGCGCCTCGGCGAAGAACGGGATCGCCTTCTGAAAGTACTTGACCTCGGTGGTTTGCGACGCCGCGTCCCACTGCAGCACCATCCACGACACCTCATGGGCCAAGCCGAGGCGCGGGTCGAAGGCAAACACCTCGTCTTCGTGCACGTTGCGGGTGACGACGACCACGCGCGAGTCGCTCTCCCGGAAGCGCTTGAGAATGATGCGTCGCTGGATCTTCCCGAGCGAGTAGTGCCGAAGACTGCCCACATACAGCGTATCGACATCGACTTCTTCGAGCACGCGGTAGATACCTTGGACGCTCGCAACCGTAAAGACGCCTCGCAAGACGTCCCAAATCGCGCTCACGGTCTCGGCGAGCGGCGCGGGCAGCCGCGTGAACAAGATCGTGTGCACCTCAAGGAGTCCGTCCCGCAGTATTGGGATGTATTGCCGGCCTTCTTTCGGCGACTCGATCAGCTTGGCTTCGATAAACGCGCTCGTTTGGCTCGCGTAATCGCGGTTGGCGATCGCATGGTACGCGGCGCGGCGCGCGATCGGGTCTGCCACCAGCCGGTAGTGCTTCCACTGCTCGTGCGCGTCGACGCAGACGTACCGCGGCGTCGGCGACTTGCGAATGAGCGCCGCGAGCGACTGAGCAAACTCGACCTGCTCGCTAATCGCTTCCTTTAGCTCGCGGTTCTCGACGAGGACATGCGCACGCTGGACCCGCTCCTGCTTTGCGAGCTTCTCCCACTTGCTCGGTGGTTGAAGGATGTCGCGCAGCTCGTTGTCTCGCGTGAGCTGCTCCAGCTCGGCCTGCAGCTCGTCGACCTTGCGCTTCAAGAAGACGAGCTCGTCGCGCTGTCGCTGCCGATGGCGCTGCAGCGCGAGCCGCTGGCGTTCGCGGGACGATGCGCCCAACGCCTTGTTTTCGGCGGCGAAGACGGAGCCGTCGATGGACGCGAGGTCGCAGTCGGCGAGGATGTCGGCGCCAAAGAGACCGCCGTCTTGCCAGCCTTCGTCGCCCATCTCCACTGTGTCGGGCGAGTTGCACTTGCCAGATCCTGTGTGCTCTGAAAACCTCCAAGAACAAATAGCCACCCAAATGTGATCGAGCAGCACCGATGCATATCCGATACCAGAGGGTTTCCAGACGATCTGGCACGTGAAGACGCAACCCATTGCACCCGCGGGCGACCGACGCGAGGTAATATCGTTTTGTAATAGATATGGACATGAAAGGAATGATGCAAACGAGGTAGAACGACCGAGCCAACCGCAGCATCGACCAAGGTGTACGTACATGGAGCTGGATGGTGCTGCATCATGAGTCATGAACGTCAAGCCATCCGGCGGCTTGAATTTCAGAGCAGCTTGTCGACGCATTTACCAAGGCTGTCAACACCAGTAAGCGTACAATGCTTTGTACCAGGCAGCACCAGGTAGTATATTCTTGATCGGCGGCGAGAGTTGGCGCTCCAACTTCTCATTTTGGCGATAAGATTTAGTACTTGGACTAGCCCTATGTCAACAACGGCATTCCACCGGCTACATGCACGAGGACATGGTGTAGCATGGGCCTTCCCATGGCATCGCGCGATGAGAGAGCACCCGCTGGCAGCGATGTTGCGTTCAAAGATTGCATTGCGTTTGTCAAATCTGCAAGCGCACGCACTGTCACCCGCAACCAAGTGGATTCGCCAAGAAGGAGCACCAGTTTTTCTTGGTCCCCACCAACGGCTCCGTCTTGTCCAGATGCAATAGCTCGCTTCTGGATGAGCTCTTCTTGCTCAAAGAACCTTTCTTACCGTGGATGCCAACGAGACAGACTGTGAATGGGCTTCATAGAGTGTTAGAAGGTGGTACGGTAGGGCCAGCATCACCCGGACGGCGGCGCGGACGACGCGAGTATGATGCCTGCGATCTGGTCGCGAATCGCGCGCTCGTAGCTTTTGGTGATCTTTTGGAAGAGCAGCATGAGATGCATCGTCACCGGACCCTCGGCATCTTTGAACGACGAGAGGGGCGGGTGCACTTTCTGACAGTACTTGAGCGTGACGGCGCCCGTCGCAGGGTCCTCGATAAGCTGCGCCCACGCGACCTCGTCCATGACCGCGAGCTCGGGGTCGAGCGGGAACACGTCGTCAATCGCGATGCTCCGCGCTACGTACGAGACGCAGTGCGGGCGGTGATACCGCTTCACCAAGAGCCGGCGCTGGGCCTTGATCGGTCGGTGCAGCGATGAAAAGTACGACACGTCGGCGTCAATGTCGGCCAAATGCACGTACTCGCCGAGCACAGGCTTCAAGCGCGACGCGCCGCGGATGACGTCCCAGCCCGCCTGCACGGCCACGTCAAACGCGCAGTCCAAGTACACGAGCGCGATCGTGTCAACGATGAGCGCATCGCCTTCGAAACGCGCTTCGTTTTTCTGGAACTCGCTCGTCGGGTTGGTCAAGCCGGCCAGTGCGTACGCAGCGTCCAGCTTGGCGATCTCGCTGTCGGTGATCGCGTGGTACGCCGCCATGCGCGCGCGCGGCTCCATCGGTAGCCTTAACGTGCGCTCCGTGGTTGTGTACGAGCTCGGGTACAGTGACCGCGGTCGCTTGGACACGATCTGCACGAGCGAGTGCGCAAAGTCCACTTGCTGGTTCAGCGACGCGCGGAGCTCGTCGTTCTGGTCCATGGCGTCTTGGCGCCGCTTGCGCTCCGCTTTGGCGAGGAGCTCCCACTTGGCAGGCTCTTCGGCCACCGCGGCGCGCTTCGCGTGTAGCAGCTCAAGCTTCTCTTTGAGCTCCGACACCTTGTCGTTCAAGAACGCAAGCTCGGTGCGCGTGCGCTGGCTGTGGCGATGGAAGGCCTCGCGCTGCTTGCGCTTCTGTTCTGACCGAGGCGATAGCGGCGGCTCCGCTGTCGAGGCCTCGAGGGCGGCAACATCGAGGCCATCCAGCGCGGCCTGGACCTCGTCTTCCCACGTCGGGCGCAGCATCGTTTCCAGTGGAATAGATCCCTTTGAAAAATAATATTCTTGCGTGAGTTACAGGGTATGGATCTGTCACGTGCTACGTTGCACCCACTAGAGAGGGATTCGTTCAAGCCAGTGGAAGAGACACTGGAATATACTCTGTTTCCGTTTCATGCGAAACATCCTTCGACCACAAGCTGCAACGACAGTGGCTCTTTGGCTTGGACCATGCCTGTTCACTGTCAGCCAAGAGCCGGTACAGCCAGCCTATGTACATCGCAGTAAGGGAATCCAGTAAGGGAATGATCTCCTTGATGAGAGCCTGCTTGCCATCGTTGCTGCTGGCTCCGAGACCGCAACTAGAATCCATCACCACCACCACGATGACATCACAAGAGAAGCGACGTAGGATGGACGACGACATGTATTAGATAGGCGGTAGTAGGGCGTTGTGACGCAAAAGCGGCGCCTTACAACTCGGTGTACGTGCCGAGACTCAGTTTCTGCACTTGGGCGTGGATCTCTTCTTCGAATTTGAACATGCCCTTGGCGTAGAGCTCCATGAGGTACTGGCACGCGAGCTTGGACTCTTCGTCTTGGCTCTTGGTCACAACAAGCGACGGCTTGGCCTTCTGAAAGTACTTGAGCTCCGTGAGCCCCTGCGCGTCCATCTCGACCGACATCCACGCAATCTCGTTCGCGATCGCATAGTCGGGCAAGAGCGGGTACAACTCGTCGTCGTAAATCGACCGGTGGACAATCACACACCGCGTCGGGTTGGTTTCGAAGTACCGCTTGGCGATGACGCGCCGCTGGATGTTGCCGACCGGCGACTCCCGCTTCCCCGTCACGTATGTCATGGACGCGTCAAGCTCGAGCATCATCTTGTACACGCCTTGGAGGGCCATGACCTCGGCAGCGCCGCGCGCAACCTCCCACACGGCGTCGGCGACGACGTTGAAGAGGACGGGAAACTTGCACCGGATGATCGTCTGCACCTCGAGGCAGCCGTCGTGCACGATCGGCACGTGGCGCCGACCCTCCCATGACGTCTCCATCAAGCCTGCTTCGATGAACGCGCTGTTAAGCTTGGCGTACTCGCGGTCGACGATCGCGTGGTAGGCTGCGTCACGCGTGACGGGGTCGGCCACGAGCTTGAGGAGCTTCCACTGGTCGGTTGCGTCGGCGTGGTTGATGGCGAGGCGCGGCTTCTTCTGCACAATGTTGACAAGGCACTCGGCGAACTGGACCTGCTCTTCGAGGGCTTCTTTGAGCCGCGTGTTCTCGAGCAGCGCCTCTTGTTCGCGCCGGCGCTCGTTCTTGGCGAGCTTTTCCCACTTGGACGGCGGATGCAAAATGTCCTGAAGCGCTTTCGCCTGCGTCATGCTCTGCAGATTCAGTTGGAGCTCTTCGACCTTGGACTTGAGGTAGTTGAGCTCGTTGCGCTGTTTTTGCCGGTGACGCTGGACGGCGAGGACTTGCTTGGACGGTTGCTTCTTCTTTGGCGCGGTCTCAGTCTCGGAGCTACTCGAGGACGCGACACCGGGCGGAAGGAAGATGTCGTCGAGCATGTTGTACTCGTCAAAGGTCAGCGGCGCCGGCAGCGCCATGCTGCTGCTGCCTGCTTGCGGCCGGGCCATCGTCGGAAGGATGAAGCAATCCGAGTTCTTACTCTTGGCGCCTGGAGCATCGTAAACCTCTTACAATGAATTCAAAAGGTCATTATCCGATATCAGAGGATCTAATTTTATCATCTTGCATTACAAAGACCAAGGTCAAGAAAAAACATGCCGAAAAAAAGAAGATGATGCATCGCGGCGGCAAAGTCAACCTGCCCAGATGGTGCGAACGAACGGCCGCCAAGATCGTCAAGCGCTCTCTCAATCACGTGAGAAGGTGACGCTCAGCCTCGCTAGATACATACTGACGTACCATGTAGCGCACGTACGTGGCGGTACGCCTCTTGAAAGAAGCTGTGGTAAGCAGGCGGTCGAGCTGCGGGAATGAATCGGCCCATCGGTGCTGCGGAGTGCAGGTTGAAGTTGCCTCGGACGTCGAATTGTGCAAGGTAGAAGCAGTTGTGTCTGCTGCCACCGACATGGATTTCGCGTGGGTCGGACGCAGACATACAAGCACCGAGAGGCTTTAGATCCTGTACTGGGCTTGTAGCGTTCCTGCACTCGTACAGTCTCCAGCAGAAGCGCGATGTGGGCATAAACAAGGCTGTGCACGTCATGCAAAGCCGAGGATGACGTCAAAGGATACTACATTGCTCGTTTCGCATGAGCGTGCTCTGGTTCGATTCTGGTTCATTTTCTGGTTCATGTTCTGGCGTAAAGCGACACCAAATCTGCCTTACCGGTATTGTAGCAAGTTATCAGTGAAAAGGGTGCATCGCTTCTGCTGAGCACAAGACAACCGAACTCCCATCACGGGTAATTGGAGCTATCGGAGATGGCAGCCGAAACGAGCGGCATCGTTTCGACTGGATAGTAGGATTGGCGGCGCTTGGTGTCGCCTCCAAGTGCATTAAAAGTTATTTCCATCGTGATAGCACCAAAGCGCGTGGATTCAAACGGAAGAGGCTTTGTAGATTGGTAGCACTCGAGCAAGAAGGTGGTGTCTCGAGCATCTCGAGCTACGTACCATCTTTTTCAACGTGTTGAGGCTAGGCGACTGCGGCACGAGTTCATCCTCTCTGCTGGTACGGGCGACGATGATCAGCGCACGCAGCTTTCTGCCCCACTCGTACACGTCGCTACTGCTGCATGTCGATGCAGTACTTGTTTGCATTGTTCGTGTAGACCATAAAAGTTCGCAGGAGCTCGTGACAGCTCAATGACACGGCGATAACTGTGCACGGGCGTGAGCGCTTGCCACTGCGCGCTGGGGGCTGTCAATAGGACACACAAGCTCGCAGCCATTTGTGTATGCGCCGCAGCACAACCTCTGCACACAGCTTCAAGTGCTCTTGGCGTGCAGGCTGGAGCGAACAGTTCTCGGCTATGGAGCCGAGGTGGTTCTTCCACCCCAGGCATTCAGCTACCTGCTCGTGCAGCGACGACGGCATGGTCATCGTTACGCAGACCAAGGTGCCAACGCGACAGAATATTCGAAAGGATTCCATTCCAACCCTTCGAACCCTTCAACCTCCAGCGCCTCGCAGTAGCCAACTCCTTCCTGCCGTACATTGTACACGGCAAAGAAGACAAGAGACACGTCATGTCTCTTGTAGGCAGCAACGACAAAGGTGCTTCTCATGGGCTTCTTACTGACCACCTACCTCTACGTGCTCTGGAGAGGAAGGTTGCGCTGGTAGTAGAAGTAGCTCAGCTCGATGCATCTCGTCGCGATAGGTACCACAAGCACTCGCTGACGATGATGACATCAACGTGCTACAGACAAAGACACTTGATGACTTGTAAACGTATCTCGTCAGCCATAGGCGGCACTGGCTGCTGACTTTTTCTCGGCAAACGCCGCTCGCTGGTGCGCGGTAAACTGCTTGTCGGCTTCGAGGAGGAACATGCGCAGCTCGTTCCGCGACGCACCGTGCAGATCTTGCATGTACGTTCGAATCTCGTCTGGCGAGCAGTCGTGCCCGGACGTGAATGGCTGGAGCTTGGTGAAGACCTTGAAGAGGAAGCCAGACTCGCATGGCTCGAGGAGCATCCAGCCGACTTCGCGCGCGACGTCCCTGCCGTCTTCAAAAGGAAAGAGCTCGTCGTCTTCGACGCTTCGCCACACGAGGACGAACCGGTTTGCCTCCATGTACCGCTTGACGATGACGTTGCGAACGCTGGAGCCCAGCGTGTAGTGGCGCTTGGTCGTAATGTATGTTATCGTGTCGTCAACCTTGGTGAGCACCTCGCGGTACCCGGTCGGCGACGCAACGATAACGTTTCCGCTCATAATGTCCCAGATGACACGGGTCATGATCTCAAAGTCCATGGGCGTGTCGAAGCGACGAGGTAGCCGGACGCAGACGCGGGCTTGGATCTCGAGCGTTTGGTGGAAGACGCGCGTCTCGAACGAGTGGGGCACGGCTCGCGACTCGACGAGGCCCGCCTCCAAGAAGGCGCTGCGTAAATGGTGGCGCTCGCGGTCTGCCATCGCGTGGTAGCCCGAGTAGCGCAGGAGCGGGTCCGCGCCGAGGCGCAAATGCTTCCACTGGTCGTTCGGGTCCATCGCCACGACGAGCGGGCGCGGTGTCTTCCCGATGAGCAGCGCGAGCGCCTGTGCGTGCTCGGTATACTCTTTCACGGCGACCTTGAGCCGACGGTTGTCGGTCCTGCTTTCGCAGAGGCGCTTGCGCTCCGCCTTGGCGAGGCGCGCCCACTCGCTCGTCGCGGGGTGGGCTGCGTCCGCGAGCTCGCGGGCGGTGGCGAGCGCTCGCAGCTGGCCCCGGAGCTCGGTCACTTGGCGCTGGAGCGACGCGGCCTCGGCGTGCTGCCGGTCCATGTAGCGCTGGTACGGCGACCGCTTGGGCGCTGCGAGCTGCGTCGACACGTCGTCGTCCGTCTCGGGCGTCGACAGAAGCGCGTCCATTCGTGCACAATACTTTAAAGCGCGTTACGTAAAACACAGAAGAAGAAGAAGCGTTGCAATAGGCGCCAGTGGGAAAGCTACTTGGTCGTGCTGACACGTTGCAGGTGCCATCTTGATGATGACCTCGCAGCCTCGTTTGCGTGAATGCGTTTCTTGATGGTCGTACATACCTTGCTGGACTCTGACGAGCTTCTCCCGACCGTGCACGCACACGATACAGCTGGGGCATGGTACGAGCACCCTGCTGCGAGCCGGCTAATCCACTGCAAGCTACGGCATGTTTTCCGATGGATTGTGGTAATGCAGCCTGTTGCTTCTCGCCGAGACACCACATAAGTGTATCGGTTGGCACATCGCACTCGGTGGCGCGTCGTTGCTGCTCCAGCTCGCGGCACCATGGTGCGGGGACACGCAACTCCGTGCCTCCCACCACTGGCCACAATGAGTTCAAGTCACTTCGACACGTGCGAGGCGTACGCTGGGTCCATGTACTAAGCTTACTGGATCGAATGATCGGTTTCGCTGAGCGTGGTCCTCGGTCATGACCTTCTAACCCACATCACGCGTAGTAAAACAAAGGTTTGTTCTCGTGTTGACGTGAAGCCAAAGGGTTGCGACCGACGCGAGCGAGCACTCATTTTGGCCAAGCGATACGGGCAGTTGTAGACGTTGCGTCTCGCTGAAACCACCACAAGATTGCTTCGTACAGACCCATATCATACTACTCGGTAGTAGCATATCTCTGCGGCCGTCGTCAGTTCCAGCGATCCGTTGGGTTGCAACTGAGGAGGTCCTTCGGCGGAGCAGCACCGGCAAAATTTGATGCTCCAGTCGGTAGTATCGAATTACCACTGCTGCGCTTCGGTGCATGCCCAGTCGCCAGTCGCCGGCGCTCGTGCCCGCCATGCCTATGTCGTGGACCACCACCTCGGTGTCGCATCTCTTCACGCCCGAAGAGCAAGACATCTTGACGACGCTCGTCGAGACTCGTCCTCGCTCGGCGTATCAGCGCTACATGGACCGCCAGCAGGCTCAAGCTGACGCGCTCCGCGTCGAAATACGCCACCTCGAAGAGCCTCTTCACACGCTGCAAGCGGCGCAGCAGATCCAGGATCCTGCGCCGTGTGAGTACTCGCAGCTCGCACGGAACGAGCGCCGGCGCATGCTCAGCGCGATTTTCGAGAACCGACGACTGCGGGCCGCGGTGCAAGAGCAAGCCGACTTTGCCACGAGCCTCTCAAAGCTCCTACACAGAGAGCTACCCACGCCCTTTGCGCGGTGATATACTAGTACTAGTACACTGTTTGTAAAGACTCGAGTGCATTTGTTTCGCGCGAGTTGCTTGGCAGAGCAGCATTGCATTGCTCTACTTCCATTATGGCACTTGTGGCCCTGAAGCATGCCAAGCGCGCAAAGGCATCTATCTAATCGCAAGTCTGACGGTGGGTGGAGGTGCTCCGTGGACGCAATCCCTTCGATGCTATCAGAAGCCGCCAATCCATGGTTGTTATGACGTCGTTGTTGGCGTGCATAACCGTCTCCGACGCACCCATTAGATTAGTCAAACACCATCTCGCCGCTACTACACTGTAGGTCGCACAACTGGCGTCTCGATGGCGCCAGAGGTTCACTGAATACGACTCCTTAACGCAACGCGATCTTGGACCTCGTGCTTAATGACCTCGGTCGCGTCGCTAAACGTGCCGTGGATATCGACGAGGTACTCGCTAATGAGGCGCGGCGACATTTCGCCGTCGTTTGCCCGGAACGGCTGTGTCTTGTGAAAGTACTTGAGCAAAATTGCATTCGGAGTCGGCTCGATTGTGCACCACATGACCTCCTTCGAGACGTCGCAGTCGGTCGTGATCGGATACAGCTCGTCGCCTTCGATGCTGCGCCCGACGACGACGCTCCGGGTCGTCTCCTTGTAGAGCTTGTAGATCATCCGGCGCTGGGTCGTCCCGAGTCGGTACGGTTTAGTGTTCATCGAGTACGACACGCTGTCGTCGACTTGGTCGAGGAGCACACGCGTCTTGCTGCGTGTTGGAATCGTGACCGCACCCCGGAGCACGTCCCATAGCGTCGCAGAGACGAGCGCGAGATGCGCGCTCACGTCGGCGGCGCCAGGCAGCGGCAGCGCCACGGCGTACTTGGATTGGATTTCGAGCGTGTGGTTGTGCAAACGGGGCTCGTGGCTCGGCGCTTGCGCCGCCGACTCGATGAGCCCGGCCTCGATGAACGCGCTGTTGAGGAGCTTGTACTCACGGTCGACGATCGCATGGAAGGCGTCTCGTCGCGCGCTCGGCTCGCGCACCAAGTGCAGCTCGCGCCACTGGTCGCGGGGGTCGGTCGGGAAGAGACAGAGCCGCGGCTTCTTCCGGAGGAGCGAGGCGAGCGACTCGGCAAAGTGGACTTGCTCCTGCACTGCGGCCTTCAAGCGCTCGTTTTCGGCGAGTGCATCGTGCTGTCGCTTGCGCTCGTTTTGTGCAAGCTGCTTCCACTGGCCCGGCGGGCGCACGGCCTCTTCGACTTCCTTGTCCAGCATGAGCACCTCGAGCACGCTGTGGAGCTCGGTGATCTTGTCTCTGAGGTACGCCAGCTCCTCTTGCTGCCGGCGCACGTGACGAGTCGAAGCAGGTACCTTGGCGTCACTGCTGTTGCTGGACGGCGGCGTGGCGGCCAAGAGCGTGTCCCGCGACTCCATCTTGCTCGCCGCCGGAATTCTGAGCGAACCTCTAATACTTGATACTGCATCATCGATTGCAGTGGTGGCCTGACATGCGAATCAGCCTTTTCGCCACCTCATCAAGTGCTCGTAGTCTGATGCGTAGACCACAACAGCGCCTAGCCTCCAAGAAGCAAGGGTGTGACTCACCATGCGTTTCCTGCATGTGATGATGACCCAGGCGACGCGCGATGCACGATGCAGCAGGTTATGTTGGGGTCGGCTCGCTGGTGCCTTGCGCTGTCGTTGTGGTAGGTTCCGATACAAGACGTTGCAGCGAGAGCGAATATCTATCCGCGCTGGGCCCGCTGCCTGTCGAGTACATCTTGAGAGCTGGGCCTTGTGCTTGGCCATCCACCTCGGAGAGCCCTAACAACGTACCATCAATAGGCACCCCAGAGCCTCTGGACCAGCGGGTGCACTGGTCCGTATACTGTGAGATTTGCAAGACTAACTCTGCAAGCTCGGGCTCGCCTCGATCAACAGCGCAGCACCCTTAAAGCTGTTTGCACGCGGGCTTGTCGTCCTCGCCGCTCCGAGTGCCACGTATGTACTGTAGTTATCATGGTCAGGCAAATATAAGGTTAAAGAGGTTTGTGAGCACTGGCCAATGGCGTCGCTTGTGTCATAGAATAGCCGAGACGATGGAAGCCCTCGAAGCGTGCGAAGCGTACAAGGCCAAGGCCCGCGCGTGCTACGGCAGCTGGTTCGACGGCCTTCTCAAGGGTAACTTTGTCCAGTCCGACTGCGACCAAGAGACGGATGACTACAAGCAGTGCATCCTCGTACGTCGTCTCCTGCATGGCACGGTCTGAATCTGGCACAGGAAAATATGGAGAAGATGAAGAAGGACGCCGCCGCCAAGGCAAAGACGCAGAGCGATGGCAAGCCGTCGGCGTAGACGACGCTCAACACACGCAGCACAATTCAACTCTAGTAGACGCTTTGATCACATTTATACGGTCCAGGGCTCGCACTGCATGCCCATGAGCTTGGTGATTTGCGTCTTGATCGCATCCTCGAGCGACCGTGTGCCTTCGGTGTACGCGTTCATCAGATAGTCGGGGACAACACCACCTGCAACGAGCTCACCGGGGCGCAGCCACGCCTTCTGGACGAAGCGGCCAAGCGCACAGCCGCTCTCGTCGACGTCAAAGGCGAGCCACGAAACTTCGTTGCACGTGACATAGGCCGGGTCCAGCGGCAGCAATTCGTCTTCCGTGACGCTGCGGCACACAAAGACGCAGCGGGATGGCGACTCCATGTACTTTTTTACGACCGTGCGCGACTGCGAGTTGCCGAGCTCATGGAGGCAGTACGAGTTGGTGTAGGCTGTCGAGGCATCAATGTGCTCCAAAATAGTGTAGTGGCCTGGGAACGCAGAGACCTGGACGGCGCCGCGAAGGACGTCCCATGTCGCCTCGGCCACGATCGAAAGCGGCACCGCGAACCGCCCAATCACGATTTCTTCGACCTCAATGTCGCCGTTGTCGAGGAGCTGGGGCATCGCGCGCCGACGGTCGCCATGAGCAAAGTCGATAATGCCGACCTCGATGAAGACGCTGTCCATCTTGGCGTACTCGTGGTCGACGATAGCGTGGTACGCCGCGTGACGCGCACGGGGTTCGGCCACGAGCTTGAGGAGCTTCCACTGCTGATCCTGGGCCGCGTCGTCGAGGAGAGGTTGACGCTTGAGGATCTCGACAAGACACTCGGCAAAGTGGACCTGCTCTTCAATCGCGGTTTTCAAGCGCTTGTTCTCGTGCAGCACGTCGGCCTGCCGCTTGCGCTCGTCCTTCGCCAGCTTCTTCCACTTGCTATCGGGCTCGGGCGGGAACATGGCTTGCGTGAGCGTGAGTTGCGTGAGCTGGCACTGTAGCTCGTCGACCTTGCGCTTCAAGTAGACAAGCTCGTCCTGCTGCTTCTTGCGGTGGCGCTGCGTGCGCTGCGACGCCAGCTTGGAGGCGTGGCGCCGCTTCGCCTCAGGGCTCGGCGACGACGACAACGATGACGTGGGTCGAATGACCTCGAGGATCTCGAACTCTTCGGCCGTGAACTGCGGCCCCAGCCACGCGCTGCTGTTCATGTTGATGGTGTGACTTTGACGAATGCGCCATCAATCTGCGCCGCCATCAGTGAATCAATAAGAAAACCCCCAGAACTTTATGCTCGGTGACGTACCGTCTGTCGGAATGATGGTATCACAATGGGTTGGGATTTCATTGATTGTGACCACGGTCTGCGTTAGGTCATCCCTGTGCACAGAGCAATTGTGGTCTCCTGCTTCATGCCAAACGCATGCGCTTGGAGTAGGCTATCCCATGCCACAGAGCCACCTGGCCAATACAAACGCGTGCTTTGATTGGCTACTTTGAACCAGCATGACGTGGCAAGCCAGTGGCGCGGCAGTTTGTGGGCGATTGTTTCGGAAACCGTTATCAATGAGATACGAAAGCATCGAGAAGCCTGTCATGAGTCACTACGAGTCTTAGGCTGCCATCTTCTTAATTCAACTGTGGGTCGCTCGTCGCCGTGTGGAGCACCGTTTCATGGCACCGTGCGAAAGCAAGGACTGACATAGGGTAAACGGGCCAGAAGTGGGTCCAAACACTGCGCAAACGGACCTGTGGTATTGGGTACTGCGAACAAACCTCAAGAACGACTGAGGAAGCAACTTTTTACACCGTCCATGGTTGGCAGCAGCCGCCCATGAGCTTTTCAATCCGAGTTTTGATCGCATTCTCAAACGTCTTGGTGCTCTCTGTGAAGGCGTCCATCAAATAGTCAGGCACAACGCCGCCTGCACCGAGCTCACCCGGACGCAGTCGAGCTTTCTGGACAAAGCGCCCGAGAGCGACGCCGGCCTCGTCCATATCCAAGGAGAGCCACATGACTTCGTCGCAAACGTCGTACGCAGGGTCGAGGGGCTTGGCGTCGTCTTCCATGACACTTCGGCAGACAATGACGCAGCGTGACGGCGACTCCATGTATTTTTTGACAATGGCCCGCGACTGCGAGTTGCCGAGCTCGTGGAGACAGAGCGCGTTGATGTATGACGTCGAGGCGTCGACATCTTCGACGATCGTGTAGTGGCCTGGAAAAGCCTGGAGCTCAACTGCACCGCGAAGCACGTCCCAGGCCGCCTCGGCCACGATGAAGAGCGGCACCGCAAAGCGGCCGTAGACAATCTCCTGCACTTCAATGTCGCCGTTGCTGAGCATGACTGGCATGGCGCGCCGGCGATCCCCGGCGCCGACGTCGACGATACCAGCCTCGATGAAGACACTATCGATCTTGGCGTACTCGCGGTCGGCGATGGCGTGGATCGCTTCGAGGCGCGCAGTGGGCTCGGCCACGAGCTTCAGAAGCTTCCACTGGTCCCGGGTTTCTTCATTTGCGAGCGTCAGACGCGGCCGCTTCTTGATCATCTCGACGAGGCACTCAGCAAACTGAACCTGCTCTTCGACGGCCGCTTTGAGGCGGCTGTTCTCACTCGACACGTCTTGCTGGCGCTTGCGCTCGTCCCTGGCCAGCTTCTCCCACTTGCTCGCTGGCTCGGCAGAAAGCGCCTTCTGTGATACGGTAAGCTGCTTGAGTTGGGCTTGCAGCTCGTCGACCTTGCGCTTCAAGTACATGAGCTCGTCCTGCTGCTTCTTGCGGTGGCGCTGTGTGCGTTGCGTGGCGAGCTTGGCGGCGTGGCGCCGCTTGCGCTGCTGCTCGTCCGACGACTCGGAGCTCGGGGACGACGCCGATGGGCAGATGACGTCGAGGATCTCGCACTCCTCCATCGTGAGCTCAAGGCCCGACCACGCGCTGCTGTTGTCCATGCCGATGCGTCCAATGGAGTGCAGTCTGATGAACATGCTACGAACCTCTATAATTGGATACTTTTCTGCGTTTACCTGTATAAACGAATAAACCGTGTTTCCCGAGCCAAAGCGCATTGTCGGAATCGCACAAAATGCACGTTCCAAATGACCATAATAGTCAAAATTTCGGAAAAGTAGGTCGAAACACTATAAACCAGACAACGCGCAATGCCGGTCTATGGGTCTTGCAGGGCACGCAACCTGTCGCCGGCGTGTCTCAGCACACCGCTAGAGTGATTGCGCCCACGTGTAGGTCAGCAACATACGGGTACTTGAGTCGCGTTGCCTTCGCCATGAGCTGGGTTTTTCCTGTGGACAACCAAGTTGACACTCACGCAACTCGCGGGCAAAAATGTTAGTAGATCGATTGCTAGTAGATAGTGTAGTTGGACAAGTTGTTGGACGCATTAGGGTCGCGTCTTGGGTGGCAGAGGTTTCGAGAGGAGCCGATAGAGCTGCGACTTGATCGTGTGCTCGAATGTCATGGAGCTTTGCTCGCAGAGCTCCATGAGAAACTGGCAGAGGGCGAGGTGGCTGCGGTCGTTTTGCTCGTCGACAAAGTACGTGGGCTTCATGCGCTGAAAGTACCGCGCCCGGGCGAGGCCCGTTGTCGGATCGCAGTCAAAGGCGACCCACGACACCTCGTTGGCGATCGCGCAGCCGTCAACGAGCGGGTGGAGCTCGTCTTCGTGGATGGAGCGGCTGATGATGACCTGGCGGTGCGCTTCAATGTAGCGCTTGACGATCATGCGTCCTTGGTACCCGCCGTTGGAGTGGTACCACATGGACGAGATGTACACCGTCGACGGGTCGACTTGGTGCAGTTGCTGGTACGAGACGTGGGTGCCTGTCGTCGTCTCGAGCTCGACGGACCCGCGGAGCACCTGCCACGAAGCTTCGGCGAGCAAGTTGAAGTGTACGCCGTAGAGGATGAAGACGGAGACTTGTACTTCGAGGGCGCCGTTTACGAGCTTGGGGACATACGAGTGCGTCTCCTCGTGGAGGTCGATGAGCCCGCCTTCGATCATGACCGTGTCGAGCTTGGCATACTCGCGGTCGACGATCGCATGGAAGGCCGACGCGCGGGCTGTCGGGTCTGCTACAAGCTTGAGCAGCTGCCATTGGTCGTTTGCGTCGACCGAGAGGAGGCCAAGTCGCGGCTTCTTTTCAAGGATCGTGACGAGGTACTCGGCAAACTTGACCTGCTCCTCGATTGCGGCCTTGAGCCGCCGATTCTCCGTCATGACATCGTGCTGTCGCTGCCGTGCGAGTTGTGCTAGCGTCTTCCACTCGCTCTGCGGCGTGTTGCCAGCCTCGAGCTCCTTGACTTGTTGCAGCACGCGGAGATGCTCCGAGAGCTCGTGTACCTTGCGCTTTAGGAACGCGAGCTCGTCCTGGTGCTTCTTGCGATGGCGCTGCGTTCGCTGGGTACCCGGAAGGATGGTCTCGGGCCTCGGGCTCTCGCTGCTGCTGACCGTCGGCGCCGGCGACATGGTGACGTCCGGAACCGAGAGGTCAAAGTCGATGCCACTCAGGAGATCCTGAAGGCGGAGGTCGGCCTCGTCCATCGGCTTGTCTAAGCGTCGACTCGAAACACCTCTCAGAAATGATATTCTGCACCGACCAGCATTCCTGCAGAGTAGAGAATCATTTTGAGATGATCGGATTCATCACCTCGACGGCAGCGGCAGCGTTGACTAGTCTCCTCGTTCCTTCATGAGTCACCCTCTTACGACTCTAGCGGTCGACTCTGCAACCTCAGTTCTCGGCATATAGTATGCCACTGCATCCTTTTTGCTTAGCCAATCAGTTCTAATCCGTTCTAGTTCCAAAACCACTGAGGGAGAGAGCTCCACCATAAGAGCTCGACAGTTGTGCTGGTCATTCGGACGCCAGCGTTCTTTACTGTTAGAGGACATGGTCGGAGGCAATGTAATGCGGGTCGAGGCAGGGGTCAGAGGATCGCAAGGTTCTGGAAGCGATGAGAGCGGAGAGGCTGGTTTCTTTTTGGTTGCACACGGGTTGCAATGGCAATGCTGATAGCGGAACAACCACCTTTGGCCTGCCGAATACCTCCAACCATGAGCCGCAGCACATTCATTCTTAGGCTTCAACGGAGGCTGTTGATATAGTCAATTAGTATAGATTGCATCGACTAGGATCCAACGTCTACTGACTGTGGACCGATGGATGCTCGATGCTCGGTGGTGGTGCTGCTTGTAAAAATAAGTGCTGGATGTGGTAGGGACGGGCTCTTTGAGCCAATCACAGCGCGCCATGTTTGAAACCAGCGGTGGCCGCGTTCTGATTGGCTGCTAAAATACACCGGCAACCGAGCTCCAGCTCCCATTTTGCCGGATGAAAGCCAAGAAAATTCAATTCCTCTCGCGGATGGCGACGTCCGACCAGCCCGCCGAGGCGACGACGATGACCAAGCGCAAAGCCGGCGCCAAGGAGGCCGAGCCAGCTACCGACACTGCGGAGGCCAAGGCGACGGCCAAGCTGCCGGGCAAGATCCAGCAACGCAAGGACCTCGGCACCAAGGCATCGGGCGCGCCCAAGTTGAGCCTCCGCTTCATCTTGATCCCGATCCTCGTCGCATGCGCGGTCGCCTTTTGGAAGGTCAAGTTCCAGGGCGTGAAGCTCAACCCGCGCGTGCTCCTCGATGCGGCCAAGCAGAGTGTCGGCTACTCGGCGCACGAGTACGAAGACCTTTTTGCGCCCGTCGGCAACAAGTACGCAAGCGACATTGTGCACATCCAGACGCGCAAGTTGCTCACGCCTGACGCGACGTGCGGCATCCCGACCGTCGTGACGCCCGAGCCCGTCCATGTGGACGTGGCCTTGGGCCACGCTGCGACCCTACGTGCAACAGGCAACGTCTTCATTGCGCTCAACGGCCGCGACGACGGCGTCCTCGTCCAGTGGCAGCCTAAAGACGGCTGCTTGTACGAGCTCGCCGCGGCCGCCGCCACCGCGCTCGGAAGCGACCCCGACTACTTTCCCAACGGCCTCCGCTTCTACAATAGCATGGGCGAACCGATCACGACCGCGGCCGAGGTCGACGCCGACCGACTCGTGTACGTTCTCGTTGACTTTCAGATCTGGGTTTGGCCCGGTATCAAGGTCGGGTACACGCGCAACATTGACGGCGTCTCGCTCAAGACGATCTCGCTCTCGCCGCTCGTCTTTGACGTCGAGGCCTTCTTTGATGGGAAGGAAGCCGACGCGATCATTGCCGAGGGTATGAACAAGCTCCAGCGGTCGCCCGTCGACAGCAAGGACGCGACGGACGGGTACCACTCGGACCGCACCAGCTACACGGCGTTCTTGGACGACTCGGCGTTCACTCGCGACTTTCGCCGGCGCACGGCCGCGCTCGCGCGGCTTCCGAGCCCGGCGCTCTCGGAGCGTCTCCAGCTCGTGCGCTACGAAGCCGGCCAGTTCTTCCGCAAACACGAAGACTACTTTGACTCGAAGGACTTTCTCGGCAAGAAGAACTTGGCGGTCGCCGACTACAAGACGTGGTGTGAATGGGCCGCGGCCGCGATCGAGAACCTCCCGGCGGATGCGGGCTTGGACCCAGCCTTTCAACGCGACGGGCCCATGTTCCCGAACGCAGAGGACACGATGACGTGGCAGCACAGCGTGCTGCAGGCGTTTTTGGACGACGCGGCCGCCACCGACTTTTTCACCGAGCACGCCGATGTCGAGTGGGGCGAGTGGATCAAAGAGAACGTTGCGAACCGCGCGAACGGCATCGTTGAGATCCTCCTCGAGAGCCGCGGGTACATGCTGCCGCATATCGTTGCGTCATGGGAGAAGCGGGCGGCGCTCCCTGCTCTTCACTACACGTACGACCACGTAGCAGGCGATGATTGGCGAGTGACATGACAACGTAGCGCGCCCAAGCCGCCCGTCAGCGGTGTCTCGCACTACTTTCGCTGGATTCGGTGGACCAAGGAGCGCATTCAAGACCTCGGTGCCGATGCCCCCGCCGACGTCCAGCCCACGGGGGCCAACTACCCGACGTACCGTACGACGTTTGAAAAGAAGGTATCATCGCAGCGCTTTGGGATCATTTCGGCTGATGGAAGTCCTTCGTAGCTCGTCAAGTTTGTGCTGGAGGACCATACACTCGAAGAGTTGGCGGCGATTGTCGGCCTCGAGTGGGCCGAGTGGCTCCAGACCAACCAAGACGCCGAGAACGTCTTGATTGATGCCGCCCGCAACAGCGTCACGTTCTTTGAACTCGCCGTGAACGCATGGACCAAGCGCGCCGGCGATGCCTTCCGCTACACGTACTATAGTCTATGATCAAGGACGATGTCTGAGACGAGCGTAGGATTCCGACGCATTTGCGCCACTTTGAGCCGAATCGGTTCGTGACGCTCTTCTTGTACCTTAACGACGTGGACGAGGGCGGCGAGACGGTGTTTCCGTACTCGAAGGAGCGCCTCGTGACGGGTATCAAGCGCTCGGGCATGGACGAGTGCTCCGAGGGCCTCGCGGTGCCGCCGCTCAAGCTGCACGCGAGTCTCTTTTACGCCCAAACGCCCGACAACCATGTCGACCCCAAGAGCCTTCATGGCGGGTGCCCGCCCGCCCAAGGCGTCAAGTGTACGGCGCCATCGTTCCCTTTTCAATATGCTCACACATGTGATAGTTGGCGCCAATTCGTTTACGTGGAACGCCGATGCGGACGAAGGCTCGCAGGCGTGGGGCTTTGGCGGCTGAGTGTGCCTCGTGTAGATCAATTGCTCAATTCTTTTTCAACACAAAAGAAAGTCGTCCACGTTATCACCAGAAGACAACGTGTCCGAGTTGGCGCGTTACGATTGTTGCATACGAAGGGCATTCTGGCGTTGGTCCCGCGCCTTCTTCTTGGCCGCCATCTCGGCGATCTCGACCTTGCGCTCGAAGTTGGCGACCTCCTGTGCGAGCTCGTACATGAGCGCCTTTTGACCCACGAAGTCGAGAATCTAGTACGGCTGGTCTCGTTGTGGTGGGCGTGTCAGCATGGTACCTGAGGCATCTCGGTGCTCGTCTCGGCCTTGGCGCTCAGCGACGACTTGACGAGTTTCGTGTCGCGCGTGATGTCGTCGCCAACCGTCAGGAGCTCGGTCTTGACCTTGTCGTGGAGCTCGGCGCGGTCGCGGATCTCGGCTTGGAGCCACGCCGACTCGTCAATGAGGTCGTTGAGCTTTTGCTTGAGCGTGTTGAGGAGCTGCACCGTGTTGCCGGTCGTCTGCTTGAGTTTCAGGAGCTCGTCGTTGCGCTCTTCGATCTTGGCGACGTACTGTTTGTTTTCGATCTGGAGCTGGTGAAAGTCAATGTAGTGGAGCGCATCACCCATTTCTTCCTTCTGGCGCAGCTGCGCGTCGATCTTCTGCGCCTGGCTCTTGAGCGTCGCGTTCTTGAGGCGAAGCTTCTCAATGACCGCGTCCTTGGCCCGCAGTTTGTCCTCCATGTAGCGGACCATCTTCTCCGCGATCGTTTTGCCCGTGCGAAAGTTCTCGGCGCCCACGACGATGTCGCGCTTGAACTCGTACGCGTCCATCTTGAGCTCGGCGATGCGAATGTCGGTCTCTTCCAGGACGGCGCGGAGCGTGTCGATGAGCCGCTCCGAGCTGCGCTTGGTCTCTTCGATCTCTTTCTGGGCCTCTTCGAGCTCGGCCGAGCAAATGTCGTTCTTCTGTTCGATCGTTATCGTGGCCTGCGGCCGCTGGCGCCGCTGCCGGTTCTTGGCCTGCTTCTCGGGCTTGTCCTTCTTATCATCGTCCTCGGCTGCATTTGCCGGCTACACAAACATGATTTGCTAACTGAAGGCTCGACGCTGGCGATGGACCTGGGCGTTGCGCTTGAGGAACGAGTCGAAGAGCTCGTTCTCGTGGCTTAAAAGCTCGTTCTGGCGCAAAGCTTCCTCGAGCTATTGTCATAGTTAGTCGGCGGCGCGTTTAGTCGGTGTGTACTCGACCTTGGCCTCGAGCTCTTCAATGTCGTCGTTCGACGCAGAGTCCATACGCTTCAAGCGCCGGCGCGTTGGGCAGTGCCAGTTACACGAAACTACCATTGCGCGTTGATTGGTCAAAATGGTTTCGTGTGTGGCGTTTGATTGGGTAGATCTAAAATATTGAACATGGTGCCGCACCACGACCAGGGGTATATTATGTACCCTGACCACGACAGCGCTACACTGCGTGGTGGATGATTGTCATCCAGCGTGCTCGTGCGATGCACTACATTGCGGCACTCACAGAGTACCTGCTTCGGCACATGTTTCGAACCCTAACCCTAACCTAACCTTCGCGAGCTGCGGAATCGGTTGCTGAATGGAAGGACGCCTTTGTCGTGTAAAGGACAACTTGACGATTTTGCCATCGAGATAGACTAGCTTTCTACATCTCATTTCCAATTCACTGATCGAAGCAAGATGACTCTCTACAGCGCAACGTACCACCAGGACAAGGAGGCCCGTCGCGTCGCGGCTTTGGAAGCCCAACTCCGCATCTCGCACCCGTTCCGCCGGCCCACCACCGCCAAGTCGGTGGCCAAGGCTACGGCCAAGCCAGCTACACGCTCTGCCACTGCCACTGCGGTACGCTCTGCGCCTTGCGCTAGCAACAAGCCGATCGCGCGTTCTGCATCGGATTTGGCACGCGACCACAAGGTCGAGATCGAACGTCTGCAAGCCGAGCACCAAGCTGCTTTGGCTGCCATGACTGAGAAGCTGCATGCTGCCCACGACCACGTGCTCGAGCTTGCGCACCGCGTTCTTCGGCGCGACGACACGATCACGGCGCTTCGTGAAAAGCTCGAGCATCGCGTTGCACGCAAGGAGGCCGAAGTTCAGCACATCAAGATCCACTTGATTGATGCCAACACCGTCATCGCTGAGAACAAAATCGCGATTTCGGAGCTCCACGAGCAACTCATCAAGACCGAGACGGTCCTCGCCGACACGGTTGCTCAAAAGGACAACACGATCGCGCAGCTCTCGGCGCAAGTGACGAGCCTGGAGGCCCGCGCAGCAGCGACCTCCAACGACGCGCTGGACGCCGCCAACGACCACGTGCTGGAGCTCGCACACCGCGTCCTTCGGCGCGACGACACGATCGCTGCCTTGCGGGAGAAGATGGAGTGCCGCCTTGCACGCAAGGAGGCCCAGGTCCAGCACATCAAAATGCACTTGGTCGACGCCCACGCCACCATTGCCAAGAACAAGAGTACGATTACGCAGCTCAGTACGTGGGTCAAGAGCCTCGAGACCCAGATTCACGCAGCCATCGTCTCCAACGACACGCTATTAGCGACTCTAAACCAGCCAACTCGAGTTAACTTGTGGTCGAATGGACTGCCGCACTCGACGGACGACTTGGATTCGCTTGCATCGTCCGAGATGGAGCCACTTGCAGAGCCATCGCCTTCCCATCCCATCAACCGCGTCCGCCAACTCGTCGACACCTCTTCCTCCTCCAACAGCAAGGACGCTGCGACGTGCCATACCCATTGGGTGTTCAGCTAGTACTAGCGAATAAGATCTTATAAGATCTTATATAACACGAAAATCAATCAAATCTCAAGAGAAGAATCGACAAGGTGCGCCTCCAACCTTGCGCACTTGGAGAAGATCGTTCGCCGACTCCAAGTTGGTCCAACACGCTGCGCCCCGAGCCTGCTTCTCAGTTACATGCACGCACATGCTTGTGTGATTCCTGGAATTTTCGTGTACGAATGCTCTCACGCAAGGCCCTTGCTAGACAGTAGAAACATCGACTAGAAAATCAAGTCGGGTTGCTATTCGTTGGTGGCGGCATATCTAATCGCGCTTGACAGCGGGCTTGGGATAGTACGTGGTGCGGAAGAAGGTACCCGCGACGATTGCGAGACCCGAGATCGTGGCGCACGTCACACTGAGAACGCGCCGACGACTATGCGCCCGACGCGCCGACGACTATGCGCCCGACGCGCCGACGACGAGCGCGCGTGCCGAGTTTGTAGTACATCGATCCATCAACTTATATATCAAGACAGTGTTAGTTTCGTGAACACTAGGCGTACTTCTTCAAGCACGCAGCAAGGCTGTCGAAGTCTTGCGGCGTGACGTCGTCAAAGAGAGTCCTTTTTATCAAGCATGTCCTTGGTCTTGGCAATCATCGCTAAGAGGGGCGTCTTGTTGGTCGTGGCGATGCTATCCAGCCGAGTACGCAAACTCGAAGCCGCCCGCGATGAGCCTCCGTCGAGGCCACTCATGTTCGCGACAACCTTGGCCTCGAGTGCCTTGCTCAAATCGTCGAGATTCGTCTTCCACGAGTTGTAGTCTCCCGCACTGCCGCGCTGAGCAGACGGCGCTGAAATGCAGAAGGGGTGCTGGGCAACCAGCTTGATAATGGCCATCGTGGACTTGATTTGACTGCGTTTTGTTCGTTCGGCTTTTGTCGTCGGTTGGCTCTTCCACATCTCCTCCGCGTACTACTTGTACACGAATTGCCCAATGGTCGTGTTGAAGGACGCGTAGTACATCGCCACTGGAGTCGCTTGGTCCCCGGGCGCCACCTCGTCTGGGACAGCTGGCGACGCCACGGGCAAGGCGCTTGTGCCTTGCAAAATGCACAGCAACCGATCGATCTTGGACTCAATTCGATCGACTTTGGTATCGAGTTCGCGGATGGCTGAGGCAGCATCGCACTTCGTGCACTCGTGCTGCTTGAGGTTGACGGCGAATGCCGTCTTGAGGATCGTGCCGGCTTTCTCGAGAAGGGGCATGGATCAGCCCGAGTTCTTTAGCGCTTCGTCCACAGCCCAGCTGAACGCAGACGAGCGCTGCAGGTGGTAGACGTACTCCAGGTGCAAGAGTAGCGCCGCAAAAAGCGTGTTGCACACCTCGTCAGCGACGTTGTAGTGTTCGGACTCCCCCTCAAAGCCGTGGGCGTTGACAAACAAACAAGTTTGAAACTTGGCGAGCAAAGCTTGTTCGTCTTCGGGCAATTCTGCCTTGACCGGAGCCAGCGTCAATGGCGCCACGTCATCATCGGGCTCCCAGCCAGCGAGACGTTTGGCAGTCTTTTGATCGTCCGGAAGTGCAGTTCCTATGATAACAGAAAGCACCAACCACGGTTGCTCCGATCACGGCGGCTCCTGAGACTGCAGCACCGACAACCGCGGCCCCGAAGACCGCTCCTTGACGGCTCGATCATGAAACATGGTAACGAGCGAGCTCCGAATCTGCTTGCACGGCTTGTCGCCGAGCAGCCCGACACAATTTCTTCAAAGAGACACTTGATCTACAACGCAAGTAGTTAGTTTCCCAATCAATACCGACGACGACCAACTCACCTGGGACAAGTAGTTGTCGGCTGTACTCTGCGACAAGACTCCGAGGTGGTTCTTGGCGTGCTTGCTCTTGTAGTTGTAGAGGAAGAGAACCCACTCTTCGAGGATCCCATAGATAAAGTCATGCGCGGGCTCGCCGCTGGTGCTCTCGGCGTCTTTCTTCACCTTGAACGCCCCGAGTAGGCCGTCCCACGTTTGAGCACCCGCCCACGTTGGCCTGCGTTGGGCGAGGAACGCATCGAAAAGCGCAGAGGCGGCCTTGAACTGCCCTACGGCATGCGAGACCAAGTTGTAAGCTTCAAACGCAACACACTCTTTACCTTCCGACCCGGGTGCCTGCGGAAGATTGCTTTTGCGCTTCTGTGGTATAGTGGCTGTCGCTCCCTTCTTAGTGGCCTTGACGGGCGTCTTGGCCTTGACGGGCTTCGGGACATCCTTTGCGGGCTTCCTGGCGGCCGGTGCTTTGAGCGGCGACCCCGTCTGGGCTAGCGCGCTTGTTGCGCAAGGCGGCGCGTTGGAGATGCCGACGACCTCATCACCGTCGCCTGCATCCGACGGGCCGCGGCGCTCGGCGTTTGGCTCCAAGCGCTAGTACCGAAATGATCCAAAGTGCAGTTTCATGAGCAGGTATTCATTTTCCAAGTATCCAGATATGCTGCCAAATTCTGCCACAGGGAATAAGATCTGATAACACGACAATCAAAATCAAAATCAAATCGATTCCGACCCGACGAGATTCATGAACAGACGTCGTACTCTAGACGCGGCGACGCACCGTCATAGCCAAGTTCTTGGGCTTGAGCGTGACACCCGTGAGCTTGGGATGAATGTTGGCCGATGCATGCAGCGAGAATTGGTACTCGGACACCACCGTTGCGAGCACGACTTGCAATTCGGCCAGCGCAAACCGGTTGCCAATGCAGTTCTTGGGGCCTACGCATCGTTAACTTCAATGCTTCAACCACGATCGAAGCGCGCACCAGTGCTAAACGGCGTGAAGAGAAGGTGCTGCTGCGTCCATGCCGCAGTGCCTTGTCAGCCTCGTGCAGCGCCGAGCCCTCGAGGAAGCGTTCTACACACGACCGCAGTCGGATGACCTCACACATGCGAGCTTCTGCAGACGGTAAGAGTACCAGGCAAAAACTCGTTGGGTCGCGTCCAGTACGTCGCGTTGCGGTGGATTACGGCAGTGCTCATCGCGATTTGCGTGCCCTAACCCCAGAGAAATGATGGAATTCCATGGCAACCGAAGACAAAGGTCGTACCGCAGGGCAAAAGACGGGTTTGCCGTCGACCATCGGAATGTAGTCGTCCGTCTCGCAGACGCGCATCGAGAGATTCACGACCGTCGGGTTGATGCGCAACGTCTCGTGGATGACGGCCGTGAGGTACTTGAGCTCTCCAAACGCTTCCCACGACAGATGACCGGTCGCCATGACGCGCCGGCACTCGTCCACGACGCGGGCTTCGACGTCCGGGTGCGTCGCGAGCATCGCAAAGACCCAGCACAACGTGTTGCTCGTCGTCTACTTGGATATCAAACGTGATCTTTACAAAAGATGCAACACCAACCTCGTGGCCAGCAAAGAGAAACGTCATGACGTGCACGCGCGCCTCGTCCGCCGTGATCTTGTGCTCGGGCGAGTCCAGCATGAGGTCAAGGAGGTCGCGCGACGTCGTAGGCGGTGCGCTCAGCTTGGCTGCAATCACATCATGGACGGCTTGGAAGAGCACCTTCTTGGCCGCCTTGCGCTTGCGCAAATCGGCGAGCGGGAGGTTCTCAAAGCCCGGCACATAGGCATTCCCAAAGGCAAAGAAGAGCGTCGGCACCATGTTGAGGTCGTCGAAGGCGGCCATGATGTCGGCACTGTCGTTCTGCAGCGCGTTGAACTCGAGTCCGAACGCCGCGAGGCCAATAATGTCGAACGACAACTTGGTCATGACTACGCAGCGGAACCGTCATTGTGAGATCGACAATAATAGTGTGACGACGCACGGTCAAACATGTCGAGGACGTCGGACGCGTCAGCTTTGGGGGCCATGAGCTCGTTGAACGTCCGCGCGTGCTGGGAAAAGACATCGACAAACGTCTTGAGCTTGGCGTACGCGAAGTGTGGGTTGAGCATCTTGCGCTGGCCGGCGTGCGTCGGGTCTTCGGAGCTGAGGAGGCCAATGCCGCCCGTAAAGGATCGAAGCATCGACCGAGAGATGACATGGCGCGGGTAATTCTTCGCGTTCGAGACGAGCACGTGCTTGAGCGCATCCGGGTCGGCGATCGCGAGCTACTCCAACCCATGAGGGGCTACTCCTTCAGAAGCGGAAGAATGGACGAACGCGCTCCGTGGCCAACACGCGCACGTGGTAGGCGGGGCCATATTGCTCAAGCCACTGGCCCTGGACCCCCGGAAACGGCGTCGCCTCGTCCCATGCAAACTGCGCCAGCTCTTTGCTATGAAGAGGTGATGAGGGGTGGGTTCAAATGGGATTAGAGGGTACCCGTTGCCGAAAAAGATACTTGTCGGCGGCGGCCCCGGGAGGGCGTTGAGCGGATGCAAGAATGGTGACACGACAAAGAGGTACGTAAAGTACGCACCCAAGGCCACGACGGCCGCGCTCCCCACAAGCAGCACCGGGTGTACACTGGCGAAAATGTCCATTGCAGTCAAAAGCAAAATGAAGCAGTGGCGGCGTCCCTTCCAGATCGACCAGCTGGCGCCGCTTGCATACCCAAGCGATTTGAAATCGCGTTCATGGTGGTCGGTGATGAGGAATTGCATGGGCATCGTCATCGGCGACGTGAACACCCGTGCAATCGACACCCTTGTCCAATCAAAACGCGGAAGAGGCCATCTGTTTCCAAACTGACATCCCATGCAAGCCGCACGTTGAGGCTTTCATGTGTTTGTGATGACGCGATCACGAAATCAGTCGTGGCGTGCATAGACTGGCCACGTCTGCACTACCAACGCTGAAAGCAAGTTTTAGCGTTGGTGCAGCCAAGGATATAAATGTACCGGTGCAGTCCGCGACGCACGACACAGTTCTGCGACCTTTTGCGTTGCTCCGCAGCGAAGAGCAACAAGGGTACCGTACATAAATCATTGAATTTATGTACCCTTGAGAGCAAGCACCATTTCTTGCGAATGCTCACAGAAAACGCGCAATCGCAGACCAAGAGACACTCGATATGGTGGCCGTTCGTGGATACAGGGGTCTTGGTGGATGGAACCGCTGCATCGGATCACGATCGTCAATTGTAGAAGATCATACGGAACGATACTGCGACTGACTCTGCACAGCTCTCGTGCAGTCGGACCAGAGAACGTTGAAGAAAGAAAGAGCCGTGCACAACGACAGCAGCACAAACGACAATGCCAGATGCCGTATTTTTGTAATTTTGAGATGCAAACGCGCTTGAAGCTCTCCTTCTGCCTGTGACCAGGCTTGAAACGGCGAAACGGCCCATGGGCGCGCTCTTGCCGCCGCTGACGGTGCCCGAGAAGAAAGCTCGCGACAAGCAGCGCAAGCGTGACCAGGCTAAGCGCCGAAAGGCCATCGAGCTGGAGGTTGTGCGTGCGGCCGAATCGCGTGCTAAACAAGCCGACGCCTCAACGCGCTGGCACCGCGACGTCAACCGCGAAGAAGGTGCGACGTTCCCCTTGCGTCTATCTTTTTTCATGACAACGTTAGAGCTCCAAATCCGACGCTACGAGCTGGATGCGATCAACCCCCACGATGAGCACCCGGCGAGTGCCGGTACGCTGACCTTTCAAGCACTTTCATGCCATTGGGCATAGGGTACGACCTTGTCCCGCGCCGCTTCACGTCCCTCGCACATGACGTGAGCACGTACTCGCCAGTCTTTTTCGGCTACTCGCTCGCGCGCGGCGGTCGCAACGACGTCTTTGGCGCGCCGCGGGCTACGACGACCACATGAAGCACAAGCCCCACCCCGCGTTTCTCGGTTACGCCATGTCGCGCCACGCGTCCGAGATCATTTCGCCCATCTTCCTCAACATGGACTTTTGCAAGCGCAGGGTCGGCATCGAAGCCATGGAAGACGAGCTCCAGGAGCTACAACAACAAGCCAATATCGACACGCGCCAGGAGCGAGCCGAGTTGCAAGCGCTGCTGGACGCCCGCTTTGACTCGCCTTGTGAGTGCCTCGTGTGCGAGTCGTCCCAGACCCCCGGGTGTCCGGGGTGCTGGGTCCCGTCCTCCGACTTTTTCGATCGCGCCCACCGCCGAAACAACCCCCTCGAGTACCCCGTGCGTTGCATGAAATGTACTTCGCGTCTTATGCTGCAAACTCAGCGCGATGAGCCTGACACGACGACTGACCGATTCGAGTGGGCACACTACTACGAGGCGCCGTCGCCACGCCAAGAGGCCAAGGCGCGCGAGGACGAGTACATGGACGGTCTCCTCTTTGATGTGTGGGCGATCCGCAAGCACCGTGAAAAGTATGACATAACTATTTACACCCAACGCGACCGATCTGGGCGTAGGGTCCAAACGTTCATTTCGCTCGTGATCAAGAGCATTCCTGCGGGCAGCGTACGTTCCCATACGTCTACTCGCACGCAACCGATACGTCGCAGGCTGTCGAGCTGCGCATTAACCCGAAAGAGACCATCCAGTATCTCTACGATCAGTATCGTGCCAACGTCGATGGTGCCGACCGCCAACTCTACCTGCTGTTGCCCACGAGGTAGAGGCTTACGTCTGCGCTCGTTGAACCAGTGGTGTCGTGTCTAGTCAAGGACTCTTTTACCTCGATGCGACGATCCAAGCGGGGTCCGAAGTCGCGCTTGGTGTCACCAACGGCACGCTCGTTCTCGAGGATTTCCAGTTGCGATATAATCGCACCACCAATGGCCCGTACGTGCTCTTGTCTGTCGCGCTCTTGCACCGCGAGACGACGCCTCTCATGCTCGCGCACTATGTCAAGCACAACTTTACGGTGGACAGCGGACCGCTGAATCTGCAGCTGCGGTAGGATGCAGGAAGAAGATAGGCGGGCGAGCGTATCTCGCGTAGGTACTCTGCCAATCAAGTCCCGAAAGACGTCCAGAACGACGCGCTGCAGGCCGCCATGGCCCGCAAATCCACTCTTCTCGTCGCGTCGGCCACAGAAAATCAACTCATGAGCCGTCACTACGAGCAGCAAGCGCTCCAGCTCAGCGTCAAGAATGCATTTCAAGAGCGCGTACCGTGGATTTGAGTCAAAATTGCTTGCAAGAAAGAGCACACGTAGATGGCGAGCGCGATTGAGCTGCATCGAAACAACAAGGCGCGGCCGCGGACGAAGAAGGAAATTCGCGCATGGGCCTACTACTCGTTTGCGATCGCAGAACCCCGGTCAGACGCGCGACTTCAGAAGCTCTGGCAATGCTACCACAAATTCGACGAACTCAAACTTACAAAGCGGGGCAAGCTTCTCGACGTCCGTGCTTGATACTATAGCCTCTTTCGTGCACCTGTCATGGGGAAGGGGTGTAGGCGGCGGCGTCCGACGACGTGTGCGAACTGCTGTCCTTGCATCGGACAGCCACGATACAAACCTTCGACTTGCTCGTCGACAAGGCCCACCGCCCGATGCTGCCACCGGTCGTTGCTATCGGCCCCAAGTTTGGTGTGCCGATTGCGACTCGGTACCGATATATACCGCCGGCATCCCAGTTGCACCACTGCGCGTAGGCTCGGTATCACCGCCAAGGATGACCGCGAGTACGGCTCGGAGCTCGACGTCATCATTCCCGAAGAGAACGACGAGGAGCTTGCGCCGGTTCGTCGCAAGCAGCATTTGACGCTGGACGCGATCCGAGCCGCGCAGCAGCGGCCGTTCAAAGACATGGAGTGGCGGGCGACTGCAAAAGTCGACAAATTCTACTCCGCGTCCGACCTGCTGGTCTACCCGTTTGCGAGCGTGCGCTGGGACTGCTTTGCCAAGGCGTACATGGTTGCTGTCGCCGACGTCGACCGCATGCGGCGCTTGCTGGACGGCTACAACAACTTGGCCAAAATCCTCCAAAACGAAACCATTCTCAAACCCGCGGCCATCGAGTCGTGGCTCCACGACCTCGGTGCGCTCACGATGCAGCTGCCACCGACGGGCGCGCTCCCACAGGCGTGTCGCCGCCTCGAGACCAAGTCGTCGCTCTTGGCAGCGCGCGCCGAGCGGCACCGACGGGCGCTCGAGCAGGCGCAGGACGCGGCGCGGCGGCGAATCACCGACTCGAACGATGCGCTGCCGCCCATGAGTGCCATGGAGCGGCTCAAGTGGGAGTTCAAGAACAAGTATGGGATCTTGAGCCCCAATGTGCGCAACATGAGCCCCGATATGGACAAGATCCGCGCCACGCTCGGGTCGGCGCTCGCCAAGACGGTCGCGGCCACGACGTACGTTGCCCAGCAAGCCAAAGACAACATGGAGATATTAAAGCTATAAGAACGCATAGATCGCAGTTACGGCAGGTGCGACTCGAACGCAGAGTCTTTCTCGAGGAAGGCTTGGAGGAGGGCCGCGGCCGCCGTCGTCGTACAGATGGACTCGATGCTCGTGAGATATGTGTTGAGGTCGTTGCATTTGGCCGACAAGTAGACAGGATCGAGCTTGGCCCAGAGCCGCGTCGGCGGCAGCGGCGGCATTTGCTCGTGCGGGAACAATTCCCGCAGTTCGCGGTGGAGGTGCCGGAACGCGTTGTAGCGTCGGAGGACCGTCGTGACTTTCTCGCTGCTCGAAATGCGAATCTCAAACGCCGCGTACGGGCCTTTCTCGTCCGAGAGAATCACGTACGTCTGGACGCCGAGCCGGTGCTTTGTGTGCAGCTGCGTATCGAGCGAGACGACGGGCGCGCTCTTGTCGGCAATGTCGTCTTGGATCACCATGTGCGCGTTCTCGACGGTCGCCATGTGCGCCCGCCAGAGCTCGTAGACGGCCGAGTCCTTGAGCTTGAAGTCCATCGACGTGCCAGCGGGCGTCACGAGGCGGAAGAGACAGCGCTTCGGGTACCCAAAGACGGTCGACCGACTCAGCGGAAAGTGCGCGAACGACACTAAATTCGGGCAATTCTCGTAGCACGTGAGCGTCGAGGCGTGCAGCACAAACCAGCGTGTCGCAAACCCTTGTCCTTCGTACCACGTCTTGGCCTTCTGCGTGCGCACGCCGAGAAGACTCGTCTTGGTCGCGCCAAAGTAGTCGACGGTCGTCCCCGTCGGGAGATCCATGCCCGCCGTGTCGACAGCGTGCCTAAAAGTCAACTCGTTGCCGACAGTAGCGACACTTCAAAAAAGTACCGAGACGACGTCGCGTGCAGGTGGTCGATCGCGTGTTGCAGTGCGTCGAGCCATTCGTCCCGGAGGTCGGTCGTCGGCGCTTTGAGCACTTGAATCGAGTTGAGTTTGGACGCCGTCGTGCTCAGAAACGACGTCGCGACGTCCTTGAACGAGTGCGACACTTTGGCGTCTTCAGGGACGAGGCGCAGCGTAAAGATGTCGTCGCCAAACTCGACCAAGGTCTTGGGCGTCAGGTGCAGCGTCCAGCGCTTCCGACAGACAACGTGCTCGACCGTCTTCATGACGTACACGCGCTTGTGGTCGAGGAGGAGCGTGCGCGTGTGCCAGTAGCCCGTGGCGCGTTCGCGCACGTGGGCGGTCGTCACGAGCTGGACGGGCGAGTGCGGCGTGATGGGCACAACGTTGCGCGGCTGGAGCGTCGGCAGCGGCTGCTGCGCACTCATGTAGCGGCGCAGCTTTTCGGCCACCTACGCAAAAACCACGTCCATCATCTAAATGTTCACATAAAGAAAGACGCAGCACCGGCCGGCAGATTTGAAGGAGACACAAGAGCACGACGTCCTCGCTGTCCCAGTACGACGAGTGCGACCCTGCCGCGTACGCGAGCTCGATGACGCCTTCGCGCTTGCGCCGGCGCATGACATAGTCGATGCGCGACTGAAACCCACCGGCCGGCGGCGTAATGCGCTCGAGCATCTCCTGCATCTTGGCAAACCCGAGGCCTTTGCACGATTGCGCCTATCATAGTTGTCAATATGACACTATTGTCTTTAATGACAGAATTGGTACGGGGATGAGCTGAACGGGTGGCTTTTCGTGCATGTCGGGATGGATGAGGGGCTCGACGCGGTAAGCGATCGGGTCGATCGGGTGGAAGATGTTGAAGTAGTGCTTGCAGTTGGGCATTTTGATACCGGGCGTAAACTTGCCGTCCGTCAGATCCAAGTCGCCGCGCGAGAGAATCATGACGGGCACTGGCGACCTAGGATCTTATTGCTTAGGGGTGGGGTTGTCGGGTAGGAAACGACGTACCCGGCACCGAAGAAATTCTCAACGTCGAAATCGAGGCCTTTGAACTTGACGCCGTTCTTGGCGACTTGACCCGCGCTGTGTGTGAGAATGTCGTACGTGATGACCGATCCGAGCGAGTGCCCAAAGATCGACACCTTGCCGTTCCAGCCTGTACATATAGTTGAGTGTCGGGTATGAAAAACCATACGCGGGATTTGTGTACCCGGGTGCTCTTGCTTGAAGATTTTGTACTTGGAGTTGAGCTGCTCCGTGACCGAGTCGACAATGATCTGACCGTACTGCGGCGAGAGGTAGTAGAGCAGGTCCATGAACGTCTCCTTGTTGAATTGGCGAATGCTACACCAAGCACGTCCATTTGCATGGATCAAATCGCAACCTACCCGGACGAGCCTTCGGGGCAAATGATATCAAAGACCGCGTCGACGCCCGTGGGTTCGTGCAGCTCTTCGTGCCACTCGATCGACTGCATCTCAAGCGCAATCGGGACCTCCCTAGGACGCATCTTTGAGCTGTTTGTGGTTCAAAGGCCGTACTTAAAGTGGGTCTCTTGCAGAGCGCGGAAGAGGTCTCGGAAGATGTAGTTGTCACCCATCGTGCCCGGCGTCCCGTCCCAGTTCTTGCGCTCGCCCTCCTTGAAATCGCCGTGCTGGCCAATCCCGTGGATGATAAACATGAGGTGGTTCACAGTGCTGAGGTGGACCTACGCCACACCACGTTGTGGGATCCAAGATAATGGGGCGTAGAAAGGCCAGACCTCGGGCGGGAAGTAGTCGTCGGCCTCGGTGCCGCAGGACGACGCCATGGACGTTTTGCGAGGCGGCTTGATGTGCTTCTTGGCTTCGTGTCGCTTTTGCTGGTGCCGCAGATGCAAGCACGCGGCATGGGCGCGGAGGAGGCTCAGTCGCTGCTCGTCGTTGGCCAAGAGCCGTGCAAAGTCCAAAATGAACTCGTCAACCAGTGCGTCCGTCATGATCGTCTCGAGGTACGCGTAAAAGGCGAGCGCCGACTGCCGGTTCGTGCCAAACTCCATCGCCTGCTGCTTGAACTCGGCAAACTTGGCCGCGTCGGCCAGCGCGGCTTCCATGCGACTCACGACAAGCTCGTTCAAGTTGGCGGCCTCGACGCCGTAGACAGGCACGACGTCCGTGACGGCGTCCTCTTCTTCCGTTTCGTCGTCATCGTCGTCGTCCTCCTCGCCTTCGTCGTCCTCTTCGGTCACCTCGTCCGACTCGCTGCTAAGGCTAGACTCGGCGACGGCGTCCGCCGGGTAGATGCCGGTCGTCGGCGACGATGCCACGTCGCTCGGCTCGTCGTCGCTGGGCGAGCACATGTCGTCGCTCTGCAGGCGCACGACGAGACACTGGAGCGCATGCGCCACGGCGAGGCTGCACTCTTCGAGCGCGTCCTTGGTGCTCGCGACGGCGTCGCTGCACAGCTGGACACGGCCGGCATGCGTGGTATCGCTGGCGATGGTCTTGGCGTGGCGACGGCGGCGGCCGCGCTCGATGCCACCTCCTCCATGAGCGCGCGGAAGTCCTCCAGCGCCGGCGTGTCGACGGCCCCGGTCATCGTCGCGCAAAGTGATGACGAAGCCCCCTTTGGACTTGACGTAATCTCGCGTGGCGTCAACATTGCGGGTATTTTATTATATTGTCGTGTCCTCCCTATACACGACAGCCTGACGCAATAAAATTTCTCAAAATAATTTGAGCCGTTTTCCGCCGGCCAATCACATCGTGCCACTCCAGGCGCCTCGGACAAGTTGAAGTTGCGCCGCCGCCGCCGCCGCCGACCGCGCTGCCCCTGCCACGCCATCACAGAGAAGGTAGACGCAGGTCCTGCACAGAGGCGCTAGCAGCCATTGGCCTCAAGTCCGTCTCTCGTTCACATGGCGCACCACGCCCAATCGCCCAATCGCGTGCGTGGTCGCCATACACTTGGGTCCATGGGCTCGCAGTTTTGACCAACGCGAGAATCTCGAAATGACATGGAGCGTTGTCGTTGGGGCCAGCGCGCTGCACCAGGGTGGCGAGATGCACCATCATATCTTATGCACGACGGCAAGCTGGACGACCCATGGTTGCTCGCGTCGCCACTTTTTCTGAACCTTGCACGGTCTCACCAATCCAGTGCATTCTCCGGCGACACATCCGAGCGTGTCGATTGAAACAGGCTCCGAGCGCATCGGTAGAGATATGCCGATAGTGGTCATGGGGCAGGAAGCTGAGGCAGGATGATCACGGGTCATGCCATTAGGTTACTAGGACACTGACAGCTCACGTGCGAGCGATCGGTCCAGCGGTGGCAACAGCAACCACATGCCACACCTGATTTGCGGCTTCCATATTCCTGCAGTGCCAGCATTTTTCGTCTTCTCCAAGGTCAGTAATGATACGGTAGTGTAAAATTTGCTGCCAAGGATGACGACCAGCAGCCTCCACATCATTCGGTACACCAAGCTCTGCGACTGGGCCGCGCTGCGCCGAGCGCTCGAGAAGGCGCTGCCCGAGCACCTCGAGGTCCGCGACGAGTACGGCATGTTGGCGCTACATTGGGCCGCGACCGAGAAGAATATCCCTGTCGGTATGCTCGATGTGCTCCTGGATCTGTACCCGGACAGCGCCAAGGTGCTCTCGACGGCCGGGTACCTTCCGCTGCACTTGGCCATCATGGCGGGCGCGTCCATGGCGCGCGTGCAGCGCTACATCGCCGCGTACCCCCAGGGCATTACGACGGTCGCGCCGTCGGGGCACTCGGCCTTTGAGCTCTGGGAGACCAAGATTCGCCTCGATACGCGCACGCTCAAGCGCGGCGAGGGGCTTCATAGCGCGCAGTCGGCGCTCGTGTGGGGCAAAGCCATGATCAGCGATCTCCTCAAAGTGACGCCGCAGAGCCCGTGCCTGCGGCGGCGGCGCGGTGACCTCCTGTGTCGGGCGGATAGCGCCAGCGCACTGCCGATTGTTCTAGCCGACGACCCGGTCCGCGAGTGGGACTGGGGCGACGTCCAAAAGCGCCTTGCGCTGCACGGCCCAGAGATTGCCCGCGAGCGCGACGACCGTGGGCGACTGCTGCTCCACGGCGCCAGTCGCGCGCCCATCGAGGTCTTTGACTCGATTTTGCGCGCCAACCCGCAGGCCGTGCGGGCCAAGACGCGGTCGGGCTTGTTGCCGCTGCACATGGCGGTGCGTCAGCACGCGTCGCCGCGCCGGCTCCAGCGACTCATTGACGCGTATCCTGCAAGTCTCCACGAAGCGACGTACAACGGCGACACGCCGCTCGATTGGGCCGATCGCGTGCTCTTGGACCCTCTGGCGATGGAAGTGCTGCAAAAAGGCCAGCGCGCGCCACTGTGCAAGCCGCCGGCCGACTAGCTTGGCGCGACGCAGTACGACGTGGCAGGCAGTGTGCTCCACCATGTAGCAACTTTTGTGTATGTTGTATAAATTACATACTAACAACAGTAGTCCTCTTTTACGCGCTGCGACCATGGTTGTGCATCGACAGCGAAGAAATCGAAAGGCGGACATGCCAGAGCACCATTTCTCAGACATTCTTACTCGTTGACTATGGCAATGCCCAAGTACCAACGCGATGCTGGCGACGAAGACGCAAGGGACCTATATCTCTCTTCGTGCAGCGACCCTGCAAGGTGCGAAATTACAGGCGCACGACGTGGACGCCCAAGGCGCCGCGCGCGTACGATCCGCACGGTCGCGCGCGTTACTATGCATCGCGTATCTTGCGTTCGTTCATGTCGACGGCGGTTGACTCTGTCGGTTCGGTGGGACCCGCCATCTTGGCATCGCTGGGCCGAACTGCCTTCAAGTCGCTACCAAGATCTCCACATTGGGGCCGTAGCCAATCAGATGCGTTCATTTGGCGATCGCAATCTTAGCAACCCAGATTTGGACTTGCCATGCACGACGCGATCCGCCTCGCCGAGGCGTCTGACTGGGACGGCCTCCGCCGCTTGGTGGCGAAAGCACCGGCGTCTGCCCAAGCCTGCGACGGCTACGGCATGCTACCCATCCACTGGGCGTCCACCGAGGCAAGCGTACCCCTCGAGCTCCTCGAGACGCTTCTCATGGCCTTTCCGGACGGCGCCTCGACCGTCAACAGCGCCGGGCTGCTTCCGCTGCACATTGCCATTCGCGCGCACGCATCGCCAACGTGGCTCCAAGCCCTTCTCTCCTCGCACCCGGAGAGCATTGGGGTCGAAACGCCGACGGGTGCGACGCCTTTGGCGCTCGCCGAACACGTCGGCGCCGACGAGGCGTGCCTCCAAGTGCTGCGCCGCGCAGCACAAGTCAGTGCTGAGCCGGAAGACGCGCGGTCGACAGTCTCGAGCAGTCGGGGCTCCAACGTTTTACGGACGCCGCCCAAAGCCAAGGGCCTTTTGCGACACCTTTCGTTCGACTACACGACGACAAGCCTTCGGTCCGCGACGCGCCCGACCGTGCGCCGCGTCACGTCCGTGCCCATCATGGGCGGTTGTGCCAACAACAATGCCGACGTGTGCGAAATCCTCGATGACGCGTCCGTTTCTAGCGACGACGATGACGACGTTTTGTTTCGCGGCAACAACTGCGCTGCAGTGCTCCCGATGCTCGACGAGGAGCCGCCCGAGTGGCACCTCCATACTGCGTGCTCCGTGTGCCACGCCGCCTTTAGCATGTTCAAGCACCGGCACCACTGCCGCAATTGCGGCAAGTCCATTTGCCGCAACCACAGCGCCGACAAGAAGGTCCCAACCAAAGGCTTTCAGTCGCCGCAGCGCGTCTGCATCGCATGCTACGGGGCGCTCACGAGCCGGAAGCACTCGTTCACGATGCTCGAGTCGCCCACCGTGACGCCCAAGCGCACGCTGCTCCGCGTCCTGACCGAGCTCACGTCGCCCAAACCCAGCCCGGTGACATCGCCGATCGTAGCCGAGATGTCGACGGACGCCGAGATCCTCACGCTGAAAGCGACAGTGCAGCAGCTGACAAAGCAAGTCGACAACCTTCACATCGCCAACATGGCGCTACAGCAGCAGTTGCTCGAGCAAGAAGAGCTCAAGGCCGAGACGATGCTGCTCATTACGCAGGTCATGACACGCGTGTCCGTGCTCGAGCTGCAGCGCGTCAAGCAGGCCAACGACGACGACTTTGATATTTAGCCATTGCATCATCAACCGAATAACATGGCTGGCTACCTTTCGAGTACGCAGCGGCGCGTCGAGAGGCCATCGTGTTACATCTTACAAGAATCCCTCGCGAAGGCGGCGTCGACCAAGTGGCTTACTCTTCGAGCTTAGGGCGCTCGCCAATCTCTTCCTTGACGTACGTGACCGACGAGTGGTGGCCAGCGTGGCTGTTGCCGCTGCCCGTGACCGCGCCGATGGCGAGGTAGACGCTGAAGATACCGACGGCGATGCCAAGGCCCGGAAGCGGCTTCTTGGTGCAGTTGGAGAGGAACGGGTGCTTCCGCCACGCGTCTTGGTGAGCTAAGACCATCGTCAAGTGCGAACCGCTTGTTGGAGTATTCCGCAACCACTCGCCCAAAGTGACTGGAAACACGCACTTTGCATACAACATACAAAGAATAAGATAATGCACTAGGTGCGATACACTTCAAATAGTCTGTTGCGGTAATAGGTGCCAAATAGTGTTGTGTCGCCCGCCACAACACGACCAGTTTCTAGCCCAGGAAGCTAGCCGACACGCGGGCTTTGTTGGATGGGATGTACGAGTTAAGATCCCGGTGGCGCAGTTGGTGCGATCGTACATTTGCGGACGGCGTCGTTGACGGCAACGGCAATATGGTACTGTATCATCTAACTTTGAACCTGGCCTCCATTGCTCGCTGGACGTTAGCGCAACGCAAAGACGCGTTACGGGCCCTAGGTTTGCTGTAGCTTCAACACAAAGCTGTTGGTTTGGCTCGATCTACTCTGCTGCATATGTGCCATGATGATTTCCCACCGAGAAAGGAACCGTTGACCGTAAATGGTGTTATTGGATCGCACCTTGGCTCGCATTCAGCAAAGTTCGATTATACTAAAAACATTGATGTGATAAATAGTGTGAGCCGATTTGCTATCCGTTTGTGCACGTCAACACTCCGCAAGATGTGGGACCAGCTCACTTGCGCCAAGAAGTCGCTCTGTCGCTGGGCCGGCAACCACAAGACGCTGCTCGTCAGCACGGGCGTCGTCGTCGCCTGCGGCGCGGGGGCCTACTACGGCGTCAAGCGCGTGATCCGCGAGGCTGAGACCATGATGCTCGACTCGCAGCGAGAGCTTGTGGCCCGCCAGCGCCTGCAGATGCACCTTGGCCGGTCCCAAGAAGAGATCAAGGCGGCCTTTCTGCGCTTCGTGCCATCGCTAAAGACGCGTCTCTACAAGCTTCTGGACCTCGAAGGTATCGTCGCCAACCTCAAGGTGCTCGACAAGTCGGAGCGCGAGATGCGCGACTCGATGTGGGAAGATGCCAAGCTTCTCGGTACAATACCTTGCTTCACGACTCGATACACACGCCAGTGCTAGGGTTTGGCCGACTCTTTGCCGGTCTCCACGCCTTTTGCCAGCTGCACCTGCTCGTGCACTGCGAACTGCTCATCCTCGGCCGCGAGACCTTTCACAAGCACAAGACCGAGGTACGACGACGATGGAGTTGGCGATTGCATCCTCTCATGCTACGTAGGGCGAAACGAGCAGCGAGTCCATCGACGTTCATGTGCAGCAGCAGTTTCTCTCGTCGACCCTCGAGTACTTTTTCGAGACGGGGCTGCCCAAGCTCACGGCCGAGATCGAGTCGCGTCTTAGCGAGTACCCGACGCTCCAGACGTACGGCGAGATGACAACCTTCGATGCCTCTCACCACCATATTATCTCGCAGGTGGCGCGTCAAGGAGAAGGCCCAGGTCGAGAAGGCGGACCTCGACCACTTGCTGCGGGAGCTGCATGCCACGTGCCTTCCATGCTCGGCCAGCGACCATGCGCTCTGGCACTCGTTCCTCATCTGTATGCGATATCTGTGTCCTATGGCAGTCTCGTGACGGTGCATGGTAGACCCGGACGATGTGCCGTTGGAGGCTCACCCGGCGGGCGTGCTCCCGCTCTTGAACGAGCTCTGGGACATCCTCGAGAGTCCTTTCTTCAAGGATGCATTGCGCGCGTCCATCGACTGCCTCTTTGAGCTCCTCACCACCGATATTCTCGCGGCGCTGTACCCGCACGAGGCGGGGCCCATCACAGAGATGAGCGCGATCCAGCGGCCGCCGCTTGCCAAGGTCATTCCGCAGCTCAAGGTCGAAGTCGGCCGCCTCTTTGTGGCCACGGCCAAGCAGACGACACTGCTTCAGCACTGGGAGACGCTCTCGGGCCTCGAGACGCTCCAGTGCCTCAGCGAGTCCATTTTTGTGCAGGAGACCGACGATGCGGCGGCACGCCCCGAGTCCTCGTGGTACGGCGAACTATCATTTTATCTTTTTTCTGGTTTCTTCATGCAGGGTGTAGGGGCTGGATCTAAGTGCAATATGATTTGTATCAAATTGATACTTTACTTCATCAAGCTCAGCCGGTACATTTGCGTCTGAAGCTCGACTTGGCTCAAGAGGTCCGCGACCTCATTGCTCGACGTGTGCGCAGAGAGGCGCTTGATCAGTGTGTCCCACGCCGTCGCATTTTTAGACACGAAAGCGGCGAGCGTCTTCTTGAAGAAGCTGGCTTCGACATGGAGGTGCGTGCGCTGCCATTGGGCCTCGTCGCTGGACGCGCAGCTGTTGGCGTCCTCGGCGCGGCCCGCGAGAAAGTGCTGGAGCTGGTCGGCGCACTGAGAAAGGAGACTTTCCACATGGCTCTCGGTCTCCAAAGGGATGCAGTACGCGACGTGACTGCGCCACGTCACGAGGTGGTAGAGCACCGAGAAGACGTACGGGCGCACCTCGGTGCTGCTCTCGGGCACATAGAAGCTCTCTTCGTCGTCGAGGGTCGCACTAAGCAGCGCCACCCGGCTCTCGTGGAAGCGCTTGCCACACTCGAGGATCGTACTCGATAGCGAGAGGCTGCGGACGTCGACCTTGCTCTCCATCATCGCGTTCAAAAAGCCAACAAAGCCGGCGCGACGCGGCACCGCGAGGCAGTTGGCGACGACCACGAGACTCGCCAGCGACGATGGCGCGTCATCCACCAAGACATCCGCGCTCAAGAGGGTACCAAAGAGCGCGAGTAGCGTCTGCCCGTGCGCGACGACGCTCTGCAGCAGCACCATGCAGAACGCATCGTGCGCGGCGTCCGTAGGCGACAGGTTGGTCTCGATCGCTTGCGTCAGCACGGGCTGCAGCGTACGCCACCACTCGGAGAGCTACCACGACACAAGAATCGCTGTCAGGTCGTCCCTACGAGCTCGTATTCGTACCGTGCTGTCGAAAACCGCTGCGGCAGCCTCCAATACGTCGGCACGGTCTGCAGAGTGCATCGTGTCCTGCAGCGACGCTGCTGCGGCCGCCCACGCCGCACCGTGTGTCTCAACAGATGTGCTCCAGCGCGCCTCGGCGGTGTGTGTCGCTGCAGCAAAGAAAGCAAGGACGACATCTAAGCGGACTTGGCCGCAGAACGTGACCTTGAGCACATCGAGTTTGGCGGTGAGGACCGAGTCAGGGCACGGCCGCAGACTGTCGAGGGCCAAGAAGATGGTGTGCAGCGACCCAATCATCTCGGCCGAGACCTGCGTCGTGTAGAGCGTCTGCTCGCGCAAGTGGCGGACGCACGTCGCAAGGACGTCGGCGGCCGACGTGTGCAGGGCCTCTTGCTCGGTTGCGCTCAGCGTCGAGAGGGCCATCGTGTCGCAGAGGACGGGCCAGAGCCCTCGCTCAAAACGTCGCACGAGGCGCCCGCAGTCGGCGATGATCTCGGCGCTCGAGCGGGCGACAACGGCGGCGGGCGCCGATCGCGTCTCCTTGGGCTTGACGCCGCGCGCTTTCGCGTCGATTGGCACCACGGGGCCGCTGAGACTGGTGAGGATGCGTTCCATGTCTGCGAGCTGGGTCTTGACGCAGAGGAGACTGGGCTTGGGCGTGATGCCGAGGGCGTCGACGACGGAAATGGCTTGTTTCTAAGGCGCAATTGACTGACCGCGCCAGAGAGAATGAAGGTTCAGAGCGTACTTGGTCACAGTAGACCGCGTCTGGATCGCCAAGGACGTGGAGAAGCTCGTCGTTGGCAGTCATCGCGGTCTTGGTCGCAGCGTCCAGTACGGGCTTGAGAAGAGCCATGCTGGCTTTTCCAGCATGTCCCTTTAAATGGACGAAGTCTTCGACGAGCTATTACCAGCATGACTCGCGTGAGAATGACAGAGCGTCAGGGAGGTCGTGCCTTGACGTAGTCTTTCTTGGCCAAACTCGCACGCATGCGAGAAGGGATCTCAAAGAACGACCGATACCGCGCGAGGACGGCAAGCGCGTGGCGCGTCTTGCGCTGCTCTTCGCAGCGCTGCAGCATCAACGAGAGCGTCTTGTCTGCGGTCGATTTGAGGCTTCGAAATGCAGTTGTGAGGCGCTCGCTGTCGGACTCGTGCGCTCGAATCTCATCGGAAACCTGCAAGGCTGTGTCGAGGCGCAGCAGGCTAGGGGTATTCTACCTCGCGAATTGCTTCGTGGCAGGAGAGGTATTGGTCAAAATGGGATGCCACGAGAGCTTTGAGCTGTTCTGTCTTGTCGGAAGTCGACCGTTTGAGCGTCTCGAGCTCGGCGACGAGACCCGCGTACTTCGTATCCTACGCACAGTCGTCGCGTGGACGTCAGGACGCAGCGCATACCGCGTGCTTGGCCGCCAAGAAGGCGGTCGCATTGAACTCGACCGAGTTCATATCGAGCTTCGGGTCAATGGTCTCCTTAAGGAAGTCATCGTCGTCGGATGGCAGCATCGGTCGGTCGCTGCGCTCTGGTCAAAGATTTCGATGAAACTGCCAGACCTGCGCTTTGATTGGTCATTTGTCTTTATTTAGACCAATCCCGTGCTCGCAATCTTTGGCCCCCATACATCCTGTCTAGCCTTGGCAATTGCCTCCAAGGCCGGGAGAGCCATCGCACCCCGTCCCTGTCTTGGGCCATGCACGGCGATGTCGTGCCAGCGCAGGAGGGCGCTGTGCATCTTGACACTTCCAGCTTTCTCGACGGTGATTGGCTGCTGTCGCCATGTCCTGCGCGCTGATTGGCGCTTTTGCATGTTTTTAACCAATCGTGTGCCACAAAGGGCTTCACAAGAAATTTCCATGGAGGCATACAAAAGCCAAGTCGTCTCGAGATTGTGGCAGCCACTTGTTTGGTCAATCCATTGGCGAATTACGGCAACGATGGACCACGAGAAGCTCGCCGCGGAGAAGCAACTGCTCGCGTACCTGCATGCGCACACGACTGTCGCGGATACCTACCCGTACGCGCTGTCGCATGGCCTCGACCACGCCCTTGTCGTCGGCGTCGTTAAGAGTCTGCTCGTCGACGCCTTTGTGACGGCGTCGGAAGTCTCGACTTCGTTCTACGTGCTGAGCGAGGAGGCGCTTGGCATCATGCAGAACGGGTCGCCCGAGTTCCAGGTCTTCAGCGCCATTGCTGCCGATGGTATTAGCAAGGCCGACCTCGAAGCCATTGTTGGCGCGGCCACCTTCAAGGTCGGCCAGGGCGCCTGCATGAAGAACAAGTGGATCCGCATGGACAAGGCCACGGGCATGATCTACCGCAATGTACGCATATGTACCTGCCAGACACAAGGCTCATGGATGCGGCGTAGGTCGAAAGCGTCACGGACGACGTTGTGGCGCTCTTGAAGAACGTCGAGGCCGTCAATGGTGACGTCGCGCGCGTCGCCAAGGCGGACGCGGACAACCTCAAGCGCCGCAAGCTCCTCACCCTCCAGTACGACTTTTGAGTCGTCTTGGCATATGCTCATGCACGCACCGTAGGGTCCGCAAGTCGTGGAGCGTCGGCAAGGGCCCCAACTTTGCCCTCGAGCGCAAGCGCCAGGCGGCCGGGCTCAACAAGGACATGCTCGACAGGTATGTGCGATGCACTTTGTTTGCGTGTCGTCTCATACAACACCGGTAGCGAGGCGTGGAAGACGGAGACGTTTAAGCCGTACAACTTTAACACGATGGGCATGCCTGTCGGCGGTGGCCACTTGCACCCGCTCATGAAGGTCCGCGCCGAGTTCCGCCGCGTCCTCATGGACATGGGGTACGTGTATTGCCCCTACATGGTATCAGCACTTATTGTGTCATGTAGCTTCCAAGAGATGCCGACGAGCCGCTTCGTCGAAAGCAGTTTCTGGAACTTTGACTCGCTCTTCCAGCCGCAGTCGCACCCGGCGCGCGACGCCCACGACACGTTCTTCCTCACGACGCCCGCGAGCGCAAACTCGGTGCCCGAAGACTACTACGAGCGCGTCCGGGACATGCACGAGAACGGCGGCCACGGCTCGATCGGGTACATGTTTGTCGACTTCGCGTCTGGATGCGATCGCTCAAGCTTTGCGATAGCCATGGCCGCGGTGCGTTCACGCGTGAAGAATCGTTCAAGAACCTTCTGCGCACGCACACGACCGCGATTTCGGCGCAGATGCTCTACAAGCTCGCCAACGTACGTTCCGTCGTCTTGCTGTTTGATAGATTGATAGATTGATATATTGGGATGTAGCAACCGGGTGGCTTCAAGCCGCAAAAGTACTTTTCGATCGACCGCGTCTTCCGTAACGAGAGCATGGACGCGACGCACTTGGCCGAGTTCCACCAGGTCGAGGGCGTCGTCGCCGACTACGACCTCTCGCTCGGCGACCTCATTGGCGTCATCAGCAGCTTCTTCAAGAAGATTGGCATCACGCAGATGCGCTTCAAGCCCGCGTACAACCCGTACACGGAGCCGAGCATGGAGATCTTTGCGTACCACCCGGATCTGAAGCGCTGGACGGAAATCGGCAACTCGGGCGTCTTCCGCCCCGAGATGCTGCGGCCGATGGGCCTCCCCGAGAACGTCCGCGTCATTGCGTGGGGCCTCTCGCTCGAGCGCCCGACGATGATCAAGTACCGCCTCAACAACATCCGCGACCTCTTTGGCCACAAGGTCGACCTCGAACAGACGCGGTCCGCCAAGCTCTTCCGCGTCGACGAGCCGACGGAGGAGGAAACGGCGACGGCGTAAGACGGCGCCACCGGCGCTGGCACTTGAACTCGATGAAGTGCTTTTGTTTTTCTGCTTTTTTTCTGTATTTGGTTAGCAGTCTCGCCCCGAGAGCGCTGCGCCGACGCGCCGAAACACGTCTTTGGGCACACCGCAGGCGCAGCCGGGCACTCCACACAGAAACGCGATCTCGTCCAACGGAAGCGGAGGCTCGTCCGGCAGCGTTGTCGTGCTGGATGGACGTCGCGGCGGTGGCGGCTATCCACAACGATACGTGGAGGCGCGTGAGGTCGCAGTCGTACCTGGATACGATGGTGGCGACGCAGCGCATGCAGCGTCACCTTGCGATCTTCGATTGTGTGGCGCAGCTTCATCATCTCATTCTGGATGAGAGTGCAGCGGGCTTGTGCAGCGCGCGCGTCGCGGAGCTCGGCCTCGAGGTCGTCGAGCTCGACTTGCATGAGCGCGGTTGCATTCCGCTCAATGCCGAGGCACGTCGTCGTCGTCGTCTGGACCTGGCGCGCCTTGGCCGTTCGTTTGTGCCGGATCGCATCACGGTCGCGCGCGAGGCGCTGGCGGCCAAGGACGGCGTCCAGCCGCGCATGCAGAGCCGGGTCGGCGGGGCCTTTGGCGCGGAGGCCGTGCACACAGTCCTTGCGCTTGCCTCCTTGGCAGCGTGCGCTTGTCGCCAGCTCTCGTACGCCAAGCCGCGTGCAGCGATCGCCGTCATGACGCTGTAGTGACACACGCGCGTCGCCCAAAGGCCGAGCGCGTGCTGGCATCGACGCAACCGGTTCGTCTCGAGGACGCGCCCGACGATGTAGAGCCCAAGCAATGGCTGCTCGACGGGGCGGCGCACGCCAAGGTCCGGCGGCGGCGTCGGGGCGTCTGGCGCCCGCACCAACTGCATCGCGCGCTGCTCGAGATACCAGCCGTAGCCCGCCGTGCTACTCGCGTCCGGGTCGAGCGCCGTCGTGAGTTGGCCGAGGCCTTCCGGACGCCCCGTCACCCAGTGCCCCGCAAAGAGATGGCCATTGGCAAACGACCCGACGCCGTACCCCATCGGCGTGCCGTCGCCATCGACCTCGCCTTCGTACACGACGTCCGCGCACGTCACGACGCCAAGACTGCAACGGCCATCGCAATCCAGCGCGATCGTGGACCGCCCGTCCGAGGACGCGACGACGCCGCAGCGACCGGCCGGCGACAGCGCGCCTTCAAACGTGCGTCCGTCGGGCGCGGTCTCGTGGAGGTAGCGCAACACACTTCCTCGCGCCTCGCGCATGCCAATGCGGTACGCACTGTACTGGGCATGGATCGCGCTCGCCTGGGCAGGGCGGGGCCGGCGCCGCCATGCGCGCGTCTCGTCCGTGGCCATCGTACCGTCCATGGTGTGTAACTAACTGGCCAACGTAACGGGCAGCAAATCTTGGTCTTCCGCCGATTCGAGCACGCATGCTGCTGCGGATCCGCGCCGACGGCGGGCGCAAGCTCGCCAAGAAGACGGGCATGGCCGCGATGGTCGACGCCAAGCCCGACCCGTACTTGATCGTGCGCATCGACGGCAAGAGCACCGTGTTTCCGGTCGTCGACGACGTGGACGCGGCCGAGTTTCGATGGGGCGATGACGCCGTCCGCGATCTTCCGTGGCCAGCGACGGCCACCGAGATGGAGATCCACGTCAAAGACAAGGATCTCATCTCGGACCACCACATTGGCGCCGCCAGAGTCCCTTTGGCGCCGATCCGCGACGCGCTCGCAGCGCCGGGCGCCAAGACCTCGCGCAACATTGACCTCGATTTTGCCGACGAGAAGCTCAAGACCAAGAAGTTCTCGGGACAAATCACACTCACGTTCGAGTGCATCGACACGACGCCAGCGCCTGCTGCAACCAAAGCCGCAGCTTCAGCAGCCATACCCGACGCAAAGGAATCAGTGCCACAGGCAGGGCTAGCACCGCCTGAACCGAAGCCCGTTGTCGCCAACCCGACGCCAGCAGCTCCCGAAGCGACGCCAATCGTGGCCGACGTCAAACCAGCCGCCCCAAACGCTGCTGCCTCCGTGGCAACTGACGCCGCGATCGCAGTTGCCCCCGGTCTTGCTGCCTCCGATACCCCCAACGCGACGGCCCCTCCGTTGAGAGAAGCCAAAACAACATTGTCCGCAGAGGGCTTGGCGCCTCTTCAGCCGTCCAAAGCACAGAGTCAGAAAGGCAGTTTGAAAAAGGCCGCGGCCAAGATCAACGCGCTGACGCCTCTGTCGATGCAACCCAGTGCCAAGACCACGACGCCGGCGGTGGCGGTACCCGCGGCAGCTGCGGGTGCACCACCGTCATCACCTGCCAGGAAGGCGTCGATGGCGCCCGCAGCAGAAACTACAGCGCCAAGGCATCACCTCGTGCGCATCCAGGCCGTCGGCGGTCGCAACCTCGCGCCCAAGTCGCGTCTCGAGCGCTTGGTGGACCAGTACCCGGACCCGTACATCACGCTGGTCGTCGGCAGCGACACGCGCGTGTACCCTGTCGTCGACGACGTCAAAACCGCCGAGTTTACGTGGGGCGAGGACGCGGTGCAGGAATTTGAGATTCCGACAAGCGCCAAAAGCATCGCCGTCGCGCTGCACGTCAAGGACAAGGACCTCGTGCTCGACCATTACATTGGCGGCACGGCCTTCACACTCGACTTGGAGACGCTCTTGGCCGCGCAAGCGCTCCCCGACCTCGTCTACACCCTCGAGTACGACAGCCCCGCGTTTAAAACCAAAGCCAAAACCACCCGCGGCGAAATCCTCTTGTCCTTCTTCCTCGTCGCCGCCGTCCAGACCCCAGCACCGACACCGGCCGCGACTCCAGCGCCGACACCGACCGCGACTCTAGCGCCACGACCTGACGTGGACCCGGCACTATCGCCTGCGAACGCACCGGCCTTGATGCCGGAACCGACACCCGCCGAGACACCCGCCGAGACATCATTGCCGCGCCGGTCCAGCGTCGAAAGCCGCGTCTACAAAGGATCGCTGCAAGTGATTGCCCATAGCGCCGACGGTATTCCGATCCCGCCGCGTAAAATGCTGAGTCTCGACCGCCTCGCCGACCCGTACGTGCTCTTGAAGCTCGGCGCTGCGTCGGCCGAGCTTCCGCAGGCCAAGGACGGCCACGACAAGCCCAAGTGGCACAACGCGCTGCACCTCTTTGAGTACATGGATTCGAGTCTCGTGCCGTGGATGGACGTGCTCATTTACGACAAGAACTTGGTGTTCCACGACAGCTACCTCGCGGGCGCGCGCTTGTCGCTCGCCGATGTGCTGGCCACCGTGACGCCCGAGCTTCCGTGTGTCGTGACGCTGCCGTTGAACCTCGACAAATCGCTGCAGCCGACCGACAAGGCGATCGGTACGATTACACTCTCGCTACTCTACACGCCCGACGACGCCAACCGCATCAACTGTACACACGCTCGTCTTGTGGTGGCGCGTCATGATGATAATATCACGTAGGGACGGGTCCGTCGGTCGGATGCATTGGCTTTGCCAACCTCGCGCTCAGCGTGACCGGCGACCTTGTCTCGCCCAGCATGGAGCTGGTGCTCGACGTGAGCATTCGCCGACACGTGCTGGCCACCGACGGATTTGTGACGCAGTCGACGGACCCGGTCGCCGGCGCCGAGGCTGTCGCATGGCTTGATACGGCGCTGTGCGTGCCGTATAGTCTCTACCTCCACGAAGGCGTCACGAAGGACAAGTGTCCCATGGTGCTCTTTTTTCTGCGGGACCGCGCGGCAATCCTCCACGACAAGCCGATCGCTCTCGGGCACGTCAACTTGCTCGATGTGTTGGGGCTCCACACGACCAAGCACGTCGTGCTCCTGAGCCAAAACAGCACTCGGTCTGGCCGCGCGATGCTCAGCGTAGCGGTCGCCCCTGCCGAGCCGCCGCGCGGCACCAGTGCGCACGCTACCTACGCTCGATCGCGCGAGCTGAAGCGATACTGTAGGTGCCGACTTTGCCGCGACGCCCGGGCGACTGCGCGTCTTCTTGCTCGGTGCGACACTACCTCGTAGTAGCAGAAAGCAGCACGAGGTCTGAAGGAAGAAGGAGACGTCTCGTCTCAGGCTTTTGTATAGAAACTTCGCCTCGCGTTAACCGCCCCGGCGACGACCGGCGCCAGTACCTCTGTTCAAACCGACACGGTGGATCCGACGGCCCATGGCGCGTTGCTCGTGCTCAACAGCGTGCTCGAGCTGCAGTACCTCTCGTCGCACGTCGCCAAAGCGAGCGAGTTTGCGCCGACGCTGTCGCTCTTCAATCAAAGTAGCAAGCTGCTCTGCTCGGTGCCGCTCCCGGTGCTCTCGCTGCTTGAGCAACATGAACACAACGAGTTTACACTCGAGCTCCAGCACGGTACAAGACACAGCACGCATTAAGATTGAGTGCGCGTAGATGCGTCGACCATGTGCGTTCTCTCGATGGCCCTGACGGTCGAGCCGAGCACGCTGCCACCAGAGACGATCGCTGCCGTCGCATCGGCTGTCGACTTCGGCCCCGGGTATCTCCATATGGTGGTCCTCCAGGCCGACGCCGTCGTTCTGGACGGCGGTGCTTCGATCACGGACCTCGACCCCGAAGTGAGTCGCGTGAAGCAATGTGCGACTCGACCATCCACCACTTACGACTAGGTCCGCGTGAGCATCAAGCCGCGGTACACCAAAGACAAGCGGGTGACTTCCAGTGCCAAGACGCGGCCGCTGGAAGTCGTCGCACCCAACCCTTCGTGGCACGAGTACCTCAAACTCGAGTTCATTCCGTCGGACGACCCCGCAACGCTGCACGTGCCACCCACCGTGACCTTTTCTCTCAACGAAATCAAGCCCGTACGAATGCAGTTGCGTGCTATCGCCTGACGTTCTTGTAGCCGGGCGAAGACAGCGTCATGCATGTACTGGGGACCGCCGACCTCCCGCTGGCGGCCTTCTTGCCGGCGACCGTTGACGCCGAGCCCTTTGCGACCAAAGTCGACCTCCTGAGAGGCGGTGCGTCGGTCGGCGGCCTCTGCATTGTGGGTATCTTCGAGTCGCTCACGGCGCCCGATGAGACACGCAAGGCAGTGCACGCGCACGCCCGCCGTCTCCGGACGACGACCATGTCGATCGATGGCGTGTCGTCGAGCGCCGGGCGACCGGGACGCTTTGAAGTGCATTTGTTGCACGCCACGGGTCTCCACCACCCGCCGCACGAGCCGATTGCTTGCGATGTCTGTGTCGCGTCCGCGATCGATGAGATTGTCCGCGTCGAGTCGCAGCCCGACGAGAGCAGCACCGGCGAGCTCGTGTGGGACCGCCAGTTGACCCTCTTTACTCACACCGCAGCGTCCGACTACCTCCGTCTCGACTTTTTCGTTCGGTACGTTCTGCCTGGCGCTGTCGCTTGCCTCATGGACAAACCAGGTCCATCATGATTGGGTTTCTCAAGGTCCCGATTGCTACGTACAGTCAAATGCCGCGCAAGGCGTGTCGCGAGCTTCACGATATCGTGCTCAAGACCAAGGACAAGGACGCGCGATCCAAGCCCCAGGTACAAAAGTCGCATGGACCGCATGGCCGCAAGCCCATTCGGATGCCTTAGGCACTGCTGGAGCTCGCGTTCTTTCCCGACGAAGCGCTTCCGACGTTCGCGCCGACGGCCACCCGCCGAAGCGAAACCGGTCGCTTGCTCCTCAAGTTGGAGGCGCTCGAGCCCACCGCGGCTGATCTTCTGGAGAAGAAGCTCGCCTTGCGCTGCACATTGCTGTACGCCAATGGAGCCAGCGTCGTGTCGCTGTTCCATGTCGGTACGAAAGCGGCGCCCAAAGTGGCCTACGGCGACGTCCTCGAGCTCGTGGTACCCGACAAGTATACGCAACACACCTCGTCGCTTGGCACGTGCCCGCTTCTGCGCCTCGAGCTCATCAACGGCAGCTCGGGTACGTCGCAGCTCGATCGTCTTCGTCCTGCGGCAAATGGCTCGTAGCGTTCGGGAAGGAGGCCGTGTCGAGCGACGACGTTGCCATCCAAAGCCTCCTCTTCCACCCGCACATGGTGCTGACCAAGCGACTGCCCTTGTCCACGCTCGGCGCAACACCCTCGTGCGTTGGCTACGCGCGCGTCCAGTTGGTCTACATACCATGTCTGTACTGCCGTAAAGTTGAGTGCCTGCATTCGTGATGACCATGCCGCCAAAAGCCAAAGCCATCGAGTACTTTGCGATGCCCGACGACGACGACGATCGAAGCATGCTGTTGCCGCAGCGCGGCGTGCTCTCTGTGCGCGCCATCGCAGGCCGCAACCTCGTACCCTACCCCGTGCCCGCGATGCACTCATCGGGTCGTAGGAAGAAGTCGATGCGCTGGGCGAACAAGACCCGTACATCCAGCTGCGCACGCTGCCGCGGACGTATGCATCGACGACGCCGGCGTTTGCCCAGAGCGCCGTGTGTTTGAACAGCGGCCGCCACCCGGTGTGGAACTCGCCCGTGTTTCCGCTGCTGGTGGACGATGTGCACACGACGCTCCTCTCGATCGACGTGCTCGACTCAGGCGAAGAAGACCACGTCCCCGACGCCCTCATTGGCAGCTCGAGCGTCAGCCTTGCCGCTCTCTTGGCGGCTCGCAGTGTCGACGACGACGCGTCACGCTGGAGCGAAGGCTGGTTTCCGATCGTTGGTCGTGGCGCGGACGCTGGCACCGTGCGCCTCGAGTACCGCTTCATACCGGACGACGACGCGCGGCTGCAACGCGAGCCGCCGACGCAGTACACCAACTGCGTCGGGGGCTCTGGCACGCTGCACCTGCGCCTCCTCCGCGCGCGCCACCTTCCCTGCACGCCCGGCATGGTATGAACATGCAATTCTTGCGACAGCGTGTCGACGTATCCTTGGTAGACGCCGGCACTGCGCGCGCTCGTCGATGCGTCGCCAGGGTTCTGCCACGTCACGCGCGCCGAAAAGAAGAACATTCTGCACCCCGTGTTCGAGGACGCTACGTCGTGTGCGCTGCGCTGGACCGCCAATTGCAGCGAGAGCGTTCGCTTGGAGCTGCATATTGTCGACGTCGTACGTTTGCGCGATGCGTACCGAGAAAGCATCCAGAGTTGAGTAGAGCGCGCACGTGGCCAGTGCAAGCTTGCCGATTCTGGCGCGAACGACGCTGGATCTCGCCCCATTTGTGATTCATCCGCGCGAGGTGCACCAGGCGTGGCACCGCCTACGGTCCTCGTCCAACGAAGCCAACGAGGGGCCGTCCGTCCAAGTCGCTCTGCAGTTTATTCCGTCCTCGGATTCGACGTCGACGCCGTTTGCCGAGCCCGTGCCCGAGATGGTGTCGGGTACGAGGCTGCAGCGCGTGGAGGGTTCATTATTGAAATGTGTAGGACAAGTGCATGTCAAGATTCTGGAAGCGGCGTTCCGCTCGGCTGCCGTCGACGCGCCGAGCGTGCACGTGGAGCTGCGCACGGGCAACCACGTGCAAGCCAGGAGCACGGCGGCGTACGTGTCGCCGTCCGACGACTATGCGCGCAGTGTCTGGGACGCGTCGATGCTCTTTGACTGCCAAACGTTACCAGAGGCTGGCTTGCCGACGCTGCGCTTCCGCGTCGCCAACGCTGCCACGTCATTCGGCGAGCTCGAGATGCCACTGTTTCCGTTTGTGCTGGCAAAAGGCCACCTCTGCAGTGCGTGGTACCCCTTGTACCTCCAGCACCAGCTCACGGCGCAGGTGCGCGCTATCGCAGACAGTGCTGCGTCCAACACCCATGTCGTAGCTCAAGGTCGAGGTGCAGTTTCTTCGCACGCAGAGCACCCAGCCGCCGCCACCTGACCTGAGTTTCCTCTCGATCGAGGTCGTGGAAGGCCGGCATTTACGATTGGCGCATGATGGCGTCGACGCCCAAGACCCGTTCGTGGAGCTTACGCTTCTGGACCACGTTGTGCAGGTGCCATCGACGCTCTCAAGCACTTACAGATAAACAACGGGCCTGTGTAGACCAAGCCCCACGTCGACGGCGGGCGGGATCCAACCTGGAACGAGACGTTCGAGGTGCCACTGACATCATGGTCGGACGCGAGCAACCTCCCCACGCTAACCATTTCCGTGCGCAACGCCGATGCGAAAAAGCATGGGGCTGGAGTCATTGGCGAGTGCCACTGGGTCGTTCCGAAAGATGTGCTTCACGACGGCAAGCTGCGGGATGTGATTCTCAAGCTCACAGGCGCTTCAGACGGCGTTGATGTTCGTGACGACGTCGGTGACGGCAACGGCGACATACAGCTGCGTCTCAAGCGTGGCAAGTTGCCGTCGGTGGTCTATGGGGACGCACCGTCGGCGTCCCTTATGTCGGCCGGCGAAACGTCCGGCGAAGCTGGCCGTGCGACCAACAGCGCCGGCATTCTGTACCTCTTTTCGCGGGCCCCGCCGATAGAGTCGGTGACCGTCACAGTCGCCACCGACGCAATCGAAGCAAGTCCCGCGACACAAGTGTCTTTGGCCGACGTGGGTGTCGTGCGAGTGCCGACCCACACGGAGGCGCTCAAGCGCAGCCTGCCGCACCCTGCCACGTCGCTGCGTCTAAGCACAAGCGTCGGCGCCATGACCCTGAGCGCCGACTACCTCCGCACCGTCCTGGCGACTCCACTGCGTGAATTTCGCGACACGTATGCCCTGAGTGCAACTGATGTGGTCGACCTCAGCCTCGTCTACGCCAAGCCCGTGCAAGGGCTGCTGCGCGTGAGCTGCGTTGCGGTCGACGACGTGCCGCTGGTGCCGGGCACGTCGTACTACGCCGAGTGCCGCATTCTGCGCAACAGCCCTTGGACCAAGAGCCCACTCGTCAAGGCACATACGTCGACCAACTTGACGTGGAAGACGACGCTCGCGCCGCGGGAGCTCGCGTATAGTAACCTCACCGAGGCGTTGCCGCCGCAGGCGCAGTGCGTGCTGTACGCTGCGAGCGGCGACGAGAGCGCTGTCAAAGTCGCGTACGCCCAAGTGTCGCTGCTCAAGTACATTTTGGCGCCCGGCACGTTGTTTCCGGACGACGTCGTGCCCCTCAGTTGCGTGACCGGTCGCCCCCGAGGTTTGTTCGTCCTCCGCACGTCGCCTCTCTCACTCGGGTCCGTAGACACGCCGAGTCTGCACCTCGCCATCGGCTTTTTCCCAACCGTCGCGGACGTCGCCGACGACAACACGATGCTCCAGGCCGTCGAGCTAGCGGAAGGAACGGCGGCGCTCAAGAAGGCCTTCCTTCTCCTCGGCGGTGACGCCACCAAGCCGATCGCGATCGACATCTTTCGAGCGCACGCGCTGGCAAGCGACCAGTGCATGCACGTTTTGGGGCACGCGGCCGAGGCGATCGGCGGCCTCGACAAGCTTTTTGCGGCGATGGACGCCAACAAAGACGGCGAGATCTCGTGGGAAGAGTACCTCGACTGCATGCAGACGGTGCATTGCCTCGCGGATGCAGTGCTCGCCAAGCCCGACGTGGCGGCCGCAACACTAGACGACCAAGACGACGAGAGCGACGAGGACGTGGTGGTGGCGCCATCCGCTGAAGATGAGCCAGCTGATGAGCCAGCTGGCAAGGATGGCCAGTCGGCTTCGGTATCCGTTCCCCCCGCTGTACCGACTCCATGGGCGACGTTCGAGCCCATTGCGCCGCTTCCAATCAACACCAAGGGCATGTCAGATGCGGACAGTGACGACGATGCGCCGACAAGGCATGACAACAAGAGGAAAGGACCTCCGCCCATGATTCCAGTACCCAAAGCGTCGTCCTCAGCGGCGTTTCCAAGTGCACCGGCGGCCAAGGCCTATGTCGCCAAGGCCAATGTCGCCAAAGTGGCGTCAGCACCGGTCGTCCGAGTCAACGAACGAGAGATCGCCACGTGGAAGGTCGGCGACGTGGCGCAATGGCTCGAGCATTCGATAGAGCTACCGCAATACATCACGAGCTTTCGAGACGCGTCCGTGGATGGTCCGCTGCTCTTGACCTTGAGCCAAGACGATTTAGTGCATCAACTGAGCGTGCAGCAGCCGTTGCACCTGCGCAAATTGGTGGCCAAGGTACGTCGTTGCGTTGTCTGTACAGATAGGTCATCGATGGCTTCGGCTAGATTGCCGACCTCCAAGACAAGTATGGCTCGGAACCACCAGTACTCCGGGCGTCGTCGAAGCACCGACACACGTCGCGAGTGCCCAAGACGGACGCCGCGCGCCTCGAAGACGCAACGCTCCACGAGCTCGGTGTCCACAGCATCCAGCGCTCCAAGCTCGACGTCAAGGTCAAGGACGCGAACCGCAAGAGCAAGGCCGCGACTGCGATCGCTGCGGCCGACCGCCGGCATTGGAACTTCGAGTACACGGGCGCCCCGGCGCCCGAAGCGCCCGTCTCGGTCGTCCAGCGCCTCAGCAAGGTCTTGTCCCAAGACAAGTCGGCGTTCGAAGGCGCGATGGACGACGTCCTGGCGCAAGTCGGCGTGCATCGCTCGACACCACCGCTCTTGCGAGTGCCTCTGATCACAACCACCGACGAAGCCGTCGAGATTCTCAAACAGGTGCGTCCTTCACTTGATATCTTGATACACTGATGTCGGCGCGTAGTCGATGTGGCGGCTTGGCCGCGACTGTGTGCGCGCCGAGAACGACCAGCGGCAGCGCGACGACGATGCTGCGAGTGACTTTGGGGACGCCCCCGATGCGCGCTTAGGGGACGCACCGCATGACGCAGCCGACGTCATGAGTGTCGCGTTTCGCGAGTTCACGCGGCTTGAAAACAACGGCGCTCGCTGGCTCAAGGACAGCGCGCCAGCCGACGCCAAGCTCTCGCGCCTCAAGTTCCAAGGCGGGCTGCGCTCGCTTCTCCGCATTGATCTCTCGTGGCATCAATTTGGTACCTCCCTCTGTCTTCTGCATGCCTCCAATGTGCGAGTTTGTAGATGAACTCTTTCGACGGCTCGACCGGCGCAAGCTCGGCGAGCTCACGCTCCCGGACTTTGTCGCTGCGTTCGGCGACCCGACGCCGGGCAGCGGCCTCTCGAACGACATGCGCGTCGTCAACGAAGCGCTCACTCGCATGGTGGAGCGCCTCGACGACCTCGGACTGACCTTGTTGCAGGCGTGGCAGGTACTCAAGTATACGCCATCGATCCACAACCCGAACGCTTGCGTAGGCCTTTGACCGGGACAACTCGGGCGCGGTATCGCCGGCCGAGTTTGGGACGCTCGTCAAGTTCCTCACGCACGTCGAGGGCCGGGACGACCTCACCAAGCACCAAGTACGCACATACAAATACGGTCGCCTCTGACACGAAGCGTGCAGGTGTTTCTCATGATGGGAGCGCTCGACACGTCGTGCGACCGCCAGATCCAGCACGCCGAGTTCCTCCGGTTCGTCTTTCTCGTCTGGTCGCACCGCCTCGGGCAGCTCCAGGAGTACATTGCGCGCCACGAAGCAACGTACGCCAAGCACGCTCACTCGAACGAGTTTGACGCCAACTTTGAGCTCGTGCTGCAGCGCAAGCAGGCGCTGCGGCGCGCGCTGCGTCAAAACTTCTCACGTCCCTTCCGAGACGCCATGCGCTGCGCCCCGGTCGCGGTCCCTGGCCCCTTCCAGAACCTGCTCGAGAAGCTCCACCTGGCGCCCCCAAGTGACGAACACGCACATCATGCGACGCAAGTGTGGCAAGTGCTCCAAGGCGGGCCGCTTCCAGCCGAGACGCCCATCGAGACCCCGTTGTTGACGTCGAAAAACGTATTATACTACGACGATCGCTTCGGCGGTTCGTCCTGATACCTTGATACTGTGTAGACCGCAAGCGACCGCACACCAACGAGCTCGTGGTGACGAAGCTGCGTCGGCAACGGGCGCCCGAGCGCAGCCACAGCGTGCTGCGCGCGCCCGTGGCGGTGGCACTCGACCAAGCCCAGCAGTTGACGTTCGACAGGAAAACGCACCGGGCGTACAAGTAGGAGTAGTTAAGACGCACGAATGAATCTGCCTTACAGCTGGTCGTCGTCCATGAGGAAGCCGTTCGTGGGCATGTAGCCGCGCGGGCTCTTGGCGGCGGCGACCGCGGCCGGGTGCATGTGGCCGTCGAGCTCGTCCGACTGGTCGTCGAGCGGCATGTACTCGGCGAGGATGCTGCGCACCTGTTCGCGCATCTGGCGCTGGCTGCGCTTCCAATACACGTAGCCCGCGCTCGCGACGCCAATGCCGGCAAACGTCAAAATGACCATCAGCGTCGTAAAGCTCACGCCGTTCTGGATGATGCTGCTGGCGTCCAGCGCGCCGCCTTGCTTGACGCAGCCGAGGAGCGCGAGCGGGTTCTGGTCCGAGCAGCTGCAAATGGCCGGCGGGTCGTGCGTGCCGTAGCCCGCGCAAATCATGTTAAGGATTCCGCTCGTGTCAATGCGGCCGCGCGCGTGCACACCGTCCACAAAGAGCGCCGGCAGCCGCAGCAGCTGGAGCGCCGTCTGCTCCTTGAGATCGGCCTCGAGCATCTCGTTGACCACGTCGAGTTCGCGGCCGTAGGGCTGCATGCACTGCTCGACGGCGTGCGCGTCGATCCCATGCTTCTTCATGATGCGGACCGCGCACTGCTTGTTCATAAACGTCTCTTCCTTCTGGTTGCACTCGTCGCCAAAGTCGTTGACGTAGCGCCACCACTTCTTGCCGACGCCCGCATCTTCCGTCGACGCGAGCTTCCAAATGCACTTGCGGCGCAGGTTCTCAATGACCACGTCGGCGCCCGACGCACCCGACATGCGGTCGTGGAACGGCGACGGGTCCATGAGGCAGTAGCGACCCTTGTTGATGCACATGTTGCCGCACGGGTCGAGGCCGTCGACCACGTTGCAGCCGACGCGGGACCCGTTGTACGCGACAAAGCGGGGCGTGAAGAACGCGCGGTCGCCAAGCGCGAGGACAATGTCTTCTGTCGTCTTGAGCGTAATCTAACGCGCCGCATGACCATCGACGGTACAGAGGAGGAGACGCCTACCGCGCTCTGCTCGTCCCACGAACTGTGCCACATGGTCCACTCGACGCGCCCGTCGGGCGACGGAATGCCCCAGTCAAACTTGACCATGACGTTGCTCACGCCGTTCGAGTGCGAAATAGTCTTCTTGATCGCATCGGCGTCGCTCTTGCGGATGAGCATCGACGGAATCGTAATGTCGCCGCCCGACTCGTCGTCGTTCTAGCACCCCGCGCCATGAGAAGAGCACGAAAAAGGCCTGCGCGTACCATAAACGGCAGCACCGTCTCGCAAAAGTTGTCGCCCGTCTGCCGCATGCACGCAATGTCCGAGCAGAGACACTTGTTATCGGCGACGACGACAGCGCGGGCGCCAGCGTGCTGGGCGCGGCGCACCTTCTCGACAAAGACGCAGTCGCCGCGGTCAATCATGAGCGCAAATGGCGGCTCCCAGTTGCCTTTGGGAAAGTCTTCGCAGGCGGACGTGTTGAGGTAGATGAGCTGCGTCTCGAGCGACCCAACCGAGTAGCCCGGGTACCCAAAGAGCGCATCCTTGTGGACGTAGCCGCCCTTGATCTGGAGCGACTCGGGCAAAATGATCTGCAGCTTCGTGTGGTCGTTCTACCGATGGGCCATGAGCCATGGCCTAGGCTAGCACCTCCATGTACCTCGATGGACGGCCATTCATTGACATCCGAGACGTCGGCAGCGGCGACGGCCGCGAGCGCCGCAAGGAGGAGCTTCATGCTGCGGTCTGGGGGAAATCAGCGACTGGCCTTCTTCTCGAAGTCCCAAGACACCTTTTTATTTTCGAGACAATTTAATTCCACGAATCCAATTGCCGCATACAAACGCTAGTTTCTCGGTCGGAAATTGATAAAAACGATGCGTGCAAACGAGAAAAAATATCGATCTTGGGGCCAAGATACACGAGCCAACTTTTTCGACCAAATCGGACGACCTACACTCTGCCCTTCGTATTTTAATGCCGCCAGCACTAACCTTTTTATTCCAAGATTTTATTCGACCTTAGGAAATGTATAGACCGGCGAAAAATATCAAAAAAGAAGCACGCGAATCGGCCTTTCTAAATTGGTTGAACCTGGACCAAGTCGAAGCAACCACCGCGCTGCTGTCTGCACGTGCTTCTCGAGCAGATCGCCACCGATCGACTCGTAGATAGCAATAGCTAATAGACAATATCGTCGGTTGCTAACTAGTACTATCGACGACCCTCCGCAACAGCATCGACGGCGAACCAACTGCGACTGCGATTCTGAAGAACAACCAGATTGCACTTATTACGCCCGTGGAACAGGCAGCTGCCGCCAGCATCTCCAGCTCCTCATACTACCTACTACGAGCATGGTCAAGAGCGAAGACCAAGTGCCTGCTGTAGCCTCATTGACACGCATCTCGTTCGTCCTCGTCCTTGACAGGGTCGCAGATCTGACGACGTTGCAGGCGCGCCAACGGCGGCTCGCCCCAAGATAGTATCCGGATAAACGGGTGCATGTATATCCGGATGGTTCAGAGCCTCCATTTCGACCATCAACGCTCGAAGCGGTAAAGCATGTCATCGGACGAAGGTACGGCGGGCATGGAGCTTGACGGCGCAGGCTCATGGGCGGCTCTAGACACGCGCAAGAAGAACGTCGCCGACATGTTCGGCGACGAGTCGGACTCGGACGACGATGGCTTCAAGCGTACGTAGCCTGCATGGACGATATGGGCCTCACGCCGGCCATGTGCTAGCGGCTGCCAAGTCGGTAAACGCGGACGCGTCTGGTCTCTTTGGCTCGGACTCGGAGTCCGAGGATGAGAAGCCCAAGAAGCTCAAGAAGGCCGCGCCCAAGCCCAAGGCGGCGGAAAAGCCCAAGAAGGCGGTCAAGCGCAAGTCGCGTGACGACGAGCCTGCGCCGCGTGCGCCGGAAGGTATACAGATCCCTTGCGATCTATCTGCAATCCCATCATAGGCGACGAGTACGACTCGGGCGACGAGGTCAAGCGCTCCAAGGCCGACGACGCCTTCATCGACAACGACGACGACCTCGACGACGTGCTCGACGAGTACGGCAACGACAAGCAGGTGCGATCATGTAAATGCAACGCTCCTCTATACCCATGGCATGTGCAGGAGTTCCACGACGAGCGTCCGGACATGGACGACGACGAAGACGAAGCGCCCGAGCGCCAGCAGCGCGAACTCGATTTCTTTGACGAGACCATGAAGGGGCTTAAGTCGGGCCGCGCAAAGTCCAAGATGTCGCTGTCGCAGCAAGACATGGAGAACATCACCCAAGTATCATCTTCATCTTCCTTCTCTCGCCCCGCGCATGATGCAACCCACGCCTTATAGGAACTGCTCTACCGCATGGACAAGGCGTACTCGGACGACGTGCAAGCGATCGACGAGCACCGCCCGGCGCTCGAAAAGGTACTTTGGACCAGCGATTTCTAGTCATTTATGTGACATTTCTCATAGCTCAAGTTTGTCGACAACGCGCTCACGATGATGCGCAAGGTGCAGCTGCAACCGATGCTGCTCGACTTTGATTTGCTCGGCGTACACGAATCCGGAGGTTCCGCCCACGGTCTCATTGCCCAATGGTAGATCATCAAAAAATGGATTCAACCGCTCGACAATGGCGCGCTCCCGAGCCTGAGTCTGCGCTCCAAGATGCTCGACATGTGCCAGCGCATGCCCAGTACATCGACTTGTGGATACCTTGATGCTGACCTATGAACCTAGTCTACAAGGAACATTTGAAGCGCAGCGGCTTTGGGAAGGTCGTCATGTCGCTCTGGAAGCACCCGGACGAGGTACAGCGCCGCGTCATCGGATTCGGACACGGGACAGAGCCGTAGACGCCCGAGAACAAGGAGCTCTGCCGCCTCATGATCGACCGCTGGAGCCGCTCCGTCTTCTCCAAGACGCTCGACTACTCGAAGCTCGGTGAATACGAAGCGGAGAAGCGCGAAGCCAACGGCGGCTACTATCACCAAGCCGAGAAGCGGTATATCAACTTGATATTTTTGTATGTATCGACTCAATGTCGATAGACCGTCGGGACGTACCGAGTCGGTGCGCAGCAAGGGCTTTATGAACAAGCGCTCGGACGCGAACGAGGACGCGGACGCGTCGTCGCGCGTGCGGATTCCGCAAGCGATGCGCTTTGACTTTTCGCTGCGCCCGCAGCCCAAGGTCGACGTCAAGAACATTCCGTCGACCAAGATGGACCCGGACTCGAAGAAGGCCAAGCTCCTGAAGCGCATGCAGATCATTGCACGCCCGAGCAAGGGCGGAAAGCGCGCCGTCAAGATGAGCATTGAAGGCCGCGGGTTGTAAGCCACTTAAAAGGATGTGGCGACGACCTCTTACTACTCTACTACCTACGTATCTTAATAATGGAGCTCTGCACTCGGTTTTTTTGCAGTGGTATCTTGAGCGATGGATCTGGTGCTGAAAGGCTGGATGTATGGCAAAGGTTCGTTGCATCACACGCACTTTTGGCTGCGATCCGTTGATCTAGTGTTGAAAACCTGTCACTTGTAGTCATACTAACCTATGGAGGATCGCTCGCACATGCACAAGGTTAGAAGCTCGAGTTGGCTGGTGCAGAGTCGGTAATAGCGTGTCGTTGGAGGCGATGGCTGCGTGAATCTTGGTCTCGAGGCTCTTGACCCACGTACTGAGCTGCGTGATCGTACTCTTGTTCTTGGCAATGGTGGCGTTGGCGTTGACAAAGTGCATCTTGATGTGCTGCACCTGGGCCTCCTTGCGTGCAACGCGATGCTCGAGCTTTTCACGAAGCGCCGTGATCGTGTCGTCGCGCCGAAGGACGCGGTGCGCAAGCTCCAGCACGTGGTCGTGGGCAGCATGCAGCTTCTCAGTCATGGCAGCCAAAGCAGCTTGGTGCTCGGCTTGCAGACGTTCGATCTCGGCCTTGTGGTCGCGCGCAAAATCCGATGCAGGACGCGCGATCTGCGTGTTGCTAGCGCGAGGCACAGTGCGCACCGCAGTGGCAGTGGTAGAGCGCGCAGCTGGCTTGGCTGCTGCCTTGGCCACCGACTTGGTGGTGGTAGGCCGGCGGAACGGGTGCGAGATGCGGAGCTGGGCTTCCAAAGCCGCGACGCGACGGGCCTCCTTGTCTTGGTGGTACGTTGCGCTGTAGAGAGTCATCTTGCTTCGATCGATGAATTGGAAATGACAATTAGTAGATAAGCTCCATCCAATTGGTAAAAACGACTAGCTGCCTTTTACGCTGCAAAGGCTAATTGCCAGTGTGAAGTCAGCAAACGAGTTCATAGCTTCCGGAGAATAGGCTAGGGGCATGGATAGCTAATCGACCTACTTGTACATGGCTAGTTGGGACCTATTGATAATAAAGTGTCCTCCGTGTCGACCCGACCAGTGCACATCTACAAACCTACTCGTGAAAGTTGCCCAGACAGAAAATGCTATGAAGGCGATAAACGCTCAAATGCAACATCCTCCTTTTGTCATTCACCATGAACCATGCAGCGTGAGGACGACTAGCGGCGCGGCGAGGCCAAGCGCGTGCTGGAAAGGCCATGGCGATGGACTGATACAATAATGGATACACAACTTTGGGCAAAGGGAATTCTCGAGGCTCACTTTCCCTCGAGATTTCACATTGTCGGCTTGTCCGTGGACGTGGTCGGCCGTGGAGCTGGTGGGTCGTCCGCAGCGGGCACGTGACGTGCCCGCTGCGGTGCACGAGCTCTTTAAGGTGCGGGTCACGAATGCAGTCGGAGGTTCAGCCGAGGTCTGGTGCGGTGAGCGCGACCATCAACCTCGGTGGGCTCGCTGTAAACGACTTCGACCCATATGACTTCAACCTATGTGCATCACCCAAACATTCGCGCGTTAAGGCAGTAGAATCTACTGCGAAACCTCCAATAGGGTTAATTTAATCAGCGTTACGTGCAAATACTGCTTATCGTAGAGGTTGATGGTGTCACCACCCCAGACGCACTGCGAGTTGAGG